TGTTCAGGTGTCCATAATATCAACCGCACCGTACTAGCCCTCGACTGCAGCTTCAAAATGACCAATGATTATATCAGGCCAAATTAAATTTATCCCAGTACATTTTGCTTTGTTCATGAAGTGTCATATGGTATATCAACTTACGATATTTTGAGCAGTTTTCCCCACTCCAACAATCATCACAAATACATCCTTTTCGACCTTTTTGTTCACCACAGGTACCATGTTCGCAATTGACGTGTTTTTCCCTATTTAGATTTAAAAAAACAACAGCAAAATTGCATCAGTAAAAAACGAAATAGGACGTCAAATAACAGTCAGAATATGTTGCAGGTGATTTGGTACTGAGAGCAAGGGGACAATTTTGAAATATCTTATAATTCTGCATCGCGCGTCTGGTAAAGCCGTGCGCACAAATATTAAGATGGACGCCATTCATATTCCTCGGCATATTTAGCGACTACACTGACCTACGCAGTCAGAACACGAACTAATTTACATTTTCAATCGTAGTTCTAGATTCGCGCGAGTTACTAAGAGGAAGCTCAATATAATAGACCTTTTTCATGATGACGTCGAACGCGGAAAGTCAGATGTTACACGAATTTTTATTGGCTCGATAGTTTTTGTCGAGCCAATCAAATTTCGTGTAACATCAGACTTTCCGCGTTTGACGTCATTATAAGAAAGGTCTATTGATGCTCTATAAACAAATTACTCTTAGCAGCGCGTTTATATAATACATATTATCTAAATGAGCTCTGCCTCAACATTCAATATGCAATTGCTGAAGATAAACAACAGTTTATAGGCCAAATTGAAATAATCGTAATCAATAATCGTATATATGCGTTATATATTGACTGATGCATCTGATATCCAATTTCATTGCTTTGTGGACGACCTAGCGCCATTATTGATGATGCGTGTTCTCTTTTAAAAGTTTTTTATTCAAGGTCATATCAATTGTGATGTATGTTGTCCGGGCAATGGACCACAATACACCTGCCTTCGTTATCGATAGGGGAAGTGGGCCAACAAGGGTAATTGTTATCGGTTGGGGAATAGGGTGTGGTTTCTCAAATTTTTCGGTAGGAAAGTGATGTAACGAAAGATGATAATTCAGATGTCTAAGCGCTCTTTATAAATTTTTTAATACATTGAAAGATCATATACAGTTAACAACCATATATTTACTCTTGTGATTACTTTGCAAAAACAGAATTCAGTAAAGAGATAGCAAGTTTAAAACTTCAAAACTTTCGTTGGGATTTGAATTATTCAGTAAAGTTTACTCCCGAACATTACGTTCGAGTAAATAAAAATGAGAAATAGATATACATATGCCATGCATATCCTGGTATTTTGAACATGCACCGGGAATCTATATATTTTCTACCTTTTGTGAATTTATAACTACCTCTGTTAATTACTTTCACCGAGTTTTCACAGCATGCTGCGTTTTAAAAATTTAGTTATAATTGTAACGGTACGGGTTAGCAGAAAATAATTGAATATACTTACTGTTTGCAAAACACATCGCACCGATCACAAACTTCATCTTCAGGACGAATCAAATTCTTAATCAGATCCAAAAATCGTCTATAATTACTCCCTTCGACGGCATCTTGACTGGCAGGACGACAGTTGCAGTCTTCTATTCCACATTTGTACTTTTCTTCAAATTTACATACTTTAGCTTTGCAAGCTGTAAGTGTAAGTGCAAGGGATATAGGCGTTTCAAGGGATATAGGTATAGCTAGGAGTTTTTACTCTCTGGCATTTCAGTAATAATCTAAATGGAGACATTAGCTGTATCTTTCGTTGAAATCTATTGTTATATTAACATATTTTACACGAAGATAAGTCATGCAGGTAAAATCATGTTTCAGCCGCTCTGTACGTCTAAGCAGTTTAGCACATCAGAAACAACCCAATAATGGCGATAAAACCGATAGTAATCCGCGGTTATATACAGGGTCTATATTTATGTTCCTTAATTTCACTGCCTTTTCTTTTAAAAAAGAAATTATCCAAAGAGCTTTTGAAAAGTATACTCACAGCCTGTGCATGCCTAGTGCATGCTTAGCCACAACAGGTTTGAACTAGCTACTTGGAACAATAGAAAACTCGATTCCTCTGTCTGAGACATATAGTTAACCGAATATTTCCTAAAATTTAAATAACGCCGTAACAGCGTGCTAAGCCGTAATGCTGTTGCTTTTAAAACAGCTGCGGCGCTAAAATTTATCTTTCGTTAGATATATAAAATCAGTCAAACAGCTAGTGCAGTCGAGTTCACATGCGTTATTATCTGCAAAATCAGTTATCAACTTATCATATATAGGCCTTTTTTTATAACTGCACTGCGCCACAAAATTCATCCCAGTGAAAATATATAGGCCAATATCTATAGTTATTCGGCGATAGACCACAAGTGCTACATTTTTTAGTTCTTCGCTTAACAACTCTTTACACTCAGTTATCAATATAATTTTATTGTAACTCGTTACTGTTTCCTCAAAACTGGAAGTATCCGAAATAACAACGACAACGTATAAGTTTTTGGTCTTTGCCATCTGCTATCTAGTGACCGCGGGTATAGCTATATATACGTAACTTTATACGTATTCTATAATCGTTTGCCTAATCACATTTCCCGATCGGTTTCACATTTAAAAAGTGAATAACTTACCAATAAAATTTATTGCACTTGATAAAAGAACGAACGAGATCACGAGAAAGCCAATTTGATTCGCCATGCATGGTCTTGTTATGCGATGTTTCATGTGCGTTCACTTCGCTGCTACGCCGGATTATTTAGTTGTGTTGATCATATGAAATAAAGACATCAATTATTAAAGAGTCGGCATTGGTCGTTATGTCCGCTATGAATACTTTAAGTAAGTGAATTTTCGAGTAAACACACTTAAAAAATTGTCACTGACATATATAATATATTCATAGTCACATTTTTACTTTTTTCATTTAACTTATTATAGTAGACATTATAGGCGCGAACTAGCTTTGCCATAGGCATAGTGGCATAATGTTCCTATTGTTCGTGAAAAAAACAAAAAGAAGGTTGAGGCCAAAAGGAGGGAAAAAGAAATGTCTATAAGGAACTGTCGAGTTGACTGTATATATTTTTAAGTTCCATACATCTTTTATATTTCCTCAGTTGTCTGTTGCTAAGCAACTCTAACAAACTTAACTCAGTTAAATTAAGCAACGGGGAAAACGGGGATGAAAATGCTGATGCTTCGGAACGCTTCTCGGAAAGACCGTTTAAACCTTAACACACTCAATATCTAAAATTTTTCAAAATATTTATTGTCACTTCGCAATTTGCTATATTTTTTAATATGCGCATGTTGTATAGTAACTTTAACAAAGCCAGATGTTTTTATGCTACTCTGCTTTGAGGCTAAAATGTTAATTGGGACTGAAAAGTAAAACATTTTAAGTATAACTGTCAGTGCTAAATGAATAAATGAACGTGTGCAAGCATTATAATTTTAAATTCGACTCACCTTGTAAAAACACACGCTCGTCGTTATTGAGTGGGAACCTAGGTGTTTTATTAATAACATATCAGAGACATTATTATTGTTTTTTTAGCATGTCTAAGTAATTCATGCATGCATGATGCATATCTGTCGACTAAATTGTATGTACGCAAGACATTGACACGAACGAATTAACGACAACGACAGCTTGCAGTGCATGATGGTAGTGAAGCAGAATGACATGCTGACATGAATAAAACATACAATAGTTATATACTAATATAGTTTTATACAGCACAAATAATGAGCGTCTTTCCATACATGACCATTACACTTCTGATTTATGCCTTTTACTGAGTTTAAAGATCACTGGGTGTTTTTTGCATGCCTGATACTGGCGCACGAAGGAAAACGTGTAATTACTTCTTTTATTTTTCAGCAGGTGCATCGTTTTGAAGTTAATTATATTCAAAAAGCTGTGAATTTAGCAGTCGAGGCGGAAAATATATATAGCTGAACGCTTATATGCTAATATTTTATTTGTAGTGTGTTGTTATTACGCTGTTTCGGCAAAATGCTAACATCTAGCTGTTTCACGAATATTTATATTTTGAGAACAGGGAAGAGAGGAAACAGAGAGATTCACTGAACATATCTTCGTCGAAACGTATGAAAAATTTGTATAGCTAAATTATCAGAAGACCCGTCTTTTTTTTCCGTTTCACTTCCCATATCAAATTAAAATACAATAGTCAATAAACTATAATGAGAATGCCACGACAACATCTCATGCACTTTTCCCTATTTCTCGATAATATTCCATTCCATTTGGGAAATTGAAGGCAAGCAGAGAGATACCTATAACACTGAGATACCTATACCAGGTTAAAATGTCTTCTTCTCATTTCTTGCTGCTTCCGTGTGGCATGAGCTATGTAGCCTATATATACTTCGTGCATTTTGGGCATATGATAACCTGCGAGAAAATGTATGAAATTTAGGTTATCCGGCTGAAATCGAATTTTTAGCATTCTCTGAGAAGACATTTTGACACAATTTTATCCATTTTTCTGCCTATTTTGGACAATGCCGGTAGACCTTGAATTACCCCTACCACAAAGTTTATCAGCAGAATATGAGAAATTCGGTTAATTCATATGAAAACTGCATGAAGTTATTTAACATTATGATCAAAAAAAGATCACAAATGTGGAAGTGAAATATTTTACTTGCGTTGTTTTAGTTCGCTGCAATCCTGGGTACGAAGTTGCATGTGAACGTCTCTTTAGGCTATATACAGCACATGTAACAGTTGACGTGACAGTGGAATGTTGTTTTATGAGATCATCAAAAGAACTGCATGGTTAGTTCACATTTTGAAATTCAGTTTGCATGTCTGCACCGCTCTTGCCTAAAAGTATCATGAAGCCTCATCACAGTTGCAAACTACAAGCAACGAAACTAGAAGCAAAAACCAAATACTGACCAGTGTAAAAAATTTAATCTTGGATCAATAAAACAAGCGTACAGTCCATGCAAATGAATCAAGTGCTTATGATATAGGTCTATAAAGGTATATGACAATATTTCTACCCTCTTCTATCCACCAATGCGAATATGAGATATATTCTTTGAACATACTTACAAATTTATACATTATTACACATTGCATGAACACATTGCATTTATACTCAAAGTATATCTATACATCGTTGGTCCATACTCCATAATACCATGCATCAATCAAATGACGAATAACTATAGCCAGTCGTTAGTGAACATCGGTGTAGATAAACGGTTCACAATCAAATCCAGGAATGGTGCAAAGTATAGAAATTCATTATATATATATAATAATTATTACATTAAAAATCAATGCGCAAATTCTATTCTAGTAAATGGTGTGATATTATTATATACACCACAAAAGTGGCAACTTAAATGCGGTATTACATCTACAAGACTATAATAAAATGAAATTATGAAAACTATGAAACTGTTGCCAAGGACGAGCAAACCGTTAGTGACAGCTATTCCACAATGCTTTTAGTTTCCATCCAGAATTTTTAGGCAAATGGTAGACGCCTGTTTTGGTTGCTGAAAATAATAAACGTAAAGCTGTATGAAATAGTAAACGTATGTGATGCCCATTCACATATCAATTAATATAAACTTTATCATAGGCATGAAGGCTCTTTCAGCTTTTCACATATGCATGCATGCTTTGTGCATGCATGTTGTTCCAGTGGTTTTATGTTGCATGTCATGTAATGCTTATATGTATGCTAGGAGTTACTATCGCATGCAAGCAATCTAATTTTGGCCAGGTTAGACGGCACAATTTTTCCCCATATTCGTCAGCGAGTCGGCAAAACGTGGAACCAGAACGAATTTTTAATCTTACCACAGGAACAGAGAATTATAAGGTGAATACTGCAGCTCCAAGTAATAATTGTATGGCTACGCTTTATGTTGGAGATTTCTCTTTACAAACAATCTAAAACGGCTGTAATCAAGAGCCAAGAGACTCGAACGAAATTCAAGCATTTTTCCCTTTTTCTAGCCTTTTTTACGCCAGAGTTCTATTCTTATATTTCAACACATATGTATACAAACACATTTTTCGTACCTCCCCACTTTTCACCATCTCGAATAATTTTCTGTTTATCAGTTGCAGGTTCACTTTCATCATTATCACTATCTTTAATTTCAACAACTGCACAGTCGGATAGTGTGCTCTTCGATTGTTCCCACTGGTCATGCGATATTGAATACCATTTGCCCTTGTTTGGAATATACTTCATGTAACTAATCATGTTGTTACCAACACCATACACCATTTTATTGGCGTGATCAATACCAATGATACTGATGACCTGCACATCCACAGCTAAAATTAACAAGTTAACGTGTTACACATCTCTTTGTCGGTCATTTCTTCTGAGTCATTACAGCAAGCCAACAAATATTGTTGGAATGATAAAGGACACACAATACCTCGCCAGGTTCCACCCTTATCACCTGTCCAAAAGCAGCTTGGTCTGTTTCTAAAAGGAACAAAAAAATAATAGTACCAATCTAAGAGTGTTGTGTAACAGGGCCAAATCAGTATAAGGCATGAAACTTCCTAAGTTATCTTAAGATCAGATATTTTCAAATTATTTTTCGAAATATATAATTGTAAAATGAACGTTTATACCTTTGTGACGAGACCGAGCAAATGTAAATAGCTGAACTTGAGTTATCAACTAAAAAACCTCGTCGGTAAAATTCTAAAAAAATTCAAACACATTTTAGATGCATACCAAGTTGAATAATAATTTATATGGCGGATGCATGTTTTGTGGAACCAAGTATCTAAAGTCAAGCTTAAGAACACTACGGTTTTCATGCTCCAAATTCACTAAAAACAGTAGAAAATGAGGCATCTGAACTGATGAGAGTTCAGAGGAAATACACTATATCGCTTGAGATTCAGTATTGTTATCTTACCAGTAACCGCATTTGCAGGGGTTGGAATAGGCTGCTCTGTAAACATAAAACGTACACTGTTTAGAGTTGGAACATCATGAACTAGGCCATCCTTCGCTGGAAACATTCTAATATTTTGGCCGTGTAATAAATCTTTATAATAGAAAAATTACCTGGAACTTTAAATTGAACAGACATTGGCACCAGGGGCTCATAATAACTTTTCCCCTTGTTGTTCTGATACGTGAGAGAAACTGGTGTCACAGCATAATTCGTACCACTTTTCTTCAATGTTTTTTCAGAATCCAATGATACAGAAAAAGATACAGTTGGACGTTCTCCAAATTCTAACTTGCTCAACTAGAAAATATGCATGATTTAAAATTTCTACATAGTATTCGTGTACGATTGCATTGCTCATCAAACAACGATTTAAAAACCAAGTTGTATTAAACTCTATATATTTGTTGTTATCCCTTATAAAATTAAGATTGATTTTAAGTTCGAGAAAAAAACTTACCGAAAACACGACATTGTTTCCTGACTTGATGATTTTCAACTGATGTTTGTTTTCGTGGACCTGGAGATACTTTGTATAAACTGGTAACATCCATATTACTTGAATTTGATACGCATGTGCGTCTGAGTTGTCTTTATAGGAAATTGTGAAGTTGTATTCCACAACGGAACTAACAATGAAAATGACAGATTTATTATTACTATATTATAGGTAAGCAAATTGATCTTTTATATGGTAAAATGACTGCGCAACACGGCGAAATTTGCAGCTCAAATAGCAATCCAGATTCATCATGCAGATAGCAATAAAAAGAGCACAGTTAACTGTCAAAACAAATTTTAAATTTTACAGTATAGAGTATGAAAGAATTTTTGGTCTAAGTGCATGCAGACGATTTTTCAAAATATCAATTGCTGTGGTTAAAAAACATAAATCCATTACCCTTGAACCAGACTGCCACTAGCATTAGTGTATGATTGGATAAGCAAACTTGGTTGACGACCCAGAGCAATGTTTGTGATGAATGTCATTTGACTGATCCAAATCATCTGCTCGCTTCCCTTTACTCCAACACCAATCTTATAATTAGATCGATTTTTAACGTGTTCATTTTCCTCCAAAACAACTTTGAATTTTAGAGTCACTGTATTATCCTCGTTGGAAGAGAGCGCACTTTCGTCAACAGCCTTATTTGAAATCTGCCCAAGATCGATCTCTCCTCTGTCATAGTATGTTGTGTTTCTGGAAGTGGAATTGAAGGTTGGTTCGGAATTAGAAAAAGCCGGAGCCACTTGAATGTTTGCGCCAACAGATTTAGTTTTAAATGACTCGTCAGGTACAAAACGCATGATGGCTGAACTGTTTGCAACAGGAAGAATAACCTAAAATTTAAAAAGAAATCATTTAACATCACGTATTATGTTCTAAATCCACCAGTCAAGACAGTTTATAGTCTAAATACTAGAACGACTAAATTACCTAAAATTACAGATGGTTTTTCTAATAAAATTACTAAATTGCTTCTAAGTATTTGCTGTATTTTAAAAACAGTAAATTGTACAGTAAATTGCTGTATAGGTAATTGATGAATGAGATGCGCGCTGTACTCACATAGAATTTTCCTTTTAATACCATCTTATTGAGTAAAATGGTGACAGTGATATCCACAGGCTGTCCAATGTTTACGAGTCTGTCAGGAGCGTTTGATGATAAATTAAACGATGGCACACCAGCGATGTAGCCTGGACTGGGTTTGTACGTTCTGACCGGACGATCTTGACCCCCGCTTGTCTGATACTCGATTCGAATCTCAACATTTAAATTAGCCAATGGTGTAACAGTGTTATTGACTTTCGCTATGATTACACCGTTAAAACTTGTTCCTGCAGATGCAAAAAGTTGTAATTTCATTTTATAGAAAATATTGTAATTAATTTTTGAGGTGACCTTCTTCATTTAGATTACTGACGTTATCAGCAATAATTTTTAATGTGGGACTTGCATGTATAAGACAGTCACAAACAGTATTGTTATACAGGTGCTGTGTATTTTAAATGTGATTGGTTCATTCGTAGTCACGTGACTTTGAATAAATGCAATGTTTCCCGCCAGGGAAACAAGCGAAAAATTGTTGCCCGCTTCTTGTCATAACAAAGTAAAGTGTTTTTTTTTTAATGAAATTGTTGTGTAACATGTATATTTTTGTTCATATATAACAAAACACTTAATGTACACTACCTCGGGAAATAGTGAGTTTGGTTTTCCCTCGAGTCTCAATGTTTCAAACATTCAGGCTCTTGGGAAAACAAAATTCACTATTTCCTTCGGGAGCATACATTAAGTGTATAACATTTAGCGTTGACTTCCCGCCCTCCCAAATGACAAAAAGGGAAACGCTCTGGGAACGAGGTTGTGCAAACTAGCCTTGACTAGAATTACTAACCAATCAAATTACCTCGTACATGATCGAAACTAAAACTTTTATCAAACAATTTTTAAAATTAAAATCGTTCAGAAACAAGATTGATATTTCGTAATATACAAAGAGGTGCTATACCCCTTTCTTACCAACCCAAATCTGAGAAAAACATACCATATATGGACCTCAAACGTCTTAACTAATAGGAAACCAGAAAAAATCATTTTGACACCGGATATATAATAAAGACATTTAGATACTAACCTTTTGAAAATGCACCAGATAACGTGTACTTCCGAATTTTTTTTTGAGTTCCTGCTTCAACAGACGCCGGCTGGGCATTAAAACTCGTCAGGCCAGTGATAGTCACAAAATCAAGGGATGGAGAAAAACAAAACAAAATGTTTACATCTTTTGCATTTTCATATGAGCCATTTTCCGAATGCTGGACGCTCCAAGAAAAATCAAGTTGGTCGTCAATATAATAACGGGTGGGATTTGTGTTATTCATCGCTTTGATTTTAGCGTATAAGTATGGTTCACTCTAAAATAGAAAAGAAACAAGGATGTTTCGTCACATATACAACTGCTTTTCTCAGTTGAAGATTGAAGTATCATTAAAATGCAATTAGCAATAGCAATGTGCACTTTATATGTGGACTAATTTATTGCAAAACAGAATAAAGTATTTTATAATATAACATTTATAGTACGCGCGTGCTGATGTAATGAGAATTTGTAATTGAATCGAATTATAATATTTATACAAAAAATTTTTATTGAGGTATATTATAAAAGAAATAGAAAACATTATCGGTGTTTCTATACAGTTATAGAAACACGCGTGGGAGTTTGGGAAAACGAGAAATAATCAATGGGAAAAGGTGCCCGTAGGGCGAGTTTCACTTCCACGTTATTTCGAGTGAGTCCTCCCATTGGCGTCGCCAGCATCAATAAGTAGGGGAGGGGGAATATTCATACTCCTCCACCTATAGTCATAAAAGTAGCTAGTATAGTTGTACCTTTAAGAACGTGAGGGCATCTTGTCCCACCCAGAGCATTTCTTCTCCTGAATGTGCGCCCACACCAACCCAATGTATTGACGAGTTTTCAAGTAAATGATGATCGTATATTCTGACTGAGAATGAAAGTTTGATCGTGTTTACACTTTGATTCATGTTCAATACCTGCAAGATAAAGATCAAAGGTCTTACAAAAAGTCTTATCAGTTTTTGAAGAACTACTTCAAAACGAGGGAATGTTTTAAAGATGAAATGATCATGGTACCTATATATACTCATTTTCTCAAACAAGCTCGTTTTTATCCACTTATGCATGTATCAGCTTACAGATGCTTACCTTGATTTTCCCAAAATCCAAAACAGCTCGACTTGTGATGTTATCCTCTACTGCAGTGTACATCATCGGTGATGGAGCTTGATGTTCTGCTTGTACAGAGCTACTGATGCCATTAATCTTAACATTCTCAATACTCAAGAAACGGAAATCATTCACGATTGTCGTAATTTCAAAAACAAATGTAAAATTGAAGTAAGGCAAAGTTATGTTTACATTGTAATCCAAAGTTGTTTCAGCTCGGACCACTAAAAATATTTAGAAAAATTTGGTCAACACTCGTACCAATAGATAAATGTAATGTAGTTTGGATTATAAATTGCATGCATGATTGATGTTGAAAGGTACTGAGTTATATCTTGATACTTCACAGGGGGTATAATTATAATAATGGTTTTGTGTCAAAATAGCGGTTGTTTTGGTAAAAAATTTACGATGATGTCACAACAGACGTGCATGTTGTGACGTCAGTTAACATGCATATATCAAAAATATGATGACAGGCATTTAAGTCCTTTCGATGAAGTTATTTCTAAAAGTTGCATAAGATATGAAAAAACGGCGAGAAAATCTTAATATTATGACCCCTTTCTTTTTACAAGTAGAAATTAATGCTTTGTTATATGAAAAATAAATAGTTTTACCTCCCTGTTTGGTACGTGCTAGCTTGATTACGGGATACGTTGTGTAGAGTTCGCGGGAATTCTTTGGACCATACGTTACTGCCCCTGCCCCTGACGCTGTTGCATTCATAGTGAAAGCAACTTGGAGCAGCGCCAAAGGCTCCAAAGCTTCCCGAACAGTTGCGCTGAATATAATTTCCATCTTTCCGTTAGATGGCAGAGGATCTGAGATATTAATCTGTACTTTACCATCGGACCAGATAATTCTGCTAGGGCTTTTAACAACACCAGAAATTTCCACTGAATACGTGTCAGAGAGATTAAGGTTTTCAGAAGTAAATTGCACTGTTATTGAGTTCAGTGCTTCTGGAGTGGCACTCGAATTTTGAGCCAGAAAAAGACGATAATTCATTGTGCATCCAGCAGGAAAGAATGTGTTATTCGTCTCAGCTTCAAACGTTATCTCGAGCTTGTCGTATGTCTAAAAGTAGAATTATTTAGTTGATTAAACTCTAAGAGACTATGCAATACATGGGATTTTCCTTTAGACTGGCTCACTGAGTTATTTCGCAGAAAAACCCGGCGGTAAAAATTACACCATAGACCATGCAGTAATACGCAAAGAACCAAGTTGGCGAACATACACTCACATGGCTTCTGGCGCCCAGAGAAAACAATAAATTTTGGGGAACTTACCGTTACACTTCTGCGTGTTCGGTGATGAAGTGATCGGCGCACTCTCACAGCATCATCGTCAGTTGTCACAGTTATACCAACAATAGCCGAAGGTTTATCAATCTGGTTGTCTTCAACGATGTTAAGATCTGCTTCATTTTCAGCCAGAATGGAGAGAGTAATTTGAGAATGATACTGATCAGATAGCTTCTTAGCCAAACTTATAACTCCTGTATCTGCGTTGATATTGAACAAACCATCTTCATTTCCCTTGCTGATAGAATACTTGATTCGACCACAAGGACAATTCTTTTTATCAACACATGTCTCCAAATCTGCATCAAATGCCGAAACTTTGAGGATTTCATCACCAACATTTGCATTTTCCTTTATTTCAGAATCATAATATCTCTCTTTGAATTCTGGTTGACGGTTTCCTACGAAAGATAAATCAGCATTAATTTTGATAACCGAAATTTTTTCGCCTTTGAACAAGTCATGCATGCGTCTTTATGCAATCGAGTGCGCCGTGAAGACAATGCACGTTTTCCTTGAACTTGGCTGGGTATTATCCGTGACCGGTAAATTGAATTAAGTTGCTTTCAGAAATGTTGTGGTAGATACCAAAGGCAAAGTTGTGAATGGCATGCATGTCTATAATGACTTTATATATAGTATATAGAAATTAGAAAAAGAATTAAATTAACTTACGGTATTTAGAGCATGTTTCACCGCTCCAGCAATCACGACAAATACATCCCTTTTGTTGATCACAAGCACCATGTTGACAGTTGATGTGTTTTATCCTGAAAGCATATTTACGAGTCTAATTCACGCACGATTTCATTTGGAGAAGTAAAGTTATAGAAAATTGTTTGATTTGGTATTTGGTGGGCTGGCTCAGTTGCCTTACACCGTTAAAACATGAAATACAAAGCAGAGCGGTAATCATATATAACTGAATTCACCAAAATTCGCATTAATAATTATAGACTACTAAAATGCAGTATCCAGTTTAAATGAAGGCAAAGAAAATACATACCAATATCAAATTCAATATACTTACTCGTTGCAATACATATCGCACTTATCGCAAACTTTATCTGCCGGTGAAATGAAAGCCATGAGCCGTCCATAGAGTCCCCCTCCGACTTCATTTTGACTGGCATAACGACAGTTGCAATCCTCTATGCCACATTTGTACTTACGTTCAAATTTACATTCTTTGCAAGCTGTACAAAAAGAACAATTTGATTTTCAGTATAAGATATACGGATATTGCATAGGACGACCAGAAATGTAATAATGCTGAGTATATCACCGAACACTGCAAAATAATACTGATTCAAACAAGGAATAATTGAGAAAACTCAGAAAAGTAATCAATTATTGGGCCTGAGATAGGATTCACAACTTGCGGAAACGGTGCAATGCTTTGACCAATGACCAGTGAACAATATAAAGCGTGATAAACATTTATATTAAGGTGGTATTGCTGAAATAAATCAATTACAATTTTGTTGCACCACACCCGGTGAGCAATAATTACTATTTACTAGAGGGTTAATGGTCCTAATTCCAAGTGAAAAAGATGAGTTTAAATCCAAGCAAGGAACATTGAAAAGTTGAGAAAAATCAATTATCGATTGATCCCGTACCTGCATGCTAGTACACTGAGTGCGATTAGGGCTACATCAGGAATCTGACGAAAACTCTGATGACTTTGTCAACAGTTTGTTAATTAATTAACAGCCACAAATTTATACTTGCTGCATGCAACGACTGCTGTATCCAATTTAGTAGTAATGTTTTCATGTATCGAAATACAAGTATTAGTGTGGAGGAGCCGAGGAGGAGTAGCGAGATAAACTTTTTTGGAGGCTGGACTGTCGAGTACAACTTAAAACTCAAGATAAACAAGTATGAACTATGAAAACTCAACTTAAAACTCAATATAAAAAGGTTTGTGAAAAATGGCACCACGCTATGTTATAGTTTATTTACTGAAACTAAAAATTGACTCACTTCTTTCTTTGTTCATAGCCTACAGTTTACGATCATTTAAAATATACATTTTGTAATCTCTATAGCTATATCTTCTCTGTAATAATTCTGGTTTATACGTCAATCATGAGAACTAATTTGTCGAGAAAATAAAATATTTATGATGCTGACATGATGTGCTAAAAGACTCCTATGTCTGGCAGCGAGATAATTGCATGCAGTTCGCTTTGCATTATAAAAAGTTGGCACGTCACGTTTCCCACCTGTGCCACTGCATGAGTATATGCATGCATGCATGGGTATATATATATATACGCGTGCGTGGCTTCCTGCATTAACCTCGCGACTGACGCGAGGCAAATTGAAAAACAACAATAAAATCCCTCACTTCGTTAAAATATCTCATCAATTAACTTTGTCACAAGAATGTCTATTTGCTTTCCAACCCTTCTTTTCAATAGCACTCTATAATATTTATTTGCTTTCCAACCGTTCTTTTCAACAACACTCTATTAACTATAGTTTACATTATATACGATTACATCATACTACGTCTTCAATGCCACACATTGTTATAATGTTATTGTATAGCAAAAGCCCCGGTTATCTCGCGCAGGCCGTAGCTCTCGTTTGAACCGAAAACCGAAACGGACAATTTCAGGTCACATCCAAACTCTTCCAACATATAATTTTTCAACATGTTGTACTCCTGTGCGCGTCGAAAGTTGGGGGGGGAAGGTTGTTGCTTGATAAGTGAAATTCAGAAATTTTGAATATCCGAAAATGATTTCTCATCTCGGCCGCTTAAAGTGAAGCGAAAAGAAACATAACTTAATCGAGGAAGGGTAGCGGGACGGAGAAAAACCTAATAATTAAGGTGTGACGTTAAAACGGATGTCACTCTGATTAGTTGAATTTTCTTCTAGAATTTTTTTTGCTCAGTTCATGCAGTTGTTATACATCCAAAATGTGAAGTTGTTTTAAGATGGCACCTTTCAATCGTGTATTTACAGCTGCGCACTAAATATCGAGGAACTATTTGAATACAAATGACGTGATCGAATTTTCACACTCCAACAAGTAACGTTCCGTTTACTTATAGTGGTAAAAGAACTGCTCCGAGATATCGTAGAGGCATATATATGGTTCGATTCCCGGCCTGTCGGAGGACGCGAGGCCAAGGCCCAAGTTGTGTTTTCGCCGTGTTGCCGGTTTTGGTCTTAATAATCATATAAATGTTTATGCTTCATTCTCCCGAAACACCATACATCAACATTTAATTTATGTTCGAATACGCAAAGTGCAAAAACTTTATCAATCTCTATATATCATATAAACGGAGAGCGCTGGCTAAAATGCTGCTTAACCGAAAACCTAATATTTATATACGACATCTGCTAGTAGCTATATGTATATATATATGAGTAGTACTATATTCTCAGTACGTGATAATAATCATAAAGTGAGAATTCATATCTTGAACATTTATATTCAAGTAGGTATCATTTCATTTGACATGAACATATTTATAGATAAATATATAAGTTTGACTTTTTGCTATACGTAATAATTTTTACGATGAGTCCGAGATATCAGCTCAGTCGGACGTCGCTCGGGCATTGCAAAATTTTCTAATATATATAGCATATATTTTAGTTCTCCGATGCGGACTCCGGAGAAACGTTTCAATTCGTTTTAGTTTTTTGATAATCAGAATATATTACAGAAAAAGAAATCGAGTCGGGAGTAAAACATCAAAGGATGGCAAAAGTAGAACGTGTCTACACAAAATGCGCCATGGCAACCAACGAAGGTTTTCGTTGCCGCACTAAATTTATGATTTTACTTACAGGCAAAGTCAATTCCTTTAGATACAAGAATTAACGAAATCAGCAGCAAACCAATGTGACTTGTCATGTTAGAAACAAGAGGCACAAGGCGGATGAATTCCAAAAGTTTAACACTAGCTCAGAATGTATATTGCTCTTGTAAAGCAAAAAAACGATTGGAATAAAACATTTTCCACCTGCTGTAATTATATAAGGCATTAATTGAACAGCACCGACCATATGATTGGTCAAAAATTGGAATTCATAATTCACTGTCAACATGAAGTAGCGGTAAATGGCAGGTCTTAAATGGTTCACGCTGGCAAGAAAAAAAATAATCCGTAAAACTAATGATTTATACTACCAAACATTTTGAGAATCCGCGAAGCATGGAAATTGCACTGAATAGTTCATATAGTTAGGAACATGCATATCTGTATCTAGATATATGAACCTTATATATGATTTTTTAGATCGTCCTTCAGGCTTCACTAGCTATATAGATTTTGTCAGTTTCATCGTAAGGCTACAGAAACTGGTGCGAAAAGCCATTATTTATAAGTAAAAGATCGTCAAAAAATACGGCGCATGCAGAAATTGATGCTAACTATTCTTTTTCAGGGAAATTTTTTCACTAACCAACCGCATTTATACTGACCGACTGCATACTTCATTGCTTCCTCAGAAAAGATTTACTTGTCTATAGTGTGAACAAAGTTACGCTATATAGTTGGACTGTATTAATTATTTACACACTTGTAATATATTGCCAAGGACAAGGTGTGTTGTGAATGTATATTAATATAACATTACAAGTCATTGGATGAAAACTGGGCCAAGATGTTCTATAAAACTTATTTTGTTGTACCGAGTCGCGTGTTAACACGGCAAACAACAACTATAAAGAAAGTAATATACTACAAAACAAATGCATGCGGTATATTCATTATGAACCGCCTCGTTTTCATTACACTAGGGCGATTTAGCACGAGAACGTTTTGACGTGAAAATGGCGAATAAATGGCGTGATGCGCCCAAATATGGACATGCCACGCCATTTACGCGTCGTCTTCGACGTTAACGTATTCATGCTAAATCTCCCTAGTCACTGAATTTATTGGCACGCACGGATAAACCGCGGTACCCAATCTTATCCGGGTATTTATAAAGTGAATGTGCGACTTTTCATATACTCATAAAAAGTACTAAAGATAATAATAAGACTAAAACCACTTGGTCTTTTGGTGTTTATTTTTTATTTCCTCAAAGTACAAAGTACAGTTAGTAAATTCTATGGCACTGCATGGTCCTTCATTTTGTTTCGTAGGTATACCATGCAAATTCCACACTGTTTGTCTGCAATTTAAATCCTAGTTAACTCAGAAAATCGATTCGGTTAAACTGTGGTCCGAAGTAGAAAACAGTTTTGTGACTTTTGTGTCGGCCATTGGCATTGTATAGGCCAACGTATAGTTTGCATGCGCACACTGGACTAATTATTTCTCGTTCTCCCAAACTCCAACGCGTGTTCTAGGCTGTATACATAGAAACACGGAAAATGTTTTCTATTTCTTAAGGATTGCTATACATACCACATATACGTTGTTCCGGAAAATTCGCATGCATACCTTTTTGAGGGTTCATCTCTCATTGTGTCCTAATTTAATAATGTGGTTGCGTTGGCAAATAACATCTTGCAGATGTTATGAAATGTTCTAGAAAAAAATCTGTTTGAACAACTGTAAAAACCTAGTTGTAACTTCAGAGTTATAGCGTTGAGTATAATGAATCGATATTAATCAAAATCACGCTATTGACATTGTATCGAAACTCATCATTGAAAAAGCATTTCCGGCAAGTATAGTATATTTACTCAACCGAAAACGAAAATTATACTATGGTATCCACTCAGTATTTTGACCAAGCTTTAGCTGTTGTTATAACACATAAATCAAAATAACAACGTGAATTTAAAACATCGACATCAGGTAATCGAATTTTTGGTTCGGATTTGTATACTGCATGATGAAAAGAAACCGTATAGTTTAGGTCTAACAAGTATTATCAGTTGAAATTATTAATACAAAATCAAAGAATTTTATCAATATAATGCATATAGAAACGCTGGAATATCAGTCATTCCAATATTCACTTAGCGGTGTTCTAGATTTCTAGTTCAAAATTGGGCGGAGACTGAGTGACAAACATACAAACAAGTATTCGGTTGTTAAAATGCAGAAATGCAGCAATAGGTGCGGCCAAATATGAACTTATATTGGCTTTGTCATTCCGACTGATCATCATCGCTGACTCAAATTCACAATTTAGTTCTCAGTTGAATGAAACCGGAAACAATTTTAACCGTTCAACAATCTTTCCCTCCATTACTCATGTACTGGGTGAAACTAAAAAAAACGCAACGCTTAAATATTCATGAATGTTCGACCTTTGTTATCGTGAAGATTTAGTGGTTTCGTTTTTTTATATACACCCAGTATATACCAATTATTTTCAGACAGCTAGTGTATATGAGAATAGTTAATTAATATAAATAAGAGTATACTGGGGTTATCAGCTCTATAAGTTAAACAATGGGATGTGTCACGTTCGTTATAAAATGTCATCAAAATTCAAACACTATACAGACAAGGTACATTTACCCAGCGCGGAGTTAGGATAAAACTGTTTTTAAAACATCTTTCTCTTCAGAATTAAATCTATCTGGAAAGGTGATATCAAATGTTAAAAAGAGGTCGCCAACTCCACCGTGTTCAGGACGTGGTAATCCTTCTCCTTGAAACGTTTTGGTGAACTTTGGTTTGATAACTCTTCCCCCAGAACAGAAATGAAGCTTTCTTCCCCCGATAAAGTAGGTATTTCATAGGTCGTATCTCCTATTAAAGCCTGGCGTAAATTTATCTTGATTGTATATATGAGATTATTGTCTAAATCTCGCTGGTAAAACTCGTGCGGTTGATCTTTTAGGATGAACACAATATCTGCTGGTATCACTCCTTTTCTCTCGTCTCCTTCTTCTGGAAACGTAATCGTGGTTCCCTCTTTCGACCCAGGTTTTACATCAATTTCTAAAATCTTTTCTACTTTTCTTGATGTAATTTGATCATGGTTTAGCACTAATTTAGTAATTTTCATTTTTTTTGTACATCCCGATTTAATTTCTTCCAAAGTAAGGTGCATGTTTTTATAAATGGGAGGATCTTTTATTCTTTGACGCTTGAGCGGCAACGCTGATTTAGAGGCTGAATCTTCGGTGCTAGCTTTTCGCTTTCCAACCTTCATTCTCAAGTCTATAAGATCATCAATAAGGTCGGTCTTTCTATGACAGGCCTTGGCAAAAACTTCAGTGAATATATTTTTAGCCATATCGTTGTCGATGTTCGATGAAAAGGAAAAGGCTGTACTATAATTCATTGCGGAACGATCAAACTCTTGTCTTCTGAACTCATTGCTTAGCACAAGGTATGCTTCGGTTATTTCGTTAAATTTAATTGCTGCTCCAGGATGGCTGTTTCTATCAGGATGATATTTCAATGCCAATTTACGATACGTCTTCTTGATTTCTTCGACAGATGCTTGCCGTGAAATATTAAGCACCTTATAATAGTCAATAGCCATAATTTAGAGGTATATTCCAAACTAATCTATACAGATATAAATATTTACACTGTTGCTATCAGTGTGACTGCTTCTCTCGGTTTAATGCTGAAACTTACATAAATTTCTTTATGTGGGTACGATTTTGTGTCAATAGAAATATCGAGAAACTTTCCGTATAAGGTATAACTTTCCATATTTGGAAGATGTTGAAACTATTGTCAGACAGCAGGGAAAAGCCAACTTCTTGTGGCAAATTCAAACGGAAATCTAGAAAATTCGAAAGGGAAGTTGTTTGATTAAGCTGCTGTAAATAACACGATTTATATTACGTTAGTATAATCTCATCCGAACAATGAGGAAAAAATACTTAGAAGCTAGGTCTATATTTATAGTCTTAATCAAAGCGTTTAGAGCTTGACGATAATGCTATTATTAAATGGATGAATAGGTTCTTAGGGCTTTCTATGCGAATTGTTCATTCAAAACTCGTCTAACATATTTTTATACTTTTTTCTCTTCATGGAACCTATGGAAGTAATGGAACCTATAGAATATTCAAAATAACGCGGTCTCGAATGATCGAACCAACCACCAAAATTAATTTTAATCAGATAGCTCCGCGATTGTGGTATGCAAGAGATTATAATTTAGTATTAATGCAAGGAACTATTTTGAACTAATACTAAATTAGCCTTGTATCTCAATGAAACAATTTGCTAGCTTCAATCTCCGTTTTCCTTCCGATGCGCTCACACTAGTTATTCTTAATATAATATTCATCGCAAGGTATTCAGTCACTTAAAAAAGACTGTTTGTCTAGTCAGTTAGTTACTGGATGTTCTTTAAATCGGACTTGTACTCTCCATGTTTCGCGCACGAATGTACTTCTGCCCCGCTGACGTATACGTAGTTATGAAGGGCAGTATAATCCTGGCATATTTTTGAAAAAATCGCGTTGGTTGCAACATGCACGTCACACGTGATACATTCTATTGTACTTTTTGTGCGAGGTACGACAATCTGGAGGTACGAGATAATCCGATACTGGAGACTGGGAACGATTTATCATTTTCCTTAAGCCCTGGTCAAACGAGAATGATAGTTGATGAGAGTTGAGAAGCGAGAGTTCGCACGAGAGTTTTCCAAACTCTGGATGCGACGGTCAAACGAGAATGAGAGTTGATGAGAGTTGAGAACGAGAGTTGATTACGGCGCGCGCATTAATTTCGTCATCACTCCACTTCGTTTTGCTATTTTTTTGTTTCTGCCCGTTGTTTTCAGAAAATTTTTTTTTTTGCAAAAAAAAATGCAAACCGCTGGCGGTTTTGCAACTCTCATCAACTCTCATGACCGATCGAACGTGCCCCAACTCTCATGACCGATCGAACGTGCCCCAACTCTCATCCAAATTTGAACCAGTTCAAAGTCGATGAGAGTTGATGAGAGTGCACGAGAGTGTATGAGAGTTCGTGGTCAAACGCAAGCGAGAGTTGCACTCTCATCAACTCTCATCAACTATCATTCTCGTTTGACCAGGGCTTTATTTTACCCTTTTCCCACTGAGCTATGCTATACTATAATTCAGAATTATTATATAGCTCAGTGTATTTTACACGTTATCCAAGTAACCATGACAACTAGTTAAAACATTTTCATAGCAACGACTAATGGTTTCACTACTTCGATTATTGTCCAAGTTTTAAGTTTAAAATTCTCAAAATGTATAAACTTGATTTACCTGTGGATATGAAAGAAACTGCTGCAATTCAAAGAAGGCGAAATGCTGAACTTCAACGACAAAGCCGAATATTTAATGCCCGTGTTCGCACAATTGGGGTAAGGCCGTAAGGATTTACAAAAGGATAAACGAGAGCTTCTTTTTAATAGAAAAGAAAATTAAGAAATTATTAACATTTGTTTGTAAATTTGTGTCTTGTAATGTGGAATTCCTTTTGAATAGTATCGTTGAGAAATACTCGAGATTGAGAAGTATTTTGCATTCTACATTTTGGCATAGATTTGAATTGTATCGAGTTAAAAAATATGCAACTAATTATTATATCATTTTATGTTTATAATAGTAATCTCATCGTAGAAATACCCATAAAAGATAAATCTACTGTTATTATAGTTTATCTACTTTGAACCATCATCTTCACTATGCATCTTACTCAGCTTAGTTGATTGATTAAATATTGCTATCAGTCTATCTTCATAACTTGAATCTGGATAAATCATACAGCAACGCATATAAAGTAGAAATCTCAACATATTGTGAGAATACCAGTTTAATTTGTGCAGGTACAGCCTTTTTCGGCATCAGTTGTTTGATATATAGTTCGATAGCATTGGGCTATTATATTCAATACCTAAACTCCCCTGACAAAGCTATGGACAGAGACCATCATTAACAAGGGGATAAATTATTAAATAAATAAAAAATAGTGTTTCTGAAGTTGTTATAATAGTCTATTGAAAGGCCTTTTCAGGGGGAGTTAAACACTCCTCACTCTTACGTCATGTAAAATCTCAAATTTTCCTGAAAAAGATTTCAAAAATTATTTCTGTTGGCTTGGTAAAAGTCACAACAATGCATCAACAAAGTGTATTAATGCTACCACAATTTGGTCCATAGTGGGACATATTGACACCCAAAACAATGAAAATGTCAAATACTCATGTATACGCCTGTTCTTCTAGGCTTAACATTGCTCAGTGTATTAACAGTACAATATTTATGTGACCAAATTGACCTGTAGTATGACATTTATGACATATTTGGATTTTCCTTTAAAGCATTTTAAATGTCAAGTGGAATGATCAATCACCATTACTTAACTTTTAGAACCACAGATATAAGCTATAAGAACTCACACTCTTAATACTAATGGGGAAACTGTTTACAAATGAAAAACACCAAAAATACCACAATCATTTTTGCACTTTACCTGTTTACCATAATTTAATTAGGCTTTCTGGCTCATAGTTTTCTCTCACCACTGACCACTCCATTGTAGAATTCACCAACTTTACCCAGTTCATCATATACACAGAAGACTTCAACTATTATTTCTTGAAATTATTTTCATTCATAGTTTTACTTTCCATGCCATGAATGTCGGCTGCCAGGTGTTCTATGCACCGTAATAGATTGACTTTTCTTTGTTTCCGAAAGAAAGTATGAAATCCGATCGGATATTGGCTTGTTTTTTCCCGATGAATCTACCGATATACCGTCATTTTCGTCCGAAAAATAATTTTAAAGGTCAAATGATTGAAATTTTTCAACTTCGCCAGCCAGCCATGTTGAAAATATTTAGCACGTTGCCGTTGTAAGTCAGAAATTCATTGTTTGTATCCGGGACCCAACCTCGTACCCAGGGTCTTTTCTCTTTGCTCACTCTCTGTGCTCACTCTGGGGGAGCACCCGCTGAGAAAAGACCCTGGTATCGGCTGGTCACGTGTCTCCCAGAATCTGGGAGGTAACAAAAATAATAACTAAGGGTAGGGTAGCTGAGTATTATGTTTTATGCGCGATGAGTTTTGCTGCGAAAATGCCGAGGAGTGAGAAATCATATTTAGCCTGTACGATATGAAAAGCTATGAGCGATCAAATATTACGGAAATAAATACCGCAAGAAGTGTTGACAGTCTATTTATCTCAAACCATATCAAGTAACATATCAAATTACAATCGAGGAACATGTGCTTCAGTCTCAAAGCTCATTTTACTGTCCGGAATGGCTTCGAAGGAAACACCTGTAAAAGCGTATCGAGCTTTTAATCCTTCCACAAATTCTTCTTCTTGTCGACTATGCAGAACTGTTGGCGATCCCAATCACCGCAAGAACTTATTCAAGCCTGCGAATCGAGCTTTGCTGAGAATTGCCGAGAAAATTTGCGGTCATTCCATTGTTTACGACGCGAATTTACCGCATCTTTTATGTCGACCATGCGAACGCAGGCTTAAAAATACTATAGCCTTTCAGCAGATAATTGTGGAGACCGAGCAGTCATTTCGCCAGTCCTATCAGACCCGTTTCAAACGCTGTACCGATGTTTCTCCGTCTATTTCCCAACCGCCAAGATCACGCCAAGCAACATCAACTGCGGCGCCTTTAGCGAGGCATTCAGCAAGAACTTCGTTGTCGTTTGATTCTTGTCACGATCAAGAGTCCAGTGTGAATTATGATATAGAAGTGAGTACGCAATACTCTTTTTTCTTTCGGACAGTTGTAAATGTAAATGGCAAGTTTTGAATATAACTATGCGAATTCCCGCAAACAATGCAAAATTTTGAAAGAAACATTATTATGCAAAAATATGTAAATTCACTTTGTGTAAACAAATATACATCAAGGGCCGGTTGTTCGAAAGGGGTTTAGCTTAAGCGATAGATAAGTTCAAAACGGAAAACAAAATTACCTATTTATTGAACAACTGAGCTGAAATATTTCGATATAAGTTGTTTAATTTTCCATGGAGGAACATATTCAATACATAAGATGTAGTTTCAGTCACAAGATGTATGAGAGTATTTTTACCTTTGGCTTATCTACCTAAACTTTGGGTTATCTACCGTTTAAGCTAAACACCTTTCGCACAACAGGCATCTGCTATCAATTTGCCATCATACTTCAGATTCCTTCCCTTCATTGGGCTTCATATTAAAATAAATATCCCATACAGCGACCAAAAACAAATGATGATTGAAAATGTGTAAATGAAATCTTCATGTTTCAGTATACTACAGTTTCATATACCGCCTCAAATCTGTTGTAGAATGTAAATCCTTTGCAAGCTGGTTACAATGAGCAACTTAAGATTGCCAACAATGAATTGGTAAATATTGCTAGAAGAGATGAACCATCTGTGCTAAGAGATCGGTCCTATGCAGGTTTGTCCCAGGAAACGTGGATGGTTGAAGTTATAAAAGAACTTTCCACTAGATGCCCCACAGTTGCAGATATCTTATCAAGCTTGCTCGATTGTTCGATGGAGAACCTTGGCAAGAAGTTATCTCCCATTTGCCTGATTTATAGCATCATCATGTTTATGAGATGTCATGAGCTGAGCAGAATTCAGAGAATTAACACTGTCATTCTGACTGATGGAAAGGCATCAACAAATGTAGGTTCATATAGCATGCTTTTTGAAATATTATATACTGTTGCAGCCAAAAGTGAATAGTCTCCAAAAGGTTTAAGGAGAAAACTGTATTGTGATAGACAATAAGTATAAAGTACAGTGGTAATAGCTCCTCAATATGTTAGTGCCAAATTATTTCACATGCTTTACCACATTACTTGTGGAAGGGCTGATCCAGATCCACCTAAATATGACTTACGTGGAATTTAACATGTTTTACTGGTTTAACTTGTTTGTTCCTTGTATCTCATTTGCGGCAAAAGTACAAAGCTTCCTGTGCATTTTTCTGTAAATTGTTCAGTGTTACATAAATTAGAGGGTACAGAAAAATACATAGTCTCTATCTTCTAAGTATCAAAACAAAGAAGGGGTAATAATATTTTAAATGATTGAACTCATCATATAAAATGAACTCTTCACTCTATCATTGTGTTCAATATAAAAAAAACAATAGTGGAACGCTTAACACTTTACAGCAACATCACTAAAGTGGAAAGGGTTTTGTATTCTTACTGTGTATTTCTGTAAATATGCACTGTAATCATACTAAACTATACACTAACTACTAAAACCAACACAAGTTATCATTATGACTGTCATACTAAATCTATTTAATTTATCATTTATAGTTGCTTGAGCGACTAAACAAGTATGGCATATGTCTCAGCCCTTCTAAAAAGTATGTTGTCCTTGATGACATTGGCAAACACTTTTTGGATCATGCAGTGGAGTTGGTGAAGGCTGGGAAGAAGTTTGTCTTCGTTGTCGACAACATAGATTGGGAGGAGAAGGTGCATGATATGCGAGAAATTCATCAAAATAAGAGTGTCCATGCTGTTGCTACCAGCATGGTATTCACCCGAGTTTCAAGTGACCACCTACCTGATGATGGCCCTCAGAAGGATATAAAAACTTGCAACTTCCGAGAAATAGTTGACATGAAGGATGAAGAGCTAAAGGAGATTCACTATCGTTACAAGATATTGGTAGCACGAGTCTTAATCAAGATGTTTCCAGAATTCAGCAGAATTAAATCATACATATCTCAGGAGCTTCTACTCACTCATGAACATTCTGATACAGCATCTTGTAAGTCAGAAATTATTACTATGCCTGTACTAATGAAAGATGAGAAAAAGTATAGCGATTGTGTTGATGTTCTTGACCAGCTGGAAGAGTGGACACACGAGATATACAAGGCAAGTGGCAAGTGTCAAGATCATGCAGACCATGCATCTGCTTCCCATCCCTTGATAGAAGTTCCAACACGACCAGATCAACCAAGATCCCACATTCCACCTTCTACTCAAAATTCTGATCCACTTCAAGGAGTAAAAGTTGCTTGCTTTGGCGATGAGTTAACAAGAGTGAGGTTTGCTGGAGCACGTGACCTTTGTTCTGGTTGTCACACAGCGAAGCAGCGACTTGATCATTTATATCCATATCGAATTGTTGGATGGCATACAAAGAGGAGTTTTTTAAAGGTGAGCCTCAATTTTTCCTTTTAGTATAGCCAGAATGTTGGTTAAAGTTGTTTTGTAAATCTGTATATAATAAATCTGTTATGACGATGGTATGCCATGAATTGTCTTTAGGAGCACCAGGGCCTATCAGAGAAGTGTTGGGACCCAGGTAATAAACTGTACCCTGGGCCCCCAGCCTCAGTCTTCCCTCTGAAAAGTCCTGCAAATGACAAAATTACTTAGACTATCCAACCTGCCTATCAGTCCTACAGACTACAGTGTTAGTAACCTCCATCTCAGGGCACTTTTCATATACCATGGGTACAAGGTTTCAGTGTTTGCAAGGTAATTATAACTTGTAATTTTTTTTTTAGTCTGTCTTTAAACGGCTGTACAAAAACTCCAGCAGAGAACATGGCACATTGAGATACTTTCGGGAAGTGCTTAACAGAAGAAATGTGACAGTTGACATCAAGCACTACGAACACTGTGAGCAGTTCTTCATGAGTGTTGGTCACTGTTATCTGATTGAAGCACTGCTTCAGTTCTTCAAGATGGAAGATATTAAAGGGTTGCCAAAAGAGAACGATCCTTTTCTCCATCACAATGAAAGTGATGAAGAAAAGAAGGCCCATGTTTTAGAAGTACTGGACAAGTTTGTTCAACAGTTTCTTTGTCCAACTGATGTTGATGACAGTACTGACTCTTTAGATGATGACAGCACTACCTCAGATGGTGTATTTAATTATGCACTCAACCTATTGAAGTCATTTATGGTTCTTCTGGATTGCAAGGATGCTGTAGCTTCTGGAAATGGTGAGCATTTGGCCACAATCCAGAAACAGATGTTATTCTATTTCTCATCTGTTTCTGGATATAATGTTTATGCCATTGAGATGCTTATATTTACCATCCAGAATGAAATATTGTTATCACCTCGAGAAGCACATCAGTGTAAGTGGGCAGCTTTGGCTAACTGGAGCGGAGGTAAAGACAAAAACATAGAGATTGATTTATTACAGGAAAACCGGAATGCAGATCTCAAAGGGCTTATTCGGATGATGGGGGCCAACAAGACAGAGAAAGCCATTGGGAGGATGAGTAAAGCTGCTGGAGGGGTACGTAAGATCGTTGATGTGTTCGACGAACAGGCATCCATTAGACGTAAATCTTCAGCCCATTCCCATCGGTCATCGTCTGAAGATGAGAATAAAATCTCCTCAGATTTGCACAAATTAAAGCCCTTCGCTTTCCTGGGTGGTCGATCTCACTCTTCATTTGTGGGGATTTCTTCAGACCCATTGGAAGATTTAAATGAAGAAGCGTTTTGTGAATGGCTTAAGCGACATCAAAGGAATATTGCATTGCATTTCCCAACAGTTGAAGAAGCACCTACTGTACATGCAGATGCAGAGGATGATGAACAAAGTGAGGATTTCAGTGAACTAATGCACTCGCTATTAATTGATGACGTCACAGATGATATCTAAAACAACACTAAATTGCCATTACCCATATATAGTCTGAAGGAACATTTGCCTGTTCCCTCTACTGTCTTTCTCTACTATTTCTGAATGTTTTCACTTGTTTACGTTGAATAACCTTGAACATCAATTCCAAATTGTTAATGTTCAATGTTATCATCAAGTAAGAGTAATTGTCTTTGTACAAGTTATTGTCTTTCCCAGCAAAGCTCACTTTGAAGAGAATTTATTGATTTAAAGTGAGACTGGTGGTAAAGATAAAATCATATAACAGAAAGTCCACATGAGTTCTCCTGTCCCCAATCTGGTGCAGCAAAATTGCTACAAAAATTATACTAAAGTCAAATTTTAATGTATATGTGTGCATTCTGTAAATGATTTATGTAAATATCTGTAAATAATGTTTAAAAGTTCATTTGGGAATCATGTAAATTTTTGTATATATAATAAGAGATTAAAAATTTTCCTATGTGACAAAAAAGGAAACCAACAAGATAATTCACACAGTAACATTACTGCTTTATATAGTATTTATCAAATTGGCATGTTTATTTAAATTTTGTGCAATGATGATTTCTCCCCAAAACATTTTAAATTTATATGTTATGTATATTCCCTCTAACTTTAACAAATGAAGTTATTAACTAAACTTATCCATATATATTGACTGGTGCATAACATATTTTCTTTCTATATCAGTTAATACAACTTGAGCAATTACATTTCAACTCACAAACACTACAGCAAATGTGCTTAGGATAAACAGGTGTTATGTTATATGGTTCAGTGTCCAGTGAAGTGAGCAAGATATTTCTAAGGCAATCGCACTTGCTTTGGCACAATGTCCTAATAGCATCTTGCATCCCTGGCTTATTTCTTGCAATGTCATGATTATTGTAGTGAAGCACTGCAGTTGCAGGTTGCCCATCTCTTCCAGCCCTGCCAGTTTCCTGAAAATATGCCTGGATGGTACGTGGCGGGGTAAGATGCACAACACTTCGTATACATTTAATATCGACTCCCATCCCAAGAGCAACTGTGGCAAATACCACCCTTACAGTACTTTCAGGAGAACACAATTGCTTAAGAACTTCATCTTTCATTTCCTGTGTTTGTGGTGAATGAAATTGAGCAAACAGTCTGTTCTCTGGCACTGGTGCTGATCCTTTTGGAAAATACTGACTGCTTCCCAAAACAGACTCAAACAATTTGTAAGCAAACCCACACCACTTCAATGGGATGTATATAATTGTCAAAGGATAGTTTTTCTGTGCCTTCAACAAGTCCTGTGCAATTGGAGTAAGAATGTTTATTATTGAGTCCACATCTGGTTGACCTCTGAAATGTTTTTTGTAGGTAATGTTTCTCCGGTCAGGATTACCAATGACTTCGGTACATTCTTTAAGGCCCAATGATTTTTTAATAGATTCTCTATCACTTTTACTCGCTGTAGCAGTCATGGCAACAACTGGTACACTTGAAAACGTTGCACATAACACAGACAAATTGCCATAATCGACTCTGAAATGTTGACCCCTGAAATGACAGATGTAATTTTTAATAGTAAGCACAGCACTATGTACTGGTTGATTGATTTGCTCCACATATTATATCACATTTACTTGCATAAGGATTATTCTCATTTATAATAGTTTTCACACAAATTATAAAAGTTTAACTTTACCACTGTAAAATGCAATGGGCTTCATCCACAACAATGGCGCAGACGTTTTCCTGGTAAGGTTTGCTCTGCATCAACTTTCTTCCATAAGGACAAGAAACCAACGCTTCAGGGTGTGCGAACACAATATTATAGTGTCCGATTTCAAGTTTGGCTTTGTCGCTGAGACGAAAATCACAGACAAGTTCAGATTCTATGTCGTCTTCCTCAACACACTCTGATGAATTGGTTACATCGAGAGCAGACGCCCGAATTCCACTCAAGTCTAGCCGCAAAATCTGGTTTTCTATCAGCGCGTTTAAAGGTGATACAACAACAATAATTGATGTTATGTTTGCTGTGCTTTTTGGGACACCTTTCTTCTTCGCATACAGCAAGGCAGGAAGCAAGCAAAAAATCAACGATTTACCGTATCCTGTTGGTAGAACAGCAAGAATATCCGAATTTAAAAAGATCCTTTCTAGGCAAATTACTTGTTTAGGTTTCAAAACAACCTCGCTGTAAAAGCTATTTAACAGAGCGAACTCTAAGCACGAGAGAAAATGCCGACACTTCGAGTTTTTCAACATGGCGACTTGCGGGATAGCCTGCGATCGGGCTCTCATATAGGCAGCCGATATGCCACCCCCCCAAAGGTTGACAATTTTCCTAAGGTCACATGACCAGCCGACACCAGGGTCTTTCCCGCAGTGCATTCCCCCCACTGTGCCCCCAGGAAAGCCTACAAAAGACCCTGGGTACGAGGTTGTCCGGGACCCTGATTGGACAGTTGTAATGCTAATTATTGGCCCAGAGTGATTGCAAACGTTCTGCGGCGTTCAACCTCCTCCCCAGGCCAAAATACATCGCATTATTGGCAATATTTGCCCTCTGATCAAAACTATTTATAACAACATAAGGAAAAAATAGTTATAGATGCCTTTTTATTTATTTAAAATAATACGGTAATACGTATAATACTCATTTTATAGTAAACCAGGGGGTCAAATCCTGGATGATTGGGGGAGGGCAGGGGAGTCTGAAGGTGGTCGATTTGTCTTGGTAATAAAATGAAAAACTCCTAGTAACTGAAACGAATATGACTGTGCGTGGCTTTCTAATCAGTGTCGCGCACAAACATTTTACTTATCCAATATCCAGAAGAATGGGCAAATTATTATTTATGTACATATTTTGCGTTATATAGGTTGATTTAGATGGCTTAAAAAATCAAGCTGCTGAACGAAAGGAAAGGGAGGAGACGGAGAGGCAACGCGAAGAAGCATTTGGTATGTTGTACTCAACGTATTTTACCGAAAGTGCTTTTTAATCAGTGAGTAAAGAAAAGCCTGAGTAGGTTTTTTTTAACACAAATTTACATCCAGACTATTTCAAATCGGCGAAAATGACTTGTTCACGACACTTACAAGGCTATGATATAAAATTGCGCAAATTGCTACCAAGCCAGCACATAAAGTGATCCGCGCAACCGCCTCGCTGCGACAACTGTCTCGATTTCTGGTTGACGAAAAGCTTTGACGTCACACGAAACAATTTATTTTACAGCAAATCAGACAAATCGGAATGACAAGATATGCGTGCTATTAGAGAAGAGGCAAGAGAACGATATACGAGAGCTGAATAAGTCTTTGAACGATTACAGAAAAACATTTCAAAGAAAGGAGGATACGCGCGAATTTGATTTAAATGACCCAGATCAACTGAAGAATGACAAACCAGCTCGTATATCAGATGATGATCCTAGATTAGGTATTTCTAGTTTGCAGAAATTCTCTGGAGAGGACCTTAACAGTAAGGAAAGGAAGCAATTACAGCAAGAACAAGTGAGGTTAGTCTACTATATATACGCAGAATGTATATACTCCACTAAAATAAACGTCATCGAGTGAAACTTCGTATTACTATTATGGATAGTCTTAATTTGGTTTATAGTAGAAAATTTTCATGTTAAATCCTTATTGTCAGGGAATGGTGCAAACAGCAAATGAACGAAAGAAGTCAAGAGGAGGCAAATAATTCACAAGCTAACAGACTTTATGATTTGAAAGCAAGAGAGTTGGATCAGAGAGCTGTTGAACTTGCTGAATCCGAACGGCAGTGCAGAGAAGCAATCAATCTCGCAACTGCAAAATACAATGCCGCGTTGGCCAGGGAAACGAAGGCAAAGAATGAGTTGATTAAAACTCAAGAGCAAGATGATAATTTCACAGAAATGTCAAATCACATCTTTGGAGATATTCTGACGGAGAATCCCGATGTTGCTCAGAGTGCGTTTGGTCCACATCGTGTTATTCCTGATCGATGGAAGGGAATGAGTCCTGCTCAAGTGAATGAAATACGAAAAACACAGCATGATCAGATGTTAGAGAAACAGGTTTGTAAATATGTAGTTTTTTCGTACAAATGTAGAAAATCATGAAATCGACATCTGTGTGTAATAATTTTTTTGTGTTTTTTGTTGTTTTAATTCAGCGTCTCGAGGAGGAAGAAAAACGGAGACAAGAAGAATGGGAAAGATTACAACTTGCTCAAGCCAAAGCAGGAATTTTAGCCGAACGAGAACAAGGGCGCGTGAAGAAACAATTAAACAAGCAACTTATAGATGAGAATACACGACTGGCTTCGGAACAGAGAATCTAGTGAGTATAAATTTGCGAGATATACATATTATACACCATTGCAAACTTAACTATATAAGCTATATACTCAACAGCTTTCTTATGTGAAATTAGTTTATTCACTGTACAAATTGTGTTTCCATTTTCAGCCAAAATCATCTCAACAAAGAAGTATATACCAATCCACCAACAGCTGATTTCTTCATGCAGTTTAACACAAGCAGCAGATGAACGTTATGCATGCAATCTTGTATTCCGAGTTGTATTCCATATGATGATAGTAAATATTTGTCTGATAAATGACAACTTCGTAATTATACTAAAGGTTATTGCATGCAATGGTCTGATATTTCAAATTCTTTATCTTTACGTGTATATGACTTTATTATATCACATTTGTGATCGATCTCTTACATTTTTTTAACAACCTTTTACTCTTGCAAAAGAGTTGTAAAGCAATTAGTTCACCACTTCGGCGTGATAAAAAACATCATCTTACTGGTGATTTCATAATACGTGCAGTATTGAAACTACATACAATTTATGGTTATTTCACACGGGTTAAACTACTCTAGTGCTTCTTGTATCATATATGTTGATCCTGTCACCGGGTAATACCACGCCAATATGGATAGGATATCAGCGCGAAAATGACATCTTAACAGATCAGGCGATACAGCTATAGTGAATTAATTTGCTAACTTACCTAACTGACCATGTAACACGAGATTTCCATATTTCAGTCAAAAATAACGTGTCCAACAATACAATAGATTCAATCATCGATGTATATGGCAGTATATAATATGTCTTAAATTGGTTGTTAATATTAAATAAAAATTGGAAACCAAATATATCACAGTCTTTGCTGACTTTTATGAGTAGTAGCATCTATACAGTATCACACACCACGTAATCGTAATGTACTTGCCTTACACGTCTGATTCGCATAGGTCGATCTCGTTATGGTCACAGAACAGATTCTATAAACACAGTTCAACGTACAAAAATTAAACTTTACACTGCACAACAGTAATTTTAAGATAACTAGATTTCAGTTGCTTTGCCTTTCGAATTCAAAGCATTTACTCACTAAAGACCTTTTGTTCTAAGTGCTATATATATGATTGCGTATCCATGCGATAATCAAGAGCTGAACTTGAATTATGCTATAGACAATAACTAATTACTACGCAATTATGCTAAAGTAATCTTGGATGTTATTTAGTTAGTTCTTGTGTAAATAATTCTTAATGCATTTAATTAACTACCATGGCTAAAATGCAGACACTTCCAATAAGTTTCACTCTTCACCATGATTATGTATACTTACGGAGCTCGGGATAACTGGAAGTAATTAGGCCTTTCGAGTGCAGATTTAAAATTGAATTTGCTATCACTTTTGCAGTTCGTTTCTGGAGAAAAGGAAGAAAAAGTTATTTGAAATACGGCTTTGGTGCATGTGGTCTATTTACGGAAGGCGACGTTTCACATTCAAAACCACGGGTGTGGTATGGCCTTGTGTACGAGGCTGAAAAGTTCTACGACGTAAATCACTGTAGGAGTTATGTAAACGTTATGTATATATCTGTGTCCAGTAGCAGATGACCAAGGCCCATAACCTCCATACTCTATACTGTCACGTACCTGATACCCGCCAGATGTGACCATAAAAATTGGTATACCACCTTCTCTGGCTGATTTGAACACAATTTCATCCCTTTGTATAATACCCTGAAATGTTAACTTTGCTTCAATCAATATACCAATATGTGTTGCATATTTGAAATTTTGGCGAATTTACTTTGCCGGAGCAATTCACTTTTACCAACTTGAACTACACACTGTGAATTATTGGAGGGTATTAATACATCCCTTACTACCACCCGTCCTTGTGGCCACGTCTCCAAATACTTCTATAGTACTGTAATTGCTCAATTTCATTACCTGCTCAGTTACTGCTAAGTTTCCAAGAGGATCACCTTCGAGAATATCAGTTCCTAGAAACAAATATATCGATTCGTAGTTTCAATTACCTACAGAATTTCTTTGCAAGATTAAACGAGTACCTGCGTTGTAAATGATGATATCAGGATGAAATTCACTCAGAGCCTCGTTTACGTTACTATAAAGAGATTAATAAAGCGTTAATATTTATTACGAAAATTTCTTCTTTTCATCCAAATATATATGATATATTTGGAAGGTGATCCCGGTGGACCGAGGATAGATTGGCAGAATAATTTGGCCGTGTTTACTGGTTCACACTTGCCCCTTGTTTCCTTTGTCTTGGCCTTTAGTTTAGACTAGATGTTGTCTGCAAACTTTCTAACCTGTCAGTCGCATTTTCTAGCAATAAGCATTCACACTGTACTGGTTGGCTGCTTCGCCTTCTGGACAGTTTTTTCCATACTTTTGCACAAAGAAAACAAACTAGGCCATGCACGTTGTACCGCTGAGTGCCCCCTCCTAGTCCGCGCTCTATTCTATTCTATCAAATTGGCCTAACCAAGAGTATCATTTTTGTTGCGCACATTTCTCTACAGAAAGGTAGGATAATTTGCTGTATTTACCGTTCAACGAGGGGAAGATACGTAGCGTCATCTGTTTCATGTCTTAACTCAACTTTTTTCCGAATCGCCCCTGCATGAAATTGAGTAGACTATAAATTTTATTAATAATAATGAAATATGATCGGCCGGACAATGTACATGTTCACTTTTGTACCTACTTTTTGCATAAATGTCCCGAGGATATATTCCAAAATTGTATACATCCATGATATAAACATCAGGATTATCTATAAAATCTCGTTCATGGCCATTGCCCTACCCAAAATATAGATGGACTAATTAACCAAATTAAACCATAACCGTAAATATTATAGTCCTGTATAAGGACCTCATATCGGAATGGAAGCTAAAGCCTTATAATAGCAAATTTTTATCGGTTTCAACATAAACTGTACCACAACCCTTATTAGATACTGTGGTGTTCATTGAGCTACTATTTGCTGTTTAAATCCGTGGTTGTCTCGCAATGTTAGTAGAATTGTAATGTTATCTCACAAGAGTTCCGTGATGTAATTTGTTTTAAACAAAGTAACATACCTGGTGAGCATCAAGGTCTATTATCATAGCTTTTGAAATCGATTGAAAACTCTTGAATAAAAACTAAAAATAGATTTTATCATTGATATGGACAAGACTTTGGAGACACGCCTCAAAACACATGTACGAAATAGCTTTGAGACAATATTTATACACGTCACGTCATCACTTAGTCTTCGGGCGAGAGAATGTCAGACAGGAAAATTATGAAATCCACTAGCTAATACGAACAATAGAACTGGCTTGTTTTGGTAACGTAAAATTCCTTCGAAAATTTGATCAGCAATCAAAGGGAACTCTTGTTACACAATTCCGCTGCGAGGAAGTTGAAATGATTTTCAAAGCATGCAATTATGTTGCAGAAACGTGACTTACGTGAATTGATAAAGTGATGTCAGCATAGGCGCAGAATCCTCCACCTTCGTCACTTCGACAATGATGAAAACCTCCTCCTAGGAAATGCAGAATATTGTATTATGTACACTTTCTAACGTCGTATAACAGCTTATCTTACACCGCATGATTTCCGTTCTCACAAGTTCTTATAACAATTCTGAAAAATGGATTAGGCGTGACAACTTCTGGAAAAGTAGTTTCTGTAAATGAACTTAAAAAAATGATGAATCCTTAAAAAACCTACCAATATTTATTGCCCATCCTTTATCAATGGCCAGTTTGCCAGCCTATATAAGACAAAACTATTGCTAAATGATGAACCAGAGAATAGCGATGTAGATTTATTGACACATACCAAAATAGTTCCACCCGTTTGCAACCTAAGTGGTTTTAACATAACTCTTTGGACAATAAAGTTTGGCAAGAGAGCAACTGGAGGTACTTCTGTAACTGCGGCAACTTTCCAGGACCACTTAAAAACAGAATTAGACATACGTCAGGCAGACGTCAACTGTCAAGTTTCAAAATGATTAGAAGGAATTAAGGTTCACAAGTCAAAAACGATGAATGGGTACCTTCAGACTATCAAGGTATTCCTTTGTGTGAACTTCCAGCAAATTTTCCTCACTAGCTTCAACGGGGCTTATAAAATTTTGATTCTTCAGTATACCACTCTCTGATAAATCAATATCAAAGAGATATATAAATGTGCTTGATCAAAATCAAGATTTATTTACAAATTTGGCAGGGCTGCGGCAACAGATAGTCAGTAGCATAACTAGAACAATAATTGGGAGGGAGTGAATATTCATATATTCAATTCTGAGTGACACCAATTGTTTGTAAGTGCCATAGCTTACAATAGAAATATGTCAGGCAGAACTGGATATATATGAATATTCACCCTTCCCCCCAATTATCATTCCAGTTATGCCCCTGCAGGTATTGCCAATTACCTGCTATATATCAATAATATCATAGTTCATTTTATTTGCATGTGCCTACCTACTAAAAATGCGACAGCTCTGCCCCATTTTCCTGAGTCAAATGGATGAAGTTTTTGTAGGCCAAAAAAGCTGATGTTGTAATCTGGACTGTAAACTATGGGCCACTGAGATGAATTTAGATCTTTGTACAAATCATTTCTATAAGGCAATTACATACCACTAGCATTGAGAACTTACAGTGTCCTAATTCTACCCTAATTCAACTCGTGTGAATTGGTTTTATATTTGCTGTTTCCCCTTTTCAGCAGGAACACAATGGTATGTAGTCATTGTAAATATCCTTTAAGATTAAAATATTTTAAAGACCATTATGAAGTTGTGATAAGACATTGACAAAAAATATTACTTAATTCTGTAAGCTGCAACCTTTGTTGAAGCTAATTTCACAAATGGTTCAAATTCTTCCCGTTCAACCATAGGAGACAGGGAGGATCTTGTAGGTCAAGCACAAAAAGATATTATTTTTCTACTATTTCAAAATCAGACTACTGATTTGGCCTTGATAAACATTTTTACTTAATTGTGTCAGGAGAGACCCCTTTAATAATAATAATGGCCTCCTGCTCAAAATTGCTTATGAGGTCCTAGGTGCCTCAAATAGTACTCTGATTTTCCAAGTGAATCCATCCCTGGATTTAAGGCCTAAACATAGCAAATTAATTTTTATTTTGTTATTTGATTTTGAGAGCAAAACAATGCAATGCCTAGTGACATGCCTTTACTATGTGTCGACAGTAAGACAAATGTAGACTTTTGACATAATTCTATCCTATAAAATTTGGATTAATTAATAAATGCAATGAAATATATCTATCAAATTCATATGGTATCATTTGTCTATTACCTACTAAGTAGACCAACCTAATGTTTTCAGAAATTCTCCTCACAAATGCCACGAGAACGTTTCCTGGAAATAAGGTCGTTCTATAAAATACTGTGACTAAAAAGCCACTGTGCTGTCTGTACATGATTGTTGTTAAATCTGGCTATAATTTCCTTCTGAACATTCTAGCCTCATTGGTTTCAATAAGCAATCTGATCGATCCGACCGTGTCGAACAATCATTGAAAAACGCTCGTTAACAATCATAAAAGTATGAGGTAAGCTATGTGTCTGAAGTTCTGCTTACGCGATTGTACCTGAACCAGTGATGTTTTAATTAATTTATTGACATAATACTTATCATACTCAAAACGAAAATTATAGTATCATTCGTAATTACCCCTCAACTTTTTCCGCACATTGTGATTCTGCCCTCTCAGTTTTGCAATTCTTGGATATTGTGCTCTGACCTTCTGCCATATTATTCTAATCTTAATATCTTTAATATCTTTTACTAATTAACAATAGTGCATTTTGGGATTGTTTGAAGATGGGCGTCAATCGAAAGTTCATTGGAGTATGGTCCCCCCTGAATTACCGTTCGATTGGCGCCAATGTTGGAAGGAAATATCAAATCAAAACGGAATGTTCCCACTCCTTCAATGGTGATATACACTGATTTATAAAGAAATCTGGCCTGTGTGAAATATGTTGATCAGAAGTAGGAATTTTGCACTGAATTTTCCGCTTACTACAGGATGCGCATTAAGGATAGGTTTCCTCATTATGATTCAATGGGTGTAATATGTATGCATGGTGCCATATAGCACAGATGACGTCATGACGGTCACAGAATGAAACGTAATTTAGAGCATGGATAGTCTTCATTTCATATGATCAAGAAAGGAAACTTTTTTAGAAGGGGAACATCATGCAGTCTTGAAAATGGGAACATTTCCCACTTCCAATAAGATATCTGTCACTGAAGATCTCCATTCGAGTTCAACGCTTACAATCCACCCAGCAGGACAAAAATAGGCTATTTAATCCATCAGAGAGCGATAAACCAATAGTCAAAATGAGCTTGTATGATCGCGAAATTTTCCTGTTTCACAAGCGGCAAAAATAGTCTCGTGTGCTTTATCAGTCAAACCTCAAACAAAGGCAAGAAGAGCAGAAGCAACAAACTATCTCTTTGGGGATGTCAATTATCAATGCGCTGTTAAAATTAATATGTAAAACAATGCAATGTGAACACCGTCTACACTTTGTATTTACTTCATTAATATAGAAATTATCTACTAAATTTTGGCAATTAACTGCAGTACACCACTAGCCCCTAACAGTTCTCCTGCCAGAGGATGATAAAAGTGGTGCTTAAGAATAAATTTGGACAGGTAAAATACATCTGCAGACATATTGTATTTAGTAATCATGGTCTGGGAAAGTGCCTCTGTATTTGTTTTCCAAAAACTCTCCAAATACAACTGGTAATTCAATATTACTGTTCAGTTCCCTTTCTTTAAATGGAATCATTGGATTCTTTATCTGAAGAGGGCTAACAACAGTTTCCAACTGTGGCCCAAAGAAGTACGCTACAGAAATACGATCTCTTCCAGTTTTTGACTTCCTAACTCGATGCATTGTGGCTTTGAATGAACCATTGGTCCATACCTCCAGCATATCTCCAAGATTGACCACAAATGTCCCTGGAATGGGAGGTGCTGGAATCCACTTACCATCCTCACCTCTTATCTCCAGACCTCCAACATCATCTTGCATTAGAATTGTAAGTATGCCATAATCTGTATGTTCACCACAGCAGATTTCATTAGGCTGATTAGTGCTAGGAAGGTAATGGTACATTCCAATGGTGGTTGTAGGATATGGATGAAATTTTTGAATAAAAAATTCTTCTTTTAACCCTATAATGTCAGTATCACAAAATAAAAAGCATGAATAACACATTATTATTTCACTATCAGCAAAGGTAAACCAGACTGTAGAGATTTAGCTTTATGCAAGACCCTGTCTATGAGATTTGCACAAGGCAATTGCATTGATGTGAACTCAATACTATTGATTAATTATCCTTTATGTTAATACAACTCTGGCACTTTTATCAGCTGTTGATATGATTAGTATATGATGAGCTATGAAGGGGCCAGGAAATTTCCAAGCCTGGTGATCATGATAGCTAAAAACGGCAATGGAGGGAAAATACCTGGGACCCAAAGCACCCAGAAGTGGGCCAAGCATAAGAAATAAGTAAAAGGTGACCATTGCCATTTGACACACACCCTGTCACAAGGATTAGCAAAAAAACTGCTAAATGAACTACAAAATTTTGCAGAGTCAATAAGGGTTGAGTCTAAGGGGGCTTTTACTCACTGATTTGTCACAGACCATGGAGTGGTTTTTGCTGACCTTTGGGATTTCACAATTGATATATGCTTTTTCCACATTTCATCACCCCTATCTCCCTGACTTATTAAGTCAATACAAACACAATCATAACACAAACACTGAACTTGCATTTCATATTCAGTTACTGCAAAGCTTCTGTTACTACAGAGTACAGCATATAAACATTACAGTACCTACCCATGGCTTGTGCGAGGGCATTCACGATTTTGAAACCCAATACATTCAGTTCTTTATGGTATGCATCAAGAGCATCCTGGAAATCTCCAGGTTCTTCAGGCAGTAAATTTCTTTGGGTAACGAGGGGAAATTTCTCTTTGCTTTGGTGTGTGTCTGGAAGTTCGTCTCCGAAAGAGTACAACCCTTCTCGCCAGTCGGGAGCATCATTTACTAAGTACGCTGTTGTTTCACTTTGAAATTGAAAGTAACCCACCATTCCTGGTGTTCCTTGCGACTTTATCACTTCTTTCTTTCTCAGAGGCAATGCGAAGAAGCTCTTCAAAGCGTTGAATAAATTTATCTGTACTTCTTCACTTACGCCATGATTTTTAACATAGAAGAAACCGTAATCTCTGCATGCTTCTGCAATAGATTTTGTTGTATTTACGCATTCATTCTGATTGCTTTCACCTTGAAAAACTGATAAATCAATCAACGGTATTCCCACTTTTACCGCATCATTTGACATCCTTTACTTTATAGGTAAAATATAACTAAAATTTTATCCACAAGTTGTCAAGTTCGGTTCCAAATTCCAAATCTGCGGTGTTCTTTAAGACCAGTGAAGGCACGCATGCGCTTCAATGAAAGTTTGTATCTAATTAGCACATATAACACGGCCTAATAAACCAATAAATACCGTGTTATATGTGCTAATTAGATACACTAGTGGCACTACTCATTAGTCACTAGATAGATTAGCTAATAATTAATAAGTTATAAGTTCCACTTTGACACAAAATAAAATGTTATGAGGAGGGGAATAGCTCCCTCTACAGCCTCTGCTCTACAGCTCTACTGTCCTTGTTTTTAGAGGCTAATGAAGGCTGAGCCTTTTATACTCTTCAATATTACAGCGATATCCTACACCCACTATTTTGTTACTGAAGGTATAACAACTGCCTAATATAAAATAGGGGCTTTGCCTTTGGTAAGGAGACTACGACTAGAGTTGTAACTGGGCCATCACATTTTAAACATTTGGTCATCAAATAAACCTTTTCCACCCATATTCAAGACAAAAGAGAGTCATTTCAAGTAATATGGTAATCTTTATTAGATTTTGTTTGTTTCTTCTTTTAATCAGCGTGATTGTAAAAACAGCCCCAATAATTCATCAGCAGCTAATCCTGGTGTAATGTTTCCTCTTTTAACTTGCTCTTCATAATACCTGACATTCTCTTTGACAGCTGGATGTTTCTTAAATAATTCCAGAACTTCATATTTTATGTAACTCCACATCCAAAGTCCATGCTGTTCTTTTCGTCTCATTTTTAGTTCCCCTGATTCAGTCATAATTTTAAAAAATTCGTCCACCTGATTCCATGCTTCATTAATACCTTCTCGTTTTGTTGATGAAGCGGTGAGAATCTAAGAAAGTTCCAAATGAACAATAGCATAAAATCGGAAGTTATAAGATGCATAATAAATATACTCCATCTGATACGTCACAAAAAAAACATGTAGTAAGGTCTGTGTTCGGCCCAATTTACCCTTTCAATTTTCTCATAATCAACTGGTATCATGCAATATAAAGTTTTTAAAAATTTGAAACAAATATGAGGTGAAACAGTTCATGTTTTAGAACCTTGCATTTAAAAAATTCCAACTGTGACAATGCAAGGAAAGTTTTGAAGACTGTGCACTGTGCATCACATGCAAGTTATACAAAATTTGTGTTATGTAGTGTTAAGAACTTTCATTTATGGTTACCTTTGGGTTACCAGGGAATTGACCTCTCAATTAATGCGCTTGACACAACATAGGGAAAGCGATGATACCAATGTTAGGTGGTGGGAAAGTAAGGCCATTCAAACTATTCCTGTGCAGCATTTGCAAAGTAAGCATGGCATTTAACAAAAGAAATATATATACCTTAGGCTTCCACAATAAAGACTTCTTGCTCCGTAAAAATTTACTTGCACTTATGTACTCGGCCTTCATTTTTCTGGCAGCTGCTTTCAAGTCTCCATCATCTTTAGTAATAATTATTAGATCTGCAACCTCCATAATCCCACGTTTAATCCCTTGCAATTCATCTCCGGATGCAGGACTGACTAACAAGATAAACATATCTACCATTTCTGAGACGGCAAGTTCTGATTGACCTACACCAACTGTTTCAACCAAGATCGTATCATAACCAGCTCCTTCACATAGAACTATAGCATCATTTGTACATCGAGTCACACCACCTACATATAAAAGAAAAACTTCATTGTATTATATAACAAATCTAACTATGAGAATTGACTAGAAGGATTCAACAAATGCAGTGATTAAGAGACACAGACTTGTATCTAAACTTTTCAATGCCAATACTTCTAGATCTTAAGATCTGATATTCATCAACTGCAGTCAAGGAGTCCTATGCACCTTTAGTTCAATGTTTTACAATGTTTTTCCCTACCAGATGACTCCGCTGTTTTGCAGATTGCTCTAATTGCTTGTGGTGGTCTGCTATAGGAGGGGAAGCTGTTTAGAACATTGCAGCCATGTCTGCTATTTCCAGACAGATAAAACTGTTAATATTCATTGACAGTCACTTTTAAAGTACTCTAGAATTTACCTCACCTAAGGCACCTCTTGATGGAGATGGTCGAATAAAAGCATTAGGATGTCTACTAAGTTCTGTCATTCGTGTTTTATCTCCTAGTAATGACCCACCAGTCGTAACAGATGATGGATCCACAGCAAGTACTGCCACCCTATGATCTCTGTCAGTCAATATTGTCCCTAAAGCTTCAATAAAAGTGGACTTCCCTGCTCCAGGTGAGCCTGAAATACCAATGCGATATGAATGAGGCTGGAATAAATTCTGTCGACATACTTTTAAAACTTCGCTTAACAAATGTTGAGCTAAAATCTTCTTCTTTGGATGAGAAGATTCTATGAGGGTGATTGCTTCAGCTAGTTTAGCACGATCTCTGCCTAGAACCCCATCAACAAGATATTGAATGTCCTCCTTTGACGTCCCTGAAAGATGCCGAGAAATTCTTGGAAAGCTATAAAATTTATTTAAAAATCTATACATGATGTATTGCCCCATCAGTTCCTTCTCCTCTCGACTCGAGAATTTTCCAATTGCCGTAACTTCATGTAAGATCAGACAAGAAAGATCAGCTTTTGTAGTTTGTCACAAAGGTTTCAGAGCCGGGAATCGTCTGTGGGAAGCGTTAGATAGATATGAAACGATCAATGAAAAACTCTTCAAAACTAATCTAATAGCGAAAGATTTTTGCAAATTTATTACAAAACAACCTAAAAAGGTTGGGACACCCCCCTGTCCCCCATCACCATGACACCATGGCATGTAATGGCATGATGTTAAAAATTCGGGTAGGTCTGCCCTCCCACCTCCTGCACTAAATTTCCACCACTGTTCAAACATGGTAAATTTATGACCATGTTTTAAAGGCCATTTTTTAAAAATAGGAAATATGCATCATTCACCATTGTGACCTGTAAGGAAGGTAAATTAGTTCGGTGTAATGTGGTGTAGATCGGATGAGGAGAATAACTTATTTTCACATGAAATTCTAAATTTATTCTTTAAACACATCCACATGTAGGATTTTAATTAGCATGCCTCAATAAAGCATGCCTGTTCGACAATAAAGCATGCCTGTTCAAAACAAAATGAATAAAGCCTGAATAAAGCATGCCTGTTCAAAATGCTATAACCTTCAACTGCTAACAGCTATCTCGGCCAAAACTACATGCAAAAAATTAGGGGGTGCATGTTCATATATTCTTTCTGCCAAACAGATTTCTTTTGTATGTATATGCATTTTCAAAAATCTGTCAGGCTAAACCAATTATATGAACATACACACCCTCCCAATTATTGTGCTATTTTCAGCTCTGATAGCTATTTTGTTTTCCAGTGTGTGTGCTCCATATTTGCTAGTTATTTAAAAATTTAATTTTAAGCTAATCATAAGTATCTGTGATGTTAACAATGAAAAATATTTTGATTTCCTAGGGGGAAATATGGAGAAGCAGGAAGAAGCACATTCCCCTGATGTTTGTTTTTGCAAACAAAATAAACTGCATAAAGACATATTATTGCATAATCAATAGTTGAACCCAATGAGGGTAACATGTTTACTTCATGATATGAATATAATTACAAGAAATAGAAACACTCATTTATCAGCACAGCAAGTACAAATAAATTAATTTGTTTTGCTCTAAATTATCCTGAACACCAGGCACATGACAAGTTTGTGTGTTTCTGCAGATGGCAGCAATGGTTTTGTTAAACTTCACACATGATGATTGGTAGATCTGGATGGATTTTTGGAAAGGGCAAGTCAACTTTTCCCTATCAAAAAAAATTTTAAGCGATGTTGATCATTTTAACATTAAACTGAACAATGGGCAAACATCCCTAACCTCTGGTCGCAATAAACTACAATCAACTCTCTTCATTTTTGATCGCTTCTTCTTTTTTGACCTCACTTCTTCATAAAATTCATGGGCTAAATCCCCATCTTCATTGAAAAACATCGAACTAAATTTAAAAAAAAGAAAAATTGTGTAAACTTCTATAGTTTGTATACATAATAAAAAAGTGGGACAATTTATGTGTGCAACCTCATCTGTAAACTTTGTTGTGATTTCTTTCTTTTGAAAAAAGTAGAAGGGGCAAGGCATTCTTAATTAATTTGTTTGATCTTACTTACTGAAGGAAAGACATTACCTATGATATAAACAGGATTGAAAAATGTCCTGCAGCCCATATTGTTCACAATTTCTATCAATACTGAACGATATTGTTCCACTCGATTTAGTTTTAACAATATTTTTTAATTTTGTTGACACATGTAAACAGAAAGGGGCCAATGGGCAAGGAATGCCAAGGATAAACCGACTATTGACTATGTCAGGTTGTCCTCCGGTTCCAGTTTAGAATGTTACTCAGCCGTGGTTTTATATGTATGTAAACGTTATTTTATTGCCATCACTAAGAATATACCTACCTAACTCGTTTCAAAACGAAAATTGAACCTCTATAGTTGTTCAAGAGGTTATTTATTCGGTTCTCAGCCCCATTTACAGCGCTGGATTCTTCTTCATAATCTCCCCAATCCCATATTTTACGGTATAGACCTGATACCTTCGATCCCATTCATAGAAAACGAATGTTATTAGGACGAAACTGAAAGATTATTTGACCTTAAAGACTTTTTACATACTGTAGACTCTCAACTCAAAATTTAAAATTTATGTTTTGTATAATGTATACCATGTCGTCACACGACAGCTTCCTGGTGTTCCTGGGGACAAATATAGTGCGAGACTGTCACGCGTGTTTGTCACGAATAGGGATCAGCATTCAGCAATAGACCTTTCCTATGACGTCAAACGCGGAAAGTCTGATGTTACACGAAATTTAATTGGCTCCACAAAACTATCGAGCCAATCACACTTCGTGTAATATCAGACTTTCCGCGTTTGACGTCATTATGAAAAAGGTCTATTGCATTCAGCAGGGCAGGTGAGAAGTTTATAACTTACGCCTAGTTTTCATTCAATATTACTTTTAACTTCTACGGCAGATGTAAAAGTGTCAGCATATTTCTGCTATACGTGCAAAAAACGTTTATACCACTATGCGTTGCACACAAAGACGAGATCAATCCAGTCTTCTGTCGATTGTCTACATCGATCGACCGAATGACAGGTAACGACCAAATGAGAACTAGGTTTTTCTTTGATCTATCAATTCGCTACGACTTACTAGGTTATGTAGGCGAGTAATGGGTGATAATGGGTGACCTACAAGCATAGCTACAAGACAACCAAACTGTTTTGGATTATATGGTGATCTCCAACATCGACAGGACCAGACAGATACAAATGAAGGAAATGGCAAGAAATACAGTGGATGGAAATTATGACAGTCGTAGAGCAAATTACGTGGAGGAAAAATACTGCCTTAACCCACCCTTATTAAAACAAGATAACTACTTGACAATTATTTGTATTTCAAAGGAATAGGAAATATCATTAGCTAATACATAAAACTTAATAAAGAAGCAACTAATATTAAATTAAAGAGCACATGCAGTTCTAGTTAAGATATTTGTGATACAATGCAGCTTTAGCTTCATGTCATGAGCACATTCGTGTTCACAAGTTGCATGTTTATCGAAACTTATATCGGACATAAGGGACTTCGACATCTTCACCATCAGCATCATTACAGCATAATTCAAAAACTAAGGCTTTAACATGAGGCTTGATCTTCTTCTTAGATACTTTTGCGACAAGTTCTGTCATTCTAAAAAAACAACATTACGGTATTCGTTGGCGTCAGAAGGATGAAAAATAAATGCTCAATCAAACGCAAGCAATCCCTCCCTCTTCAACTTTAAAGTATTACTCACGTCAGAGGTAGACGTTCCTTCAGTTTAGATTGAGACATAAAAAACGAGTAGAGCATACACACGCCTTGTGATAACATGGACACTTCTAGCTTATGCTCATTCTGTAATCAATGCAATAGAAATCCACAATCACTAAATTTCAAATACATACAGTAAATAATGAAGTCACGACGAACCACATTCAAGATCGTCAGAAACGTCATGTTTAATAATTGGGTTCTTAGTTAAGGAGCAAGATAGATAAATCAGTTCGTGCCGAAAATGTAAAAGAACACTTCTCAACGTCTCGACACTAATGCCTTTTCCAACTAAGACCCATAAATATCGAGCACTTTTTTTGAACCGATTTGTCTAATCCAAAATTTGAAAAAGCTGTTCCCTGCTATTCCCTGATTATGCAAGACAAAATTTTGGCTCAATTACATAAGAGTGTGTAACAACGAAAACAAAGCAACCTACAGGCCCGACAACTTCACAAAACGTCAAAATATAAGTCAGCTTTGTTTTCTTACTTGAAAGTAGTCCATGAATTCTTGAAGGGTAAGTTCTTCTCCCTTTTCGTTCAGCGTTAATTCAAACCGATCCCATAGGCTAAATTCTGTCTCGTTATACTAAAATAAAATGGGCCATAAGAAATAATGAGTCAAGTTTAATAATCAATTATGAAATGGAAAGATCTGAATAAATAAAATATATTAGGGTAAGCTTCTTACTTTATTTTTAGGTGCAGAGATTGGTTCAGAAAATGCGAAGAAAGGCAAAGCTAAATTAATGAATCCATTTTTGAACGTCTCCAATTTCTTACTTCCTTGAATAATCTGCAATGAGGCGGCCCAACAATCATGAGATGCGAGAAAATACGGATACAGTTCAACATTGAACGTGCAAAGGTGTTTATTTTTTTTATATTTTAAGATGTTTCTTTAGGTGTTTATCACGATGCCACCTCCGTATATACCACAGTCCACATGCAGAAGAACATTTACATGTATTTCGTCTGCCCCACTTATGTATTCTTCTAGAAGAAGGGCATATGCTTAAAACGCTAAAGTACTCCAGAAGATGTTAACTATAATTGAGTCCAATCTTTACCTTGTATAGTTCCAAGCATACCAGTCCAGACACAACAGCAGTTGTTGTCGCTATTGCTGGAATTATTTTACCTGCGATTAATTTGCTCTAAACGAACAATCAAACGATGAATGAATGGTCTTAGTAACTCCATGTGAACAGCCAAACAGGCCCTAATATAGTGTTAATAAAACATGGTAATATTTGTTACCTTGTGTCTATCTGCAGGAGCTATATCATAGTTTTCAGCTCGGAGGTTTGAACATGCCACAATGAAGTCCATATGGAAGTTGGTATCATCATCCTAAGTAATATTTAAACCTGTCAGCGCTTATTTTGCTCTCAACCCTTGGTAATGGTTAATTCATGAGCAGAAATTGGGTAGAATTCGAATGTCCAGAATTTTCGCCTTTTATTCTTGCACAGTATATTGACTGGTCATTTCGAAATTATACTAGAAAACTGATAATAGCTAATAGCAAGATTGGCAGCGCATCGTGTCGTTGTTTTTCTTTAAGACGAGCTCCTTCACTATCGCCAGTCCTTCGTTGCAACTTGAGATGGCAATTTCAGTAAAAGAAAAGTTACAACTTGCTATATGCCGTACCTTTTCAAATTCAACATTTGAAATTTTTATTCCACTCAATACTTCGGCTGAGGGCAGTTTCGACATTAATTTATCGACTTCAGTTTGTTCTAAATGGAATGAAAACAACACATTATTCATAAGTGCATGCAAAGTAGGGCGTTTACGATTAAACACAGTCATTATTATGTTAATAATTATGTTAACATGAATTTTGCAATGCAGGAAGGATCATGCAGCTGTGCTTACCTACTGACGCTTGTGTCGCAGCCTCGGCCTCCTGGTCGCTCACGTGTATTTTAACTCCTACAAAATCACAACATTACATTTTAACGACAATTGCAGGACGGAGAAGTCAACAATTCACGCACACATATACTGTACATTTATTCGCAGGAAAAAATAATTTCAAACTTGACTAACATTGCAGGGCGGAATTCACGCAATTCACACAATTCACGCACACATACACAACTAGACTAACATACCTGTTTTAGGTTTAAATGTTGGAACAGTGATCTGTTCCAAAATCTCCAGAATAAACTTTCTGTCCACCGAACCTATCAAGGCGATTATACTACATTTAATAAAATTCTAGACACAATAGTATTTGAAATGCATTTGACCTGGGAGCCTCGTGAATATTGAGCCAGTTGCCTTTGCGCATGTGGTGTTGAGATCGAGGGTCACAAAACGTATTCGTGACGTAATCATCAAAAGGAATTGTTCAGAAAGGTTGTTTGATATGTACTAACCTTTGAGATTATATACAAAAGCGCGCAGATTGGCAGCAGATGTTATGAAATTCATGTGCGTTTCCTGCAAGTATAAATGATTGAGAAATAGCCGGATGGAACAGTCATTATTAAATCTTCATGGTTAATAATAGAGGCTAATCTAAAATTTAACATAACACAACTGACAATTTAAAACAGGAGAGATATAGTGGAGGACACTTATAATGATAAATACCAAAGGTAAGTAACGAAATGTAACGTACGTTGCAAGGATCAAATATTAAAGGATGTGGACATCGTTTTGGACCTGACCAAAATGGTTGACCAGAGCTGGTTGTCTAAACAGAAAATATGAAAAACGTCAGAGGAGATGAGAGCGACATTATACCACTGCCATTTTGTTTATGTATACTTGTATCTATTTCCTGCAATACATTACGCTATATAGACAGTTGCAACTTATACTCCAACAATACGACATGTAACAAACCTGATCTGGGGGGAAGTTATGAAGAAGTTGTGCAATTTGATTATGATAATTTTCTTGAAATAGAAATCTTGCCCACTTCACACAATCAGCGAAATTCTTTGGCAGTTCGTCCACGAGATTTTTCTGAATATTTTCTAAAGTTTCAACCTTGATAGAAAAAAAATTCTACGTTTACATGCAATTCAAACTTTGGAACGTAACTTAGAGTTAAGACAACTAAAATGGTCGCTATAAAGGTCTGTAGAGTATGTGGCCTGAAGACTCGCGTGTGATAAAGATGAATGGATTAATCCCGCTTTGTGTTGGGTGAAAATGCACTGTACTGTTTATCATACAATATTTTGTCGCGGCCAAGGAAAGATTAAAACCAGGCTGGTTTTCTTGAAAGATTTTGGTGGCCCATTACAGAGCATAATCCAATTCTTAGGAAAAAACTCTAAGCTTGTCTCAGTCATATGATCTCAATAAAATTCCTTGCATGCAAACATTGGGACTTTTCAAACCTGTTGAACACCTGGTAGCTTCGCAAAACGTTCTATGAATTTAGGATCACTAGAAAAAAATCAAAATAAAAAAATACTGAAATACTAAAAAAATACATCATCAATAGCAGTCATTTACACAGTCTTATAACTTGTTGTTCTATATGAATGAAAACAAGTAGCTACTGTACCTTAGATACTGCGAAATATTCTCTGCTGCTTGGGTGAATAAACCTTCAAACGCATCCCTTGCCCACTAAAGAGGAATTATTGACCCTTATTGACCCTCGCACATGACGTCACAGTAGGTATTTGGCGGACAGATTAATGTAGAAAAATTTTTGGCAATTTTGTCTCTGGAGTCAGACATACTTTTCATATTTATCTTTAGTTGACATGCACTGTATACAGCCTGTTCCGTGATATTACCATGATGGTACACAGTTATAGGTATAATCACCGTAAGGTATATTATTTAACATGCACATGAGATATGATGATACCTGTAGCGTATGTTCTATGGCATTTGGGAAATTCTTCAATGTGCAAATTGGTATGGATTTCTCTGGTGGATCTTGACTCGAACTGTATGACTCAGTTAAGAATGGAAAAACCACCTTAAAATAAATGGATATTTGTGAGGGTTAAGATATACTCACATCCACAAAAAACATTCTTTCTGCGAGGAAAGAAAAACTTTACGTCCCTTCTGCATCTTACATGAATTTTTATGCCGAAGGTTTTATATATATATGGGTGAATATTAGTATTGCCCTCTTCATCCCGCCGCAGTCGATGCACCCCCGTGTAGATGCATGCACACTCTACCTGTATGTTGCCTTTAGTTCCCAATGTCCCAGACTCCAATAACGGTTTTCTGTAATAAACACACCTTCTATCCATGTACATTCCTACAAACATAAACAGACACATTTATCTTTACACTTGTGTCCTTCGTCGACTCATCACTACAAGGACGTCTTCATTCATTGTGCGGATAAAAATATGTAAAAAAGATCATTTATCCCGCGCGCGTTATGTTCGCGAACTTACTGGCGTCAATATTATCCAAAGCATTCGCAACTCCATCTAGGTTCTCAAAAAAATCATCATCATATATTTTTAAGAATAGTTAAGAAATATTTCGATCTGCATATCGGTGGGAAGAAAAGATGAAATCTGGTCAAAAATGATAACTAGAAATAAACAAATGAACAGCGGGAACAATGTGTGGCCAAGGATCCTTGTTTACAAAGTACATTGTTGTAAAGGATATTTTCAGTATCTGGGCCAACTCTGTTCTGATGCGAGACGATATGAACATCCGGGTTCATGGTCTTAACAGCACGAGCCGCTACATCGGACTTGAGTTTTTGAACATCAGCAGGTCGAAATAGAAACTGACGATTAAGGTTTGATCTTTCAATACTATCCATATCTGTGACGTATATCTTGCCTCGAGGATCTGATGCAAGACCAATCATAGAGAAGTTCTTTAACAGCTCACAACCAATTGCTCCAGAACCAACCTAGCAAAAGAGAAACAGGTTTTTCTGGTTGATAAGTTATGTACCCATGCATGCAACTGATGCAAGCTTCACTAAGTTGTTGAATTGTCACAACCATGCATGTTTGTGTGGGACAACAGGATGATGTTCAGCCTGTCTCTATGAAATCCACTTACAACAAAATATTTCTGTGTGCTTATTTTTTCTTGAAACTCTTTGCCAAAGACACAAACTTGATTATCGTATCTAGAACCAACCTAAAAATAGGTAAAATAAGATACACAGCCAGCATACAAAGCCAAGTTTACTCGAAACAAAGAACCAATATACCAGCCATTATACGTTTTGAATTCAACACAATCGAAAGCTGTTAAACCAAGAGGCAAAAAATCTTACTGCTTTGCACGATTCTTCTGCAATTTCCTGTTCTTCCGGAAGACATTCCAATGCATCGAAATAAAACCATTGTAAAATGGGATGGAACTTCCCACTGCAAGCCTGCGCGACAAATATACAGATATTCGATAAAAAAAACACGAGGCTGGGTTCAGACGGGCTAAAAGGTGATATTTTTTTCTTGTGGTACGCGTGTAGAACATAATAAACGTTTTGAATACAACTTGCAGGACAACTTGCAATGACTTGCATTTCAGACAAGTTTCGCCATTATAATATTATCTTAATCTATATTATTCCAGAACATTTTCTCTTCTAAAGTAGTTAGAACAAGTTACCTTCATGACTTCCTGGGCAGCAATACCTCCAATAACGCCTTGCATGGGACATAAATCTCCTCTGGCTTGGTAAGATAATTCTCGCAATAACTTCTCGTCGATCTCGTCAACCTAAGAATACGAGGAGTTCTTTTAGCACCTATGTCGTAAACTTAGTTGACTCGCGAGCTTGGTGTTCAGCTCGCCAATACGACGCCATACCAGGTTTTAATAATTTCCCCACCTTGCTACAGGCAATCCCGTTAATTTCTTTTGCGATCTCAACTAGTTTATTGCCATCCTCCTAAAAATATGAATAAACTAAATATTAATTTTATTTGTTTTTATACCCATTGATACTATGTTTAATTGATACTACAGTAGTTACCATACACACAGATTTACGGTAACATAGTAAATTTGAAAAAATTGTATCACTGCATGTTACTGTAGTTATAATTGTTATACTAATCTGGCTATATATAGGATTATACTGCAATTACAACAAATTGCCCCACACCGAAACTTTTGCATCTACATGCATCTACATTGGAGTTGTTTTTTTTACCTGATTTCTGGAACGTGGAAGTGATGAGTTTCTTTTCATAAATTCATGTAAAGCCTAAATGAAATGTCATCAGTTTTACAGAACGGTAAAGTGTAAAGATTTTTCTACAGGATACAGTATGTACGTTATAACAGTACCTGAAAACCAAGATGTAGTTGTGCTGGACGTTCAAATTTGGCAAAGTCCGTGATAAGAAATTCTGGATCGTGAAGTGCTTTCTTTATTGATTTCTAAAGCAGATAAATAACCGTGTAAAGTATAGTAAAGGAACTAAAAAACTGTACAACGACATCCGTTATTCCGCATAACCCTCAATGATAATAATACTTACGAAGTTCACTGTCTTTGGCATTTTGCATTGTACAGCATAACCACCAGCAGTATAATCTGAGAGACCTGTTGTGTCTCCAATACTAAATGTATAAGGACCTAAAAGAAAGAATTAAATATAAAGATGTTTGAATTGTGATAGCCTCAGTGGGGGTAACTATAGACCAGCTGTTCATCCAATGTAGATCTTATATCATACACTCTTTATTTCTACAACGACTAAGGATTAGGTGGAGCAGCAGTATGTTTTACAATGGAAAGAAACTTCTATTGAGTATTTTCTAATGTTACACTATGATGCATGCTATCACTTCAACCAAAACAAACAATAGAAAACAAACATCAAAATGAACGATGGAGTTACCCAAAACTTTAACTTTTCTTGGTTCACAATCGTTTAACTCTGTCATGCCCTAATGATGTCAAAACATAGTTATTCAATTTCAAATTCACAAGGTTTTAACCAAGCTAAGGTCATGATATTTTTCAAATCACCTGCACTTCTTTGAATGTAACATAATCTCCACTCTCAAATCCATGTCTTTGTTCATCCAAGCAGGTTACAATGCTTTCTTCACCCTAATTTTAAAACACATGATTGCATCAAGAAACAACACTACGTATATGTACATAATTATTCATGTACTTAATTGTTTTGTACATCTGACATCCTGTTGAAATACAAATACACAATTTTAACTGGTTCAATTTGCCATTAACTACAACCAAATATTCTAACTTTAACTAACTTTCATTTAATAACTAACTTCAATACTTTACTTAATAGTTAACTATCACTACAAATGGTATCTTGGTTTACTGATTAAATGTTGATTAGTTTAACCAAAGCTTAAAACAAATTCTCAAAGAAATATTTCTAGGAGCTCTTTTGTTATGTTAAATTCATTTCAGAACAGTATCAACAATCAACTGAAGTAGAAAAATCATAAAAAAAAGTTACGATTAAGTATACCTTTGTTATAGCAGAAACCATTATTGTAATTGCTTGCTCTCCATTTGTATCTGTGACAATGAAGTTTTCGCCAAAATCACAAAAGATTTGACTAAAAATAAAAAGGCAGAGTGAGGATTCAAATAAGTGCATATTTGTTTTCAAGTCGTTAATTATCCCAAGTTCCCAACATCTTAACATTTAGAGAAATAAATGAATTATTTTACAAATAGTAATGGTTATATCCTACCCAAAGAGACCTCTTGTGTCTGCAATTAAAAATTTGATGCCCTCATTGTGACAAAATTCCCCAATCCATGTTTGTTCATCAGCAGCTGACGTTGTCAGAACAACAACCTTAAAATTAACAAATACATCAGTACAGTTTCAGAAAAATGAAATATTAAGTTCACGACCAATCTTCTTCATAGCAATGTAAAGTATATCCATATCTATTACAAACCTGGAAGTTTAAGAGTAACTCCTTTGTAATTTGCTTGGTACATGTTGATACAGGAACATAACTATTCAGTTCAGACACATGAGGTTGGGTGACAAGTGCACGGTTTTTACCAACATCATCAGCACGGAAAAAATACTAGAAATTACAAAATCATGAGCTGATATTCAAATTGGGATGCAAGAAATAAATACTGTAGATTCTGCAATATCTTAAGGTGCATATATATTTATGTTTTTGGCAGATTTAGAAGAGAATGAATGATTGTTCAAAACTGCTTGTAAAATATTCATGAATACCAGTTTGGCAAGACAAAGGATTTAATCAATACAATCAATTATAAAGGTTCAAACGCCATAAGATCAACCTTTAGGTTCACATATCTTTGACCAGTTTAAAATTTGTGTAGTATAATAATAATTAATGTTATAGTACAAATAATTTAAATGATGTTTACCTGAGATGAAAGGTCTTCTATATTAACATTACCAGTATCATGGAGTGTTACAGATTTGACTCCACCAAGGACAATATTTTTAGCTAAACCAAATGAATATCAATAAATTTACCGGATTTTACAATTAATGTCGTAGTTTAGATTTTAACTGTATATTGAAAAATCAAAGATAAAAAAACTTTTTTGTAGTGGGCCATCCCCCTATTAAACTAAATGCTAAAGAAGAGACTGTTTTTGGTTCTTGTATGTACATACGGCTTTATCTCATTCAACTGACTATAAATGATTATAAATCATATGTATGTTTCATATAAAAATGAAACCAATTTGCATTTACCTATTTCAACCCCAAGCCCTCTCATGCCTGAGATAAAAACATTAGATCGAGCCATCTTTTGCATAGCTTCGTGACCCAATACATAGCTGTGAAAACACACAAAAAAATCACATTTAAACACATGGCAAATTTAAATGGTGCTTTATATGGGAGTGATATAAGTTGAGCAATTTGTGCATGAGAGTTGGGAAATTTTTGCTGAAATCATTCTTCTACCTCCTCACCTCCCTAAATGAATCATATGGCTGTTTATAACCGCAGCAGCATTGGGAAGGACAATACTTAGAAAAGTGCATTCAATTGCAGTGTGAAGTGCCCTTCACCTTGTTTTATAATATCTTAGAAGCCACATTGCCAACAAAGGCGTATAAGATCTAGTTGCTAAGTAATTTTGGGCACAAATGTAATTGCACAAGTTGGAAATTATGATTGCAAAACTTAATGCAACAAAGCGAAAAAATATTGTTTTCCCATGGCCTATATTGTGTTGACAATTTTTAGGTGGAGAAGGGTGCATATAAAGTACACACCATTGCATTATAGGTTAAACAAATATACATTAATATTCTGAAAATAAAAGCACCTTGTACTTTCCTTTTACCGAATGTCATAAAAATATTCGTGAATAAGAACATGTGAATACCTGATCTTTCAAATTAAAACAAAATGTTATAATAGGTATTTGAATATACAAATGCAAACTTACAGCTGTCTTGAATACAGACTTTCGTCAATTTGTGAGTGGTTCTTTGACGTATCCATGTCACTGTCCTACACAAGTAATAAACGTAGGTATTATCATACTGACTTGATATTTAAATCCTAGAATATTAGACAAGTAAAACATAAACACACCGTATGGTTGTTAAAATTGTTATTATTCAATTTTATTGAGTTTTCTTCACTACTTTCGTTGTCTCTTCTGGCTTTCTTTGCAGGAGGAGAAGAGGTCAATTCCTCAGAATTTGCAGACATCTACCATAAATGTATTGAATAGACTACCAGAAGAGTACATTTATTTCAACACTTTGATGATAAACGTTTCTACTGGTAACTTTTACAAAAAATAAAGAAATTTAAGCCAGGAACAACCGGTACTTGAATATAAACGTGTTTCAAGCCACTGTACACAGAATTGACCATGACGTAATTTAAACGCGCGGGGACAGAGGTTAATCAGTGGGTTCATCACGCGCGCAGAACGTAGTCCAACGCAGGCACTTAGCTTGGAAAAGTTTCTATCACAGTGCTTCTATCTACTGTTCAATGGGATCACACTGATGAGATCGAATTTTACAAATCAGTTTTGTGACAATATGAAACTAAAGGCACAAATAACAATACCTATAAAGTCACAAATTATCTTTTGCTTTGCCGTACATAATTATACAATCACATGTAATACTACAAGTCTACAACATACAAAGCAAGGATTCACGGCGTTTGTGACTGTGGGTGGTACAAAAGTCAGATCGTGCAATTTTAACGAACAGTCGAACACCAACTAACTAGACTAACGTTTCTAGCGGATTGTCTGCAAATAGATAGTAAAGCCCCGTACTGGCCGTACAGCCACAAGCAAGATATCCTTGACTATATGGTTAACTAGGTTACCTGTGTTTACCAGCTAGATGACTTTGATGGGTTTACTAGATGACTTTGGTAGTTTGGTTTACTAGATGACTAAAGTTTACTAGATAGCACTGGTTACGAGATTGTATCGACCAATCAACCTAGTTTTTAGGAACGAGGTTGGGTGAAGACCAACTGACCAACTCCGCGGTTGTAAAAAGACATTAGAAATATTTTTATCTTTCAATTTAACTGATAAATAACCCGAGGGAGCAAATGCCTCCCCAGTTCTCCCTGACCTTGTCGTTTCACAATTTAATTTTTTTCTGGGAAGGACTAGCGTCCCCTGCGTCTTGACTTCTTGTTTTATTCCACTCCGCAAACTTATATAAAAAGACTCTCTTCAGAGCCAGGCTTGTCCACGCGTTTGTTAATCGATACAGTCATACAGACTTAAAGAAACCACAAAGAGAGGGAAATTCAAAGGTTTTGCTGTAAGGGTTCCCTAGCTCCCTTTTTAAAATGCTGTACCATTAGCCGTCTCATTGAAACAATTAGCCTTTCTCACGATGACGAATGTGCCGCCATTTTTGGGGTACTTTTTTTTTAAATTGTGAGCGCAAGACCTTGTCAGGGCGGCTGTCTTTAATTTTAGGCTTAATTAATTGTTCAAATGGTCTATGGACTCTTAAGAAATGCTTCTGATGGACTCTTAAGAAATGCTTCTTCTATCCTCAAAAATGGCGGATATTCGTCATCGCGAGAAAGGCCAATTCTCTGCATTCCCTGTGACGTCAACTGCACACACGCCGACGCATCATGTATGGATCGTAAAAATTTCTAAATCTCTACAAGTGGGCGGAACCATTTCACACAAATGTTGTTCAAATACTGAAAAATGCCTTATATTTAGAACATTTGGATTCATCATCATCTAGGCTTATTGCACCAATGAGGCGCACAGGGCCTGAACATTTAGATTAACAAGAAAATAAAACATACATTATGAACAAAATTGTTGCATTTGAAGAAATTATCATCCAAGATATTATCATTCATGTTCGTGCTGCCCGGAGTAAAATACAACAGAACTTCTCTTTTCTTCTACAGAGTTTTGGGCACATGTCTCTTGGGCAAACACTGAATCCACCACATGGTGGGCATGGCATACGCAATGGAACACATGCCACGACTAGAAACGAAAATTAACACAATTCAAACATTCAAATAAAATTTGGCGAAGGGCATGTCACATTCACAGTAGTATAAGTGCCCAGGAAAATATAACATATTTATACTAACATTTTGAAGTAGGCTTGCAATAATCTGAGGATTCCCCGTCATAAACCACCATAATGCTAAGCAGGATAAAAACAAATTGAGTCTTCATTGCAGGTGCGTTCCTAAAACGAAAATATAAGGAGTCTAGGCTACGTTCTGGACTGGACTGGACGGGATTGGACGAATTTGGAACCGTGCTTGAATTCGGCGTTCAATTCAGGTGTTCACACGGTGAAAATGCATGAAAATTTGACTGGATTCACACGAGGAAACGTGGTGAATTCGAGCACGGTTCCAACGCCCGTCCCGTTTGAACGCAACCGTCGTGCCAATAGACTGTAGTATAAAGTATAAACAGGTACAATGAAGGCAAGATGACCCATGACTATCTTGATTTCTTGGCAAAAATTAAATTGGTGTAACAACGATACTCAGTCTAGATATCCGATACAATGCATGCGAAGGCCCAAAAAATTTCAAACTTACCTAAAATGTAAATCCAATAAACCAATAATCAACAAACCAGTTTCAACAGTTTACCAGTAACGCCAGACTGATAACTACATAGAACTACATATCATAGAGTGCTTTTTATAACAATGTTGACGAAATAAAAGGAAAGATTTCTTTCAGCGTGAAAGAAAGTCTTCTGACAAGATAATAAATATATTCCGGAACTGAATCTACATTACTACCAGTTTGACAGTTTCAGCATTACAAGTGTTACAATAAGACGTGCAACAATGAGTTGAGGAGATGTGATAAACAGAGTGCTTGAAGTGCTTGTGTTGGCAAAAATAGGCAAATACCTGGGGCGTAGCCCCTGTTTTGGCAAAGTGGTCGAAATTGGTCGACAGCAAGTCGGGTTTTTGTTTGGAGGCTTGCTGGCGCAAGCTATAAAACCAATTCGTCTGACGTTCTTGCAACTCTTGATTGGAAAACGTTGGAGAAAAGACGAAAACGGAGTAAATCTTGATTAATGTATAGATTTTTAAATAATTTGACCGCACCGAACTTTAAAATTCGTTTACAATTTCTTAACGTTTTAAATCATATAGTGACGCGAAATTAGCACAAGCAGAGCATCCCTTATATACCATTATTCTTCCTTTTGCCTTTTTTAAGATAATTTTGAATGTAAGTATTTCGACGCCTTTCCCCTTCATGGAGACCAACAAATGCATGTTGATGAAGCCAGCGTCGTTCAAATTTAATTTTTAAATGAAGTTTGCACATGAGGAAAGTGTACAGCAAGTGTAGTAAGCGTAACAAGTGTAGCAGGCGTAACAAGTGTAGCAAACGTATACCAAATGTAGCAAACGTATACCAAGTGTTGCAGGCGTAACAAGTGTAGCAAACGTAGCAAGTGTAACAAGCTTAACAAGTGTAGCAGGCGTAACAAGTGTAGCAAACGCAGCAAGTGTAACGAACTTAACAAGTGTAGCAGGCGTAACAAGTGTAGCAAACGTAGCAAGTGTAGCAAACGTATGCCAAGTGTAGCAAACGCAGCAAGTGTAACGAACTTAACAAGTGTAGCAGGCGTAACAAGTGTAGCAAACGTAACAAGTGTAACAGGCGTAACAAGTGTAGCAAACAAAGAAGAATTAGCAAGTGAGCCAAATCACTGTGGGCAAACGAAGAAAATGCAGCAAACGTAGAGAGTCGCAAACGTAGAAGCTAGAAATAAGTGTAGAAACAAGTGAAACTATAACAAATGTAGTAGCAAACATAACAATGTAACAAGTGTATTTCAGAATCATTTTCCGAGGTATGAAATATGTATGAATGTGTATGGTATGAATTAAATTCATATTAATCTATATATAGCAAGTGCAGTAAGCATAACAAGTGTAGCAGGGGTAACAACTAACCAGTGTAGCAAATGTCTAACCGCGTCTTGTATTGTTGGTTTCTTGAGCATTCACAGCTAGAACTGTAACGGCACTTTGTTTTTTCGTTATTTCCAAGTCGTTAGTTCTTAATGAATGTTCAGGAAACACTAGATAAGATAACAGCTGACAGATACAAAATAAAACAGGCCTAACGAGCTGTATAGCGAATGTAGAATGTGTAGCAAACGTAAAAATTTTTGCAAACGCAGCAAAAGTATAGAATTGAGGTGCAACAAGCGTAGAAAGAGTCGCAAACTCCGTATAATTAGTGTAGCAAATCGGTAGAAGCTGGCTTAGCAAACATTGGTCTAGCTATAGGTCTAGACCTATCTAGGTCTAGCAAACGTAGAAAGTGTGGCAGTAGAAAGTGTAGCAAGCGCATGCAGAAAGTGCAGCAAAGTATAATATGGAAACACCTGCGTTTCCTGTCACTCTTTTCCTTTGCTGATTTCCGTGCATTCCTGGCGACTGATGCCTTCTTGCGCTTTGCTTCAGCTGCTTCTTCTGCTGAAGTGTTAGCCTTCCTTTTTAAACTATTCCCATTTGTAATAAGCGTAGTGTGAGTTGGCTTTAATGATGGTGGGGTATGAAACCTTTTTTGAATTTATATGTGGGGCTTCGAGCAATTTTTTCAATGCTGGATGGGGTATGAAATATTTTTCAATGTTTTGAAAATAGCCTCCGCCCCCCATTACACATACTTTATGACCGCTCCCTAAACACCACATAAACAATTCCTTACAGTAATTAAATTTATTTGCACGAATTTGGTTAATTAGCAGTGTATGTCTGTATACCACAAAACAATATGTATGTATTGATGTATAAAAATCATCGATTATGCACAATATTTACGCGAGAAAAAACTACTAAACAAGACTGGCCGCGACTCCGTGCATCAACATTAGCTTTCTACCAATTTTGTTATAGCTATCATCATCAGTCTGTTACGATGAAACTTTGAGGCATTTTTGTATAATAATTCATGGTAGCATATTGTCGGTATTGAATACCGTAAATAGATCTCTCTATAGTGATCTCAGTGATTGTGATACCGCATATTCTCTTTAAGTATTAAAATAGCAAAAAATTCCAAAATTTCCAATAATTAAGAGGTGTTTCTTAGATATCCCAACCAGAAGCTCGTCAAAAGACTAATTTTGTCCTATGCAGTGCATTGCTGGTCGTCACCAGCACTTTTTAGATTTTATATAATTGCATGTCTAGAAATTAATAATCCGAGTAAATCCATGGTTTTTATGTACATTTCTTCCAATCCAATCCACCACATGCTGCCGAGATAATGAAGTACAGGATAATCTAGAACAATGAACAAGCACTGTTAGTTTGAAGAAAAATATATAGACTTCATTCTGTATTGGAATAAAGGCAAACTATATATACGCACAACTGATGATACACCTACATAGAAATATTTGGATAAAGATAAATAACTTATTTTCACAGGATATTCTAATAGCTGCATAACTGCTACTTAACAGACATTTCAATTTTCTCTGATGTCCAGATTGACTATTCTTTGCAAACAACTTAATTAAAAAATGCGTTCCTTATTTGACCAGTTTGTAACCTTTCAGATACAAAAAGAACGTCGTCGTTTTGAGAGAAAGCTCTTTGTCTTTGATCACTTGATTCAAACAACTGATATTAAAATTTAACAACACATGCAGTAAAGTATTCTAACATTATTCTCTTTAATGTTGTAAAACATTAGCGATAAAGCTGATTTACTCACTATAACTACAATCGTGATAATGATGATCATTTTCACATTTTTCCACCACATAACACGTGCCAAGGTTTTGCTTGATTTCTTGAATGTCATTGACTGCACAATATAAAAGATATTACAAATACATTTGAAGCTACGAATTCTTCATAAGCAACCTCGCAGCTTTGCTTTCTACTATATGCACGTAAATCAGACGAATAGAAATTAGAAACAAGTCCAATTCTCAAGAGGATACTGCAACCAGCCAGCCTCGTGCCCATGCAGGTGCATCAAAATAGGCGACTACAGTTTTTTTTATATAGATCTGTGGCTGAGCGAGTCTCGTTTTTCCGTCGCGTCCTCCCCAAGCACCCCTGCGCGCTCGTGCTGATATTAATTATTCAAAAGATTAAAACCGCATTTTAAGCAAAAGACGCCTGGGTATGAGGCTGGCAACCAGTCACAATATTAATAAACACCAATGACATAGATTATCTAAGAATAAACTCACAGCTGTGTTCAGGTCCCTTGAACGGTCAATTAAGAGTTCAAGCCTTTCACCTCGCTGGGATATCGTGTCTATAACCAAATATTGACATAATTATACCATATGTGGTTTATAGTGTTTCTATGCATCCACTCTGGCCTCCATTAGTTTCCTTTTGATGGTAATCCACACAATACCTATATTTTTCACCATAATGTCCTTCAGTTCATCTATTTCACCTTGCACCCTCGCAATATTGTCATCCTTCTCTCCAGATTCAGAATATCGTTTCTGCAACAAATACAAGCTACTGTTATCAAGTGCCTTGGTAACATGGATTTTCTAAAAATTTCCTAAAGTTTCCTAAATATTCCATACTACATCTTGCTTTTCTGCATAATTGTATGATTTTCTGGTTTCTCTTCTCATTCAAGCTAGAATACCCAATAAATAATATCTCCAGCCAAAATTGCTGCCAGAATAGTGTATGTAGAAGCTGAGACTGGGTTGGTTGCTAGTTAAAGTATATATTTGGTCAAATACTATATTGTTTGAACGAAAGTAGCCAAAATAGAACATTGTGCCTCTACTTCTAAGAAGTCAGTTTGGTGGATGTGTAAAAGCAAATATGAACAATACCATCTCTGAGGCTAAAACTCTTGAAAATTCGCTGTTCATTGCAAAAGGTAGGGCAGTGTCAGCTCGTCCTTGATAGGTTCTTTGAAACCTTCAAAAAATATTGCAGGATTAAAGTGTTGGTTCATGATCCTGGGAAACAGGTTGCCTCACACAAAACTTGCTGGGATGACATTTTAAGAGACATTTTAATGAAATATTTTACCTTTTCTTAATTTCAGTCAAAAATAGGAATGCTTTTGAGCGCTCAAAATTCTAGAAATATAAATAGTTAAATATTCAATGGTGAATATTCCTAAGTACAGTACATGTATAGGAATTATTGGCATAGAGAATAATTAAATTTAAGCAGTTATTTCCCATGATTCCTGAAAATCATGTATATCAAATGCTTTTGGCAAGACTACTTATAAATAATAGTAAAAAATCAATAAAAATGATTATTATTGGACAATATAAATTAAACTTATATATATATAGGTCTACTGTTCTACTCACATCATCTGTTATACACAAATAAATTACCCTATCTTCACAAATGTAGTGAAATAGATAGCTACAAGTGAGAAAAACAAAGAAATATTCACATGAAATAAAGCTGATAAAGTGAATTTATTGGGAGCAGTATAGAAAGTTGCTATTTTGAAGGAAAGTCAGAAAAAGTTTTATGGTATAGTGCACGAAAATACTGATTTGGCAGCTAGCTGAAACTATAAAATATTCATTAGGTTAATTATGTCTGGTTTAATTAAGGAGCTATGCTGAAGATTACTGAATAATGTTAAAACATTTAGTTTGACATAAGTTCAGCATGACACAATACCAGTTTTGCAAGCATTATGTGAATACACACTGATTAATTAACTTTATAAAAGCATCAAAAGTATAACTAACCTTGATTGTGTGTATGTAAGTTTGGCATTTTCAGGAGGGATTCTTCCCAGAATCTGGTGGGAAACTTCAGCAAAATTTCCAGCACAAGATGCATGCTTTGCAAGCACCGTCGTCCCCCGGGAAACAACAGAATAAAACAAAGGCATAATGATATCACACTATTAAAATAATAAATAAGATAAAATTGTCATAAAATAAAATGATGAATAACATGCAAAATTATTAGAGAAAAACAAAAGTTAACACTGGATGTTAGAGAATAACGCTCAAGCATTAACTCCTTTTGGTTTATGCATTTCTGGATAGCTTTTATTTCAAAAGTTTAGAAAACAAAATGATACCGAAATAATGGGAACAATTGTGTTCTAAGAAGCAAAGGTCACATGATGGATTAATCATGACGACTTTCTTTGTACAAATATTCAAAACACAGAGTTTGGTCGTCTTGAACTTTCAATTAACTTTTCATTCAGGGTTTAAACACCTAATAGTTACACAAATTTACTATTCAAGTGTAATATAGTAATTATTTGACTAAATTATAGCATTTCACAACAATAACAAATATGTCAAACTAATTTCATACAGACGCCCAACTAATTTTATATTTCTACATACCCTAGGTACTGATCAGCTAGTTATGAAATTAAAACAAAATCAGCAGACCATTCTGTCGAGGTTTCCTAACAATCGGTGTAGAATTAACACAGATTTCTATACGAAAATGCCATAAAAGTCACTGAAGCACAACAAATCTGTCGCAACACAGTAAATTTTTATACATTACAACTTTTGCATTTATATGCAGTACAAATGTACAATATATATTGATAAGGGTAATTTAAGGGTAGATAGGAGTAATATAGTTAAAAATGGGGGATAATATAGGTATCGCAGAGACGTTTGGTGATTTTTCAAGATGGCGGACGACGAGGCTGAGAATTTGAAAAGAAGATTGGAAGTGGTAATTAATTCTGGCTGTGTTTTTTTTTCGGTTTTCTTTCAGCTCCTAAATCATTGATCTATCTTTATGCATCCATAAAACACTATCTATTGTGGATACATGGAAGATAATTTATATTTTATTATAATAATAATAAGCTTTATTTCAACAGGGTATACACTATCAGTAAATTGAAACTGTTCTCCCTAGTGGCCCTGTATCCTATAATAAATATTTAGTAAAAGTTCTATATAAGAGTATAATACAAGATATATAAACATACTAATTGCTAAAATCCTTATTCTGTTAAAATCCAAGTTCATATTGACTTATTTATAGCCAATTAGGTTTTATAAACTACGTTCTACTATATAAGGATACCTTTTCAAGGGCTTCAGGTGTTCACACGGTAAAAATAAATGAACATTTGACAGGTTCTTCATGTTCACAGGAGGAAACCGGACCACATTGATTCTACGTATTTTTTCCCTAGTCGCTGCTCATTGTTATATTCAGAATTTAATAATCATGTAAAATTAAATTCGTAATACTGCAGAACAATCATGCAATTTATGTTGCTAAATAAAAGACACAGGATTGGGTTGTGAATACCACCATATTTATTATCTTGTTTTGGAAGATTCCTACCTCTGGAGCTGAAGATGACGAAACATGTCTGACATTTGTGTTGCATGAGGAAGACCATACTTTGGGGAATGCACTTCGTTATATGATTGCAAAAAAGTATGCCTTAATAATTGAATAGTATTACTACAAATATAGTCATGGCCCAATGTGTAGTAAATACAGTAATAATTGCATTGACACTGTATTAGTATTTACTACTAGATCCTGTCTACAGGTATCCTGTCTACAGGTATCCGGATTCGTTTGTATCCGGAAATTATTTCCTTACGGATTTCAAAGTTTCACTGATTCGGTGGATAGCGATACAAATACGCTGCCATAGAAAGGAGACGGGACTAGAAGGGCCTCAGTGGCGAGCGGCGCAAAGCGTGCTCGTTTCTTTGTGCAAAAATATAGAAAAACTGGCCAGATGGCGAAGCAGTCGCCCAGCACATGTTTATTGACCAAAAAATGACATTGACAGGCTAGGAAATGGTGGAACACACGCGTAATACGACATGCGCGGCTAAATTCATCAATTATGTGGCCCTTCTAGTCCTCTTATTGACGCCGAAATTGCTTCAGGGCATGCGCTATTCACAAATAATGGGCTTGCGATGTAGTTTCTGAACACGTGTTGTAAATTAATTCCTGTTGAAGCTAGTAAATCAATACGGCTATTAAGTGAGCGCGCTTTTTGTTTGAGCTTTGTTCCACATTGGATCCATGGGAACATCAAATATTCCTAACTATATTTAATATCTTTTAGTTCTGACGTTGGTTTTTGTGGCTATACCATACCTCATCCATCAGAACATAAAATTAATATAAGGATACAGACCAATGGTACATAAGTTTGTAAATAATCAATGACAAATTTTAAGTTGTATTACCGTTATCAATGACAAATAAAAACAACGTTTTTGGATCATCATCTGATTATTATGATTATGTACACTCCATACGCTTATCTTCTTTGTTCATTTTCACCACTAGGTGTGTCCAGATACTTATTTGTATATATGACAAGGTGTTAATCCATCAATGTTGGAATATTGAGCTGTGTCTTTTTTCTAAGGTATTCTTGCTGTTGATGCGCTGAGGAAAGGGCTTTCCGATTTGTCCGATCTCTGTGATCATGTACAAGAAAAGTTCGAGGTATTACTAATTTTAATCTTAGAAAAGAAGTTATTGGACACGATATTTCGGTTCCTAAATTCATCCCTACAGTTTTACATATAGGTCTTTGGCATGATAATGAGGGAATAATTGCATACCGAACAGTTCAATTATTTAGATTATTCTGTTATTCTTGTTTCAAAAAGTTATATATGACATTCTTTTGGCCTAAAACCATTCCGACCACAGACTCCAATAATTTTTTCAGGAATCGCAGTTTATTTTTTACTTTTGTTACTGTAGACAGCTGTTAAAGAATTTCGAGAAGAAGGAATAGCAATGGACGAAGAGTCAGATTAGCTATATCTTGCAATAGTATCTGGTCAAATCTCCATACTTTTTCGCCCCGGATGAGAACAGTCAATAAATTTGTAGTCATTTGTAAAAGTCAACTTGCAAAAAACTAAACTTATGGCATGACGCAAAATACAAATTCTTGCATAAACGTGTCATTTAATTGTTTTAGCCACTCTTTTTGTGATAATCTTGAAATAATACAGTTTTAACTGTAGTTATATATTACTCGACGATAAATAAATGCACAAGGCTCACCCTAAATGTCATTCATTAGCTACACCAGTTGTACAATTTATTCAAATAACAACTGACAAATTTGTTCCGACATTCTTTGACAACACGCCGAATTAATAATATAAAGAAATGAGACGCAATTTAGACTCCAGGATGAATTTGTCTTTTCCAGGATGAATTGTTGAAGGCTACTTTTGTTTCTTTGTCTTGAAGCACATTTAATAACAATTCTTTTTCACTGCCCACACAAATTAAGTCGATATAATCATCACTTGACTTTCGAAGATCTTCGACGCTTTTCATCAAAATACATCTTCACCAGTGATCTTGCTGTATTTTTCACTTAAAAAATAAGTAAAAAATAGTCCTTTTTGTATATTAGAATTGGTCGTACTGTTCAAGAGACACTGGTTGTTTTTTATATTTTGTATTCTGTGTTACAAAACGTTCAAGATGCAATAAATGTTGAATTGCGTTACATAGTGCATTTGCCTGTAACTAACTACACTTACTACAATTTTTAAAGAAAGTAGTCGAAAAAAGTCGTTTATATGGGGTCTGTTGTGGAGAGGGCTGATAAGACAGCTAAATATGGTATGGATTTTTTAGAAATGGTAAATCGAGATGGTAATTCCAGTAACAAGTCATACATTAAAAATACACACTCTCATGCAATGACGTTATTTACCCCATTTTATAGACTTACATTTATCGCCACAAACGCCTGCCATACTTTGTACCAATCTCTCAGTCATCTCTTTTGCAAGAGACTTGAATAATGACTGAAACGACAATGAATTGTCTATTAGTAAAGACTAATTCTACCGTATGGCAAGACAATTACCATGACGGTAACATTATCGTCCAGCTTTCTCAGTACCCATTCTAATTTCTGATGTATTGCATGTTTTTGACATTGTATTATCCTATAGACTTGCACCTGGTATTTATTCATGGAAAAATACATAGATTCTCACCTTTGACTCGACTTCTCCAGATTTATAGTAAGGGGTTAGATACTTTACAATGATATCTGCACAGTCCTTTTTATTATTTCTAGATTTCTCTGCTATTTTAGTCGCAGTTGAACGCGGACGACGTTTCACCGTTTCACTTGTTGTAAGTGTTTTTGAAGCATTGGTAATTGAATGCGAACTAGACGCTGGTTTTTCACACTGTGAAGATACTGGTGGCTGAACTTGCATATTAGGGATCGTAATACCATTCATTGGAACAGATAGTTTATATTTGTCTTGAAAGTAACCTGAAGATGAAGTGACCGTAGAACTATTGGTAGGTTGGATCTTTCCGTAAAAGTGTCTTGGATCCATAGATGTCGATGGAATCCCCTGCATGGGTTGAGCACATTGAGGGTAGGGATATGGGATAGTTTGTGGTGGTATTACTTGAGCATGCGCCGTTTGGACAGCAGATGGCCGTGGGTGAACATTAGTCGCGTATGGTGACGGCATACTTGATGAATTAAATTTATCACTCGATGTAACCAGATGTGTTGCTGCTTGGTTGGCAGTGGTTGACACACATGCATTGGAGAATACAGGGAGGGAATCTTGAATGTCACCAGGCAGCACGTCACTATTAAGTGAATTACTACAATGAGGTTGTTTTGATTGAATTGGAAAATATGTCTCTGGTATAACTTGTGATTGAAAACTACAAGAGCTTGCCAATTGAGAAGAGGAAGTTAGTTGAACACTGGATGAAGTGACTTGGGATTCAAATGTTTCTTGTTTAATGGTCCGCACAAATATTTCATTCTTTTCCTGCAATCCAGACGATGAAGTTGATGATTCACTCTGTTGTTTAGGTTTAAGTATGTAACAAGGTTCAGGATCTGAAGTGTCCAGTTTCGCTGTCGTAGTTTTGACGGAATCGGTAAGAGGTGGTAACGGAGGAAGAGATGGTATATCATATTCTGATTTAGGCGAATGCTTTTCTCTCTTGGCGATAATCTACAAGGTAAACATCAAGTAAACAATTTCTTCTTATGCATCCAGTAATAACAAACGCTCGATTAATCAACCTTCAATACGTTTGTGAAACGTTTGGAGCAAGCGCTTTGGTAGGACAAACGTTTAAATCAACGCTATGTGTGTTGAGGATTACCTTCTGAACATCTTTACTAATCGATGGCCGTTTAAGAGTTTGTAACACTGAAGATTTTGGGCTATCCCCACTTGGTGATCTTTTAAAAACAAACATACACAATATGTTACGGTGTTAGGTATTATTGGTAGCTACAATCCTTAACTGTAATACTTCCCCCAAACCCATCAATAAACCTCACAGGATTGATCTGTTAGTGACAATAAAGCTTTGGATTGATTTAACAAACAGTACATTTTGACCAGGTCAATGCGATTTATGATTATTTAAAACTAAAACCTACCCCTGCAGAGGCTTTATCGTTGAACAACTTATCGTGACTATGCTCTATGAAAGAAAGAATATGATTAATTGGGTCATTCGATTGCAATGCAGAGATATAAAGCACAGTGCAAGAGGCGGTGCGAATGAAATGTTTACTCCGAATACCTGCTTAGAGTGAATTGGTGTTATGCTTAGTTTCTTAAGCAATATTTTCTGGGCTTATGGATATAGCTCGCGGACGAATGGTAGAGGTGCGACATTAAAGCTTTTTTGGACTCTTTACTTAATTTGGGGGTAACAACAAACAACGTCCAATTTATTTGTCAAGGAACGTGAACTACATATACCTTACAATCAGTCTCCATATCTTCATTTTCTTGTTCAATCTTCCCTACCTGAATAATGAAATAACAGCTACTTGCAAAATTACAAAATTCTTGTTCTTCTTATTCGAATAAACCGCCAAACCGGCACTGTACTTTGGTACATCTTAAACTCATTAATACTATAATCACGCCTCACCTTGATGGTGAAGATATCCTCGGACTCGGAGTTTTCGTCTTTGATCTATCAAGAAGAAATCTATCTCCATTGACAAATGTCTAACTAACAAACATAAATACATCAAACAGTCTTTTTCCTCGTACGCATTCAAAATAAGTTGATTTTTTGGTCGAAATCCACTGAACTATATATGACAATGGGAAAGACATTAAATCACCTCATAGTTGAGAAAAGTAAGATTATTCTTTTGCAAATCCTCAGCAAAGGTTATAATTACATTTACCATGAAGACATAAAGTTAAAGATTATATTTAGTGTTTGCAAATGCAAATATTTAGTAAATAACATTCTTACCATAATTTCTGCTGGCCGTGAGCCTTCTTCAATATCAATTGCTTCTTCTTTACCCTTAATAAATTTATCATGAATGCAATTAAAAAGAATGCATGGGATCTAAGGGCCACAGACCACATGCATTTGCTATTTTAGACCCCGTTTACATAATACTATTGTTCCAAATATTCTGTACAAGTATCGTGTAACCCTTGTACTTGTTACAGATTCTTTACGATTTTATAAATTTATACCAATAGAGGAAATTTCAACTGCATGCGGTCAAAGAAACCAGCCTTACCCTTGTCTCTGCCGGTTCTTTAGGGCCAATATCTTCTGATGTATTCTATTATAAATAAGAAACAGAAGAATCTGAAAAATCTGAAGAATATGTTAAAGTCACGAGAGGAGGTGTGTGGCACGTATCCTTTATTTTTCTTTCAGAATCCACTACGCACTCTCTGACCCCTACCCAACAAGTCACAATTGGTGCTTGCTTTTATATAACAACACTTCATACTCATTACCATTACCTGGAGTAACTCTGATGCTTTAACAAATTGAGCAACTTCAATATCACTATCGTTGTGAACCTATAACCAGATTATAGCCCCGTTTACACCACACTCAATTTATACACTATACACGATTTTTTGGCACGGCACGGCTAAAATCGGTACCCGGACCCAATTTTTTAGTGCTCAGACTAACAAAACAAAGGCCGGACACGGATAAATTGGGCTCGGGAACCATTTTAGCCGTGCCGTGCCAAAAAATCGTGTATAGTGAAAAACGGGGCTTTTGTTTAAGATGTGAAAACAGCGACACCGTGTTATAATAATAAAAATAATAATAAAAATAATAATAGTATAGGCGGTATGACGGGGAAATATAGAAATCATTAGAATCAGAAGACGATTCCTGATATACATAGACTCAGTAATTGAAGCAGGATTTCTACATATTTACCAGCACGGGGCTTTTGAAGTTGTCGCTTTCCACTGAAAATATTTCGTTATTTTCTGTCGACTGGTTGATTTCCTTTACCTAAAAGAGACGTACACGAAAGTAAAGTAAAGCTTTACAGTTGAAAAACGCATCAACATTGAATGTAGAATCATCAAGACAATTTGCATGTCGCAGCTATAAATCGTGCAAATATTATCTCTTCGACTTGGAATAATTATATCAATCCTGCACGGCTGTGGTATTCTTAATCATATTTCTTAGTTATTTTATAAATACACTTCTGTTACATTTCAGTGCACATATATATGCAGAGCGTTACTCAGAAGATGAAATCATTTTTGACCACGTTATATAAAATTAAGATTGAGTTTATCACATGCTCGATCGAACTGATCCAAAAAACAACATGGCACCGGACTGCATCACTCATGTACATCAACGGTAAAAGGCGATGCAGGCCATACATGTCAATATACAGACAAGGTTGCTGTACCTGAACTGTCTACAAGCACTAGTATATTCATTGCTGTCATTATTAATACCTTTTGTTGAATGTTCAATTTGTACATCTGAGAACTTCTGTTCGCAAGGAAAACTTCATTCTCCAAGTTTACAGCCAACTGTTCAACACGAAACGTTGTCCTGAAATTGAACGGTAGATGATGTATGATAGATACAAAGTCATGTCTTACTATCATGTGGTTTACCGGCATAAAATCATCTCTGACACATGGGAACTTGGGAAAAAGTTAAACTATGCACTGTATTGTCCACAGCTGTCCGGAGACTTACACTCTTTCTTGTCATTCTCACAGATTGCCATGCAAGACTAACATGCGTGGCACCGACAATTTATATAATACGTAGATTTCGAAGTGTAGTTTGCTATGCGAGTTGTTGATGCTTGTTGAAAATTATAACCAGAAAGAACAATTGAAAACCACACTAAATTTTTGATCACAAGAACTCAGTTCATTAACAATGAATCCTATTGTTATTCTTGTCGAAGATATTGTCTGCAAACTCCCACGAGTTTCTAACAAACATTAGGCAGCATAACTAATGACAGAATAAATTGGTGAAAAACAAAATTATTCTGCGCCTGTGCACTTTTGACGTTCATCATTTCTTTGTCCATATACCTCATCCTTTCTATCCTATCATTGTGTTCTCCCAAAGAAACAAATAATAATAACCGATTTTCACTAGAAAAGGTTACAGACGAACGCCAACATTTCGGTTAAGATTGGAGGACACAACATACAGAATAGTAGAACCGCTCACGGCGGAACTCTTTTTATCTCCACGCATCGCGCATGTGACCGCCATTATTTTGTCTAGGCGATTATACATTTTAATTAATGATCTAACCAAAAAGCACTTTGATTGCATAAATTATCCGGAAACACGTTGCAAGCCTGAATAGCTCTACTGCTTAATTCATTTGCTATGCAATTTAGATCATTAATTATATTGCATTTCCAACATGTCTATATAAAACCTTTTATACTACTATCAACTGTGATTTTTCCATTACATTCGCTTTGCCCGCGCGGGTGATGCGGCCTTAAAAATTTCGTTAATGCTGGTGTGACGGGCCTAAAAACAAAGCCGACGTAATGAAAGCCGCCTCGACACCAATAATTCATCCAACCACATCTAACTCGCTCCCAGGCTACGAGAACATGAGATAAAGATTGGTTTAGACTGAGTGCCGGACACTGGTGCCCGGCACTTTTTCTGGCGCCTAGCTAGGTTGAACACGCCAAGAGCGGGTATACCTCCAGACGAAGTACTCAGCAAGGACGCTGCGCTCAGCATATTTTACCAACCAGTTTTGACTCGTTGAAAGGGAGAAATATTTTAGGAACACAACGGATATTATTATTATTATTATTATTATTATTAATAATATATATTATTGATAATACTAAGTTTTACTTCACAAATGACCCGTATAATAAAACCAGTCTATATCTCATGCTTACATTTTTTATGAATGGCGATATATTTTACAAAAGGTACGGTAAAAATATCTTACAGAATGAAAACAACAGCATAAGGTTTACCTGTTACTTTTCTCACAATTCGCTACTAATGCTTTCTCCAGCCGTTGGAGGCAGAATTCACGAACCTGTAAATAATACGCAATGTTTCAGAGCTGCATGGGCGAAAAAACTGAATGGTTCTGAGGGTCACTCCTGCCTGTCAGCTGAAACTTTTCCTCTCGTACGTGTGCTGCAGGCTTCAGAATTTAGCGTGCTTGGGACTTGCATCCAAAAGCACAAACATACACATTCGCGTTTTTTGCTTCGTGCAACAAGACAAGTTACTTTGATTTAAAATTTTAAATACATAAGCCAATACCTTGACTGCCAATTTTGGAATACGAGATAAATTCGATGCATTTTTAAGCTTGCATGCCAGGCCTAAATAAAATAAAATATGGATTTTGTATGTCACGTGGATGTAGCTAGCTATTACTTGACCAAAAAATATCGGCATGCAAACACAACATAAAAAGTCTAAAGGTAAACACAACTCTGAATCGTCACCTGGGATATTGTCGAGATCGTTTTTATCTATGGCTTTCTTTGATGCAACCTGTTACAAATGGAGTAATTAAATGAAGAAAATTACAGTCAATTCATAATATATTGTAACAATTACTTGATTGTGTCTAAGATGAAAGATTTCTATGCTGCATGAGCCAGCTACATGAACAGTTTTTCTTTTGATTTTTCTAGGTGTAGCCTAAATAAAATGCTCCTCTTTTTGCCCTATCTTTATTTCACATATTGAATTGGTTCATCGACTGCCTAAAATAATATCGATGTTTCTAAGGGATAACTATATATAGACTGCTCATGATAGAATTAATAACTTTTCTTCACCCCTTTTCTCTTTCTGAACTCTTCTTCGATAATCTTAACGCGATTGTTCTTACATTTTTCTTCAAAATCTGGGTCGCCCGCCTCATCGTGGTCATACCTAGATACGCGAAATACCTCAGTGACATTCAAACCATTACTATAACCATTACTAAGGTTAGTTAACTCCTAAAGATGAGATGCAACGAAATGGGAAACGAAGAGTTGGCTTTCATTATTAAGTGTCTAGAGATGCAGAGTCCAATTTACAGGAGTTGGATGATGGACACAACTTACTTCGTGTCAGGCCCGCGCTTGCCTCCACCATACTGATCATCACTACCTTCACCATAGTCCGAACACATGTATGTCTTGGAATATCCATTGTGTCGTTTATTAGCTATCACTCCTTCATGCAATTGTTCAATCATAAGTTCCACATCTTTGGGTTTACGACAGAAATCACATCCTTGGTTACACTGTATGGAAAATGAAATAAATGGGGCATTTTTAAATGATGTGGGGAAGGAAACATAGTGGCGACGATATAATATGAAAACTATCATGTTAAACTAATCGGGACTAAAACTAGAGATTAAAAGGATAGGTTTCATTAAGTACACCATTTAATTTCATGAACAGCATTCTCTGAAGGCTCAGAATCCCAATTCTATCATTTAGCGCCCATACTAGGCCTAAGGTTAACCATACTGTATTTACCTCAGGTTTTTTATCTCCAAAGTATTTAGAAATGAACGCATGTCGACATCTACAAAAGTTGTTATAATTAAATGTTTATATTTTTCTTAATATTTTAGTAGTTATCGACTTCAAACGACTTGTGCATTTCCTTACCGCGCTTCTTCGCAATATTCAACCAAAGCTTTAAAACTTTGTATTGAATTTTTTTCCTTCAGCGACTTATTTCCACGTTTCTACATAACATAGATTTCAACGTATTTCTTCATGTGACACAAGCGAACTTAGCGAGTCACTGGCTAGAGCACTCAGCCTGCACAAATCAAAAGTTACAGCTTCATTCTCGTCGCTGTTGAGCAAATAGTTTCTTTGACCGCAGGTAAATGCACTTACAAAAACATTACTCATAATCATACGGATAATGTGTAAATGTATAATAATCACTATTAATTACAAACTTCTTTCTTAAGATCTTTTTTCAACAGGAAGAGTATCTGCTCCCTTTCATATCTATAGAGAAATATGATGGAACACATTAAAAATGAAAAAGCATAATTGCCTATACATATAATTATACAGTATTATCCAATATCTGCCCACTAAATCCATGTTAGTCACCACAAAGACCTCACTCAAAGTTGATATAAGAAGCAGACCCGATATTCTTTAAAAATATACACCCTTTTGAAACAGCCCAAAATATTTGTAAGGTAAGGGCCTCACACCACTTTATACAGCAAGAATCTCGATTGACAAGAGAAAATTATACGAAAAAACCCCCTGCAGCAAGTAGCTATAAACCTTGAATAATACAGTCGACAATATGACTTTTTTCCATCACGTCCAGCGCGACCACTTTCTTGATAATATCTTTCAACCGACTGCGGGATTTTCCAATGAACAACAAACCTGCAATGTTTAAACAACTTTTCTCACAATTAAACTTGAATTTTCACTTGGCTGACAAGAAAATCTCCAAACAAACTTAATCACCGTGGAATGATAGTCCATAAGACTATAGCTAAAACCTGTTACTATTATAAGATTAAGGACTATGGCTAAGACTTGTTATTACATGGTACTTACCTAACGGAAGATTTATCTACACCCATACCAAAACTAACAGTTGCTGCTATGACTGATATAACTCCATCCATCCATTCTTGTTGGATACTTTGACGTAACCCTGAGTTCAATCCTATACATCATATGAGATGCACAATAAGTATCACATACACGCTGTCTTCAGTGGCGCAAATGGGATAAGGGCCTGACACCCCAACTCCAATATTCGACCACTAGCCTGGTAGACGTCATAGTCGGCGCCAATATTTGCATGCTATAACATGGATATCATTCGATTTCATGAAACAATGTCGGTGAATTGAAAGAGGTACTTTAAGAAGATTTAAAAAACGTTGTTGTTCTTTAATAACCTCCTTATCCTACTTTTTTCTTCGTCGTGAATCATTTTGGTTCCATAAGAGCGTTGCCCGCTTTCCAACCTTTCTACGTCATCGAGGAATTTGTTCTCTCGTGAAAAATAGTCGGCTCTTTAAACAACCCCGCCCGAAAAAGTTGATCGCGTCATGCACACAAGGGTTGTCACGCCCAGGGTGATATTTATACATCATGAAATATATATTTACTTTAAATCGATTGACAGTATGTGTTTGCACGAACCTGCATGATACGCTTTAGTTTTTATACCACTGTCTGATAATTTGCTTGCCATGTTTTCACAATTCTCTTTTGTATGACAGTAAATAATACCACAATCCTATAGACAAGAACAACGGTGAAAACCAGAGCCGGATTTATTCGCTGTTGGGTCTACAGAGAATTGCGTGGGTTCAACTTAATCAAATTTATACATAATTAAATCTATCTTGTCAATATGTGGTTGCAAACTTATAGTTGTTGAACTAAGAAAATATCCTATTTTTACGTTGGTCAGTAGTTGGGATTACGTTTATGACACTTGGTTTATTATGTCCCTCCATCTTCAAAACTGATTTAATATAATCCACCAAATCCTCAAGAGGCTGATCCAAAAGTTCTTTAAATCTGTAGAAAAAAGCACTTCCTGTTATGAATTACTACATCTACTTTTACTGACATGCAAGAATGATGTCTTTATCTAACACTTTATATAACACCTAATCACAATAAATGACAAGAAAATTCTTTCTTACCTAACATCATAAAATAAGTTTTGTCTGTGAACACCTATTCTAAAATTAGCCACTGGCTGCTTAAAATGTAACAGTTCCAATATATCTTGCTGGACCCTTGGCGTTGCCGTAGCCGTCAAGGCTATCCATACAACCTCTGGATACTTTTCCCTCACTAGGCCAAGTTTAGCATAAGCAGGTCTAAAATCATGACCCCATTGTGAGACACAATGAGCCTCATCTATGGCAAAGTATGCTAAATTGCCGTTTTCATTTATTTGATGCAACACTCTGTTAAATTCATGAGTTTCAAGAAGTTCTGGAGTCACATAAAGAAGTTTTATTGATGGAGTGTCCTTAAGGAGATTACACTTTATTTCCAAACGTTCATTCAGTTGTATATTGGAGTTATAGGTTGCCACACATACCCCAAGTGCTTTAAGAGACTCTACTTGATCTTTTATTAGGGCTAGTAATGGTGAAACAACAATTGTAACTCCACAAGAAACTACCGCTGGTAGTTGGTATACCAAAGATTTCCCCGCACCAGTTGGCATACATACAAAAACATCTTGTTTGCCTAAATAGAGAAAAGGAATTATCTAAGAGACGGTTTGCACCATGTATAAACTGTATTATTACATTTATAAATTACGTCCATAGTCACCCAGTTAATATGATGATTGCCTAAAAACTATAATTCATTGCTGATGACCTTATACTAATATGAGCTTTGGTGGTAAAAAACACTCATAGAAATGTTCATTTTGCAATGCATATTTAAAAATTCACCAGAATATATACACCAACAAACTCATCACACACATGCTCTATCCCCTGGGTCAATCTATCCCTTTACATCTTAGCAATTAAATTATCATTGAAATTTGACTTTTCTTTCAAATATATTTAACACCAGTTGGAGGAAGAGCACTCATTAAACAAGCCATATGAAGGGAAGCTGAACCATCAATTTCACAATCTCAACGCCTAACACTACAATATCTATATGTGCCAATAATATGGTCATCTTGTACAAATCTGACCATTTGGAAATATGAAATATCCAGTAGGCTGGACCTGGAATCCGGATAACTCATTTTTAATCATAGTCACAGTATATTAATTGTTCAATTTTTGTTGACTGACATTGATTTATTTGCTTTTTTTGTTATTGACATGCCGGGGTATAAATATAATTAAAATACAGTAATAAACATGGGTGAATTATACCATTAATAACTGCATTCACGGCATCTTTTTGAACTTTAGATTTAAACTCCTTATAATTGAATACATCCTCTAGACAACGATAGATTTCCCCTTTCTTATTCATCTAATATCATTAGAAGAGTGAATGAAAATCCATTTGACATTCATTTTAACATGCTCGAAGTGAGTAAACAAGAAATATATTCTGATTCTGATACTCTCGACACCAGGCTATTACCGAGTAATCGATACGGATGATACGTATACCAATAAAACAATGTCCGATACCACTTCATAGTCGATATCGACATATTTATCGACATGAAAACGGCAAAATGGTTTTTGTTTTATACATCCAGCCATTGAACTGTAAACAAACAACTGTTTACATACAGTCACAGATTAGCTATATAGCTAATCTGTGATACAGTTCAATGATCCAGCCAGCCAATCAATCAATCATTCTAGCCCAATAGCCAACCAGAGCACTGAATCTCGTGCACAAGATGGCGGCAGGCGTCTTGACTGTCTACTGGAAAAAACAGGCTAGGTTTCTTTACCTAACCAGATCATTATACTCATGCTATTCATTCGGTAAAACAGAGATTAGCGGCTGGTGCATGATTGTGTACTTGCAGTTTTATGTGTGTATCAAAACCGGGCATTTTGTTTTTCTGGATCTGCTCTCTGGAGTCCATAGTCTCATATGTAGCGGTAGATAGCACTAAAATACCACAGTCTGATTCGACTGACCGTTTCAGCTTTGATAAGCGCAAAAACTCGTCATGAAAACGATGCAACTTCATAACTTTCAATCCTTGCAGACCTTGCTTCCAGTCCACCGCTCTCTCTCGTCGCGTTAATTAAACCTTAGAAAGCTCAGAGGAAACGACCAACTGTCTTTCTCAGTCTCTCTCGATTTTTAAGCCTGTGAAAATCTAGGGCTAAGCGTAAATGCCTCCTTTTTCCCTTAGATAATCCCGCACTGGGCGATATAAAACTGAACAGACAACGCTCCCAGTCATGCCCTCATTGACTGCCGTCGAAACGAGAATTTAATAAATATAGAGGTCGGGCCCGAAATGCATTGGTGAAAAAAAGTTTTGTCTTACTTTATATGACAAAAGGGAAAATTGTCTGGCGAAAAAAATACCATACTATATAATTTATAAAACATTACTGCGGAAAGATAATAAGAAATGACAGAACTGAGTGCATTGCATGATGCCAGCGGCTAGCTCATAGTTTTAATTAGCTTCAGCAGGAGTGTTATTTGTGTAATATTATTAGACCGAAAATAATTGTGGCGCAACTTTTGTACTATCAAAAACCACATGTGTTAAAACAGTATAGAATTGAGGGCTGAAAGTTGAATACGATTTTATTGATCAATTGCTATTATACAAACCAAATAGATAAAAAAGGTTTCACACTCACACAGTCAAAAAAGAACAAGTGAATTATAATGAAACAATCAAATTTACTTCCGACATAAAGTCTCAAAGATAAGTTAACATTTGTTTTGGACTTAACCTCGGGCTTTCATGCAAGTGTCATCTGGTGTATCTGAATACACATAATTTAGCTAGCGTTCATGCAAGGTAGGGAATGCTGCTGGGGGAATGTTGATAAATACTGATACTGGGTATATCTGATTATGAGAAAAACTGGGCGCAATGCCAGCTCATAACTTCATCGAGTTTCATCAGGAATGTTGTTTGTGTTAGTAATAATTGATATAACAACTATATCAAATTATGTACATAATAAACGCGAAACAGAATATCACAAGTATATATATATATGTACATTTCCAAACTGGATATTTTGCGAATCGGCAACACGAAAAACATTGATCAATATTCAAGTCAAATCAATTTGTTCAAAAATAGCATCACACAGCTAAAAAGAGAGCAAGTATTAAAATAAAACAATCAAAATATTTCCGACATAATAATCGTCTAAAGACTGAAAGATAAGGTCACATTTGTTTTTGGCTTATCTACGGCTTAACTGCGTACATATAATTTAAACCGTACAACGAATTTCAGCTTTCACTACCGGATAGAATATCAGGAGAAGGCTTTCGTCGGATAACTTCAAGAACATGCATTACTTTAACAAAGTTTATCTGCGTGTTATATGATTTTCCACACGATATACTTTAATTGTATAAATCCATTGGATATCACCATGCTAGTTATTAACGTCAAATCAGCTAAACCAGCACTCTGAACAGCATGTCGTCGATATACTTTTATTGGTCTATGAAGAAGGAGCAGAGAAACAATCAACTTGAAAATCAACATATCAGCTTGTGGTAGAGTTTGCAAGCTTGTAATACCAAATAACATTCCGTAAATCGCTGCGGTACTCACAAAGTCTGAGCGTGCATGCTGGGCTACTGTCTTGCTACATATTATACCTTCACTCCACCCACCCTGATAACAAAACGTCGGCCACCTAATACAATAGTGCATGTGCAATGTTAATATAGATCTTCATATCTATACACCGCAGCTTACGGCGAACTGTTAGCAAGGATTTGCAACACATGGCGAGAGTGTCAAAACATGTCTTTTCAATGAATAGACTAAACAATTAACACCATTCTTCGGGTTTTAAATTATTGCCACATCATAAGATTTCTTTGTTCGCCGTAAGAATTGATAAGAAGTTCCTATACAACGTAATGTGCAAAATGAAACACGCGGATCCATGATTTATGTGGTCAATATAGTGTCAGTAAATCAATACACATGTGATGAATAGAATATGTGAGAGGAGATCTGATGAGAAGTCTTCAAAATCATTGATTTATCTGTTGGAATATTCATAGGTTTACGACCAATCATTTTTAATTATGCATAACTTCTATAATTTTGTACCTTTCCGCCATCTGCCACCGTTTATATACGTGATCTACGTCTCTGAAGCATTGTTGAAGTTTGATTCAATGTCTTCGCGAACAGTTCGTCTCCTGAATCGTCATGGCTACTATCTGGAGATAGAAAAACTGGAGAAATAGCTGGTTCAACGGCATACGAAAATATTTACAGTAAGTTTTATTCTGTCATTTCAGCAAATCCTCTCCATTTCCCTTGTTTTATTGCTATCTAGGTTTACAGCCTCCATATTGACGGTTAAACGACTCGAGGGCTCCTTTATTTTAAGACCTGTCCTACTTAACCTTTATCTGTTGATCTAAAATGCGCTAACGCCGTTCGATAAACGTTAATCATCATCTATGATTTTTTCTGGAACTATGCAGAATAATCTTTTCAATGCAGTAGGCAATTTGTCACGTGTAAAGGAATGAATAAGAGAGACGTGAAAGTTGAAAATCGTGAACTGACGTGTACCACATCAATGTAACACATCTAGATCTTGAAGAATTAGATCCTATGAGAACCTTGAAGAAATGAAACAATAAGGCCATATACCACGAATCTAAGCTTCCTAATTATGATGAAAGACGGAAAGTAAACAATATATTCATTCCAAGGCCTATATTTCGCCATTAAGACTCCTGTGGCCAGACGCGTGGGATAAAGTGCAATTTATACGTCGAATGTCAATGCCAATAGAAATGCATACATGTGTCAAATAATTAGTTTTTCACATTAAAGCATGTACTTAACAGTTGAACATTAAGACTCGTATAGCTGTCAACATTAGCATGAGGCTAGAAACGTGCTAACAACATTTGCAGTCAGGCATGCAGACAGCCAGAAAGGTTGTGCGATTGTTTTAGCAACTGCGATTTAATATGTGTGAATCATGATTTGGTGTTAAATGATATTGCTGTCATGCTGAAAATATGGAAGAGACCGCTGTTCATGCTGTGTCCTTGACTAATTAAAACGAAGAAAGTTTTACTAACTTGCTAATACTGCTGTCTGGGTACACATACTGACAAAGCAGTGTTAATATTTGATAAAGAAACTCTCCCCAGATGACTGACGAAATCCCTTACGTTGCACTGTTTTATCAAAATCTCCTCTAAATACGTACAGTTTCAAAATCATCTAATGACAATAACAATATGAATACCGCCTATCGTACAATAGGTACATATACAAGTCAACAAAAGTATGATTTTAAAATAATAGCAGCAGGGAATAATGCACAAGAATTTAAATAATCAATTATTTCGCTACCATTTATGTATTATCAACAAGATTTGTTCACAACAGGCTTGTATTTAAGCTTGTCAACAAGTTGTGTTAAAATAACAATGTTGTCACTTTATCTATATGCTATTTTTAAGGACAATTAATAACTTGTAGCAAATCTGTGAAGGTCCGAGTGAAGTGTACTTGCCTTACAAAAAATTGTACAACGCGGTACTCTTTCTTGTCTTATTTGTTTTTGAAATTACCTGTTGCATTGCCCTCTCCCCTGCCCAGGAAGCTGTTTTCAAACCCTGAGAAAAGGTGGACATAGTATTCGTCAGCTTCCCCTTCATGCAGAGATTCAAAGCCAACCTCGTACCCAGAGGAGCTAGCACAAGATTTACCAATGAAGCCTTAAAGTTTTATTCGGATGTTGTTTGTCATATCAAATCCTGTTAGCGCAGAAATTGATTTCTCAAAACCTCTAATACGACATTGACCTGGCCGCCCTATTATTTCCTAAATTTCTAGGCGATATCACGATACGAACAGTGGACTTTGGTGGCAAAGTTACACTACAAGGGAAAAAGTCAGGATTATTTCTGTATATGAAAGCCAATGGCGATATAAGCACAACAGTAAGTTACTAAAGTCGTCATAGAACTACAAACATGTTTATAGTTATTATTGTCATATAACTGGATCTGCATGGCGACTAAAAGCATTAATCCAACCGCGGAGTGACATTCGGTGTGACAAAGAAATTCTCGACCTCTACTAAGGAAAGGTCAGTAAAAAGCATGCACATAAAAAACGAAACAGAAGAACAGGGCATTCCCGTACATTTTTTTGGACCACGGTTCGTCCTCGTTCGTACCCAGGGTCTTTCCAAGGTACGATATTTGGTTGGTCCTATGGCTCGTCGAGATTTTTAAGGCCTGTTTATATCATTGTTGAACATTTGTTAAAATAACAAATTTTTGCTTGTTTCTAAAAAAATTATTAAAAACGAGATGAATCTAAGACAACCAATTTTGAATTAGTTGATTGTTACGATTGAGTCGCCTCCTGTAAACGTTACGCTGTTTTTACTAAGATCAACTTATACATGTTAAATATATTTCTTGCTCTTAAATGTAGGCATTATCGTCCAGTGAATGTAAAGAATGTGTTTGGAAAGAGGAGATGAGCTTGCTCAGACCGGGATTTTTTCATTATTCCTCTGCCGTTTACCCGAGATGGTTCTTGGGATTAACAAAGAAAGGAGCAATAAAAAAAGGGAAAAGGACAAAAGCCGGTCAACGGTCAACAGAATGGTCAAGAATATAGATTGCCATAAAATGTAACATATTTAGAGAATGTATTTATTCCACTTATATTACAAGTGCATGTGTTTAGTTTGAAAAAATAATTATTGTACATATTATTGTTAAAATTAGTGGATTTGATCCGCTCAAACGGTGACCTAGATTACGTGAAACGCTGTGATTATTCACAAATCTTGTATTTGACATTTCCAATCATAAACTAGTAAGCCAAGAATGGCGGCAAATTATGTATAAATCCGGGGCTATTTTCTTCACGTCAAAATTATAACCTTATAATTTACAACTATACAAGAATATTTTTGCTCACGAAAAGGGACCTTTAGGATTGTTAATTAGTGAAATTTCCTTCTCGATCCAAAGATATTCCTGTTGATGGAGTAAATTATACACCAACTCTAGCCTGCAAACAGGCCCTCAAAGCCAACGATGATGAGAACACTGCACCGGGATAGCAAAAACCCCGTTTACACTACACTAGCTCCATTTATTGGGACGGCACGGCTAAAATGGGTACCCATGCATTTTTATTTTCACAAATTCAAATACCTAATATGCATGCCCATGCCCAGCAAATGGATTGGTTGGACCATAGTTGGACGATGTATTAGGTGTACAAGAATGTCAGGGCTGTATTTCGCCAAACAGGTTCATGCTAGCTTGATTGACTGTAACTGCAAGACCTCCCCCGCGGCCCGCCCCACGAACAATTATGTGCCCATATCATATGAGACAAACAATTCTGCTGTTAGTGAATGGAATATGGATTCATTCATTCAAAGGATGTGAAGAAAATGCTGCAGTAGATTTTAAACGACTGACAGGACCAAAGAGAACATTATCACGTACATTATACTATGATTACAGCAATATTTGTTAGCGATGTCCAGCATAAAATGTGGACGTCACATTAACGAAAAATGGATGTGTCACAATATCTGGTATTTTCACAATTTCTAGAATATATATAATATTTCTAACATAATTTCCGAGCTTATTAGAATTTCCATATGGATTTTGTGCCTATACTTTTATTCCAGACGTCTGGGCATGTATGTTATTTTCAGCGGAAAACTGTCTACTTCTTGATTCGAACGAAATAAGCGAAACTTCAGGACAAGTAGATTCAAGACGAGCCTTCTGAATCTCTGTTGGCGATAATGATTGCTGTAAGGTTCTCACCAGTAATCTACGAGAAAATGTATTGAAGTTATAATAATAAATTGGGTGTCAGTTTTCCAATTTTTCTTCTTGTATAATTCAAGTGCATGAACATTAAAAAGAGTCAGTCAATCTTGCATCCATTCCTAGAAAAAGCGTTGACACTAGTTTCCATTCAGCCATGGCTCTTGCATATGCAGTTCCCTAATAGCTTCCCTTCCCTAATAGTTTTCTGTAGCTCACTGCCCTGGCTTATACACACTTGTTAAAAAAACCACTGACCTTGGCAACATCGATACAAAAGCTGTTAGAATACACAACATCCAAAAATTTGCTGTTCCCATTGTTACTATAGCGACAAAATAATCTGGCAGAACAGGTGAGACGACATTATAGACAATACACCATACGAATGATAACAAAACGCTGAGTCCAAGAATCACAGCATGAATTATTGTCTAAATGAATATACGAAGGACTGGGTCAAAACATTGATTGCGAACGCGCGAAGCGATAGCATGGTTAAACTCATCACTGCTGCTGTATTTTTTGCTGGCCTATTTCATGCGCTTTGATTGGTCAGATCGTCATTAGTTAATCGCATACGATTGGCCAATGTTTGTTGAATGACAATGGTAGCATGGAAGGTCAAAGCAAAAGCATATCATACCCAATAATTTGTCTCAATTGCAATTTGAAGTGAGGCGACAATAACTGCACACTGATGAAGACTTACTCCAACTGTATATAAACCAGCTTGTGTTCCGTAGTAAACCTATGGAAGATGATAACTAGTCTTTCAACTGAAAATCAGAATGCGATAAAACAACTAAATACAATTGAAAAATCCAAACCATGTTATCCGATATTTTTTCTCATTATAACATACCAGAAAGGCTGAAAAGAAGATTACAATACTTTGGAATATAGCATCGGCCATTGTTATCCAAAACATTTTCCTAGAATAAAGCTGTGAAAAGATTACTACATTGTTAGTTGAATAATCATAAATCAACCGAAGTATTATTTTACAGTATTATCCTTCAAGATGATATCACCTCACTTTCTTGACCTTGTCTGTAAAGGTATGGCTTTTTAAGAAGAATTTCACTACAGACATCTTGATCCCAAATTCCCGATATTATTGGAGGTAAAGCAGTAAAGATCAGATTAAAAAAAATTAAGTTCAAATCATTGATTGCGTTTGATCCTGAAAAACCGTTATATAACTGAAACCAAAACAACACCATCACGAACATCTAAAACGCAAAAGAAATCAATGAAACAAATTTATCATAACAGATGGAGCCGATTTGAGCATGCATGCACGGCTGAAAATTAAAATGTTATTCTTAAGTGGAGGTAACGTACGACCATAAAACTTACCATATTTTTATAAAAGAAATATAGTATCAGCTTTGAAATACGATCATAACACCAATGACCATGGACGAGTAATAATCGAACAAGGAAACGAAATCTTCCAATAGCAAAGTCACTAGCTTGAACAGCTTGCATTCCTTCTTGACCACTAATTCCAACTCCAATATCAGCCACTTGAATCATACTAACATCATTAGCTCCATCACCTATAGCTAATGTCATAACACCAAGTTCCTCTCGAACAAGACGTACTACAGAAGCCTGGATATTGATAATGGCACTTCAGATACGGTGTTAGTCTTAAATACGCTAAATTTAACGTATGCTGCAGACTTCATAAGTGGAATCATACTTCAGTCACGTACCTTTTGAACAGGAGCAGCCCGGCAACAAACAACAACTTGACATGATTTAGCTAAAAGAAGGAATTCCAAAGCAAGTGGATACTCCAAAGCATATTGTAGTGTCTGTCCATCTATAATCAACCCATATTTAGTTTGTTTCATTTGTTTTAATTGTTGACTTGCATCATTTGAATCACCATTCATCCTTTCTAGCCACGCTCTGATTTGTTCTGCACACGATTCCTTGAAACAAAACAACAAAAGATGTGACAAATATTTGCGATAAACACTAGGTGACATAATATAGTCCAGAAACATTGGGAATATTAAGTAACATGAAAAAAATAAATAAACGTCTTTAATGGTGAGAATGCGCCTAACACAAGCTGACAGAAGGTTAATTCACTGGGTATTGAAAATGAACCTACTTTTGATGAAGCATTAAGCGTTATTTTATCCATCTCTTGGTCCAGAAGGCGACAGGAGTGTGCAATGTTTACTGCCGTTTCCTAAAAAGTGACCCCAATTATGTTTTTTCAGTCAGACGCCATTTGGATGACAAAAATTAGAAAAATACACAGCGGCAACACAAACTAGATAACGAACGTCCCACGAAAATCAAACTTAGCATTTTTTAAAACCTGCAATGAAATATAAGATCCTACATTCCTATAATTTATTACCCCTATACAATCTTTCAAAAACACTCAAATATTTTCCCTGCACCTGTTTATCGCCAGTGAGAACCCATACTTTCAGTCCGGCCGCACGTAACGTTGCAATTGCTTCCGGAACACCTTCTTGTAATCTATCTTCGATACCGGTTGCTCCAAGTAACTCCATATCAGATTCTACCCGACAATATGAATCTTGTAATAGCTCCTCACGATTGTACAGAGATATTTCTGCTTTCTCGTGTTCTGATAACCAATTATGATAATCCTCATCAGTTAATTCCTAGATGTCGGGAAAATTAAATTAAATTAAGAAAACAACAATAGAGAGAACATGTAATGTTGTTGCATAATGTTTCCTTGTTTAACTTTGAAGGAGTTATCGTACTACACCAAATGTGACCGTGAAAATTACCTTTCTTGCCATACAAAGGGTTCTCAGACCTTCTCTTGCGTAAACATTAAGATGAGTTTCCGTCATTTCAACCAAAGACACATCTTCCGTTTCTGCACTTGCATTTCTTCCATCTAGCGCATCTGCATTATTGCAGTTTTGTAATGTTTTTGACTTACTCTGTTTGGATAACCGAGGTATAACTGCTGTGTCAGCACCTTTACAATACATTATTATCCTATCATCATTCTCACGACGAACGATCACCGACATTCTTTTGCGGACGGAGTCAAATATTAAGACATGAAGAAGATGATACTTCACAATGCCTTCTTCAGGTACTTCAATTGTTATACTATCCGGACCACGTGATATTAATTTATATCCATACATTGTGGCAGATTTTACCAAAGCTGCTTCATCTGGTGATTCAGCTTCGTAAGTTAAAGTCTGTTCTTGCCTGTTATCACCTGATAGATCTTGGTTTGCTTCGAGCCTTCCATTTAAATACATTTTATTTGTTTGACCATCTGCATTTGTTTCACCATCTACATTGACCGTTTCATTTCGATCAGTGGATTTTTCCTTATTGCCTAAAGTGGTAGTGACGTCATTCTGCTGGTTGCCATGCGACGAAACAACAACGGTATTACAAATTGCCAGCAAAGTAAAGAATTCCTTGACAGGTGATGAGATTTGTCAGATAAATGCTTTTTATCTCTTTGGCTACTCATGATCCAGAATTATCGCTAGGAGAGTCCTAAGAGTGAAGATAGCACAAATATTAAGATAAATATATAAGATCTTTAGTAAAACTTGATATTTGAATATATTTAGCATCACTTACTGTCGTATCCTGACCACGGCTTCCCTGAGGTACTGCTTCATCTCTTAGGTTATCTATTTTTTAAAACATTTACATTTACAGTTACAAGTTACACTTACATAAGTAGGCCTGGAAACTATATAAACACAAGGAAGGGGGGAGGGTGGTTACAGTAAAGATAGTTACAGTAGTTACCTTGAGAATATCTGGTTGAATGCGGAAAGTCTTTCCCATTAATCGTACAACGTCTGAACACCATTTTATTCTCTGTTAAAGTTCCAGTCTTATCAGAGAATACGTATTTAATTTGTCCTAAATCTTCATTAATATTTAGCGCACGACATAACGCGGGTTGATCTTTTTCTTCATAATACATTTCCACATCATTCGTGATAAAATAACATTGACCAAGTTTCACAATTTCCACAGACACGTACAAGGATATTGGAATTAACACCTATTGGAATAAATCGATATTTCAATTATCATTGGATTACATTCAACATGCAGTTGTACATTCAGTGATAGATACATGGACAACATTAAAACGTGGTAAAAACGTGGTATTCAGACCTGAAAAATAATGATATAGGTCCAAAATCGTACAAAACCTTCCAATGCAGGTTCTCTCTGAATGACATCTTCATTGTTAAGGTCCAACTCTGGGGTATACTGATGGTCAAATGCCTCTTTATTATGAGTCCAAAATCCACAACCTGAAATAAAGAATAGAATACGAGGGACTTATGATGCGTTTTGGGGATATATTGGGTATATATCATCCACGTTTGACCCAAAGTACTTTCAATTTCCATATCAAGTCACAATTAGGCATTACAACATGGATTAGGCGTTATAACTATCAAACATCAATACAGAATATCCAACAATGCAAGGCAAGGAAAATGGTTTTATGAGTCAACGCCTGCGGCCTGATCCAGCAAAAGATAGTTGATATATATAAAGACAAAAACCTACCTATAGCACAGATCAAACACAGTGATACTAAAATAAATACACAAGATATCACATCCCAGTTAATATCTCTTTCTAATTTGCTGCGTTTGCTTCTTGGGCCACCGTTATTTCGCATCGCTTTTGTGTCATGACCTAATGAAATAGGGTTTGTCATTATACTGCACCATTCATTCATTCCCGTTTTTCATGTTACTCTCTAGCAAAACCTGTCAATTTATATATATGAAAGACTTGTGTTTGAAAGCCATGCATTATTGCGTTTACCTGCATATATTACAATGCCTTCTACATTTTCTGTATTGCGAATAACACATCCTCTTAAAAGAAGATTATTTGTTCCAATTGGTATCTGATTGCCATCAGTGTCTCTAAAAAAAGAAAAATTCTTAATACTTGTACTGTCTATTTAGTTGAATGTTGTGGTGCCCCCTGCAAGATATAGATACAGTGTATATAACAGTCACCGCTGTCTTATGGCAAGAGAATACGATGTCCCATGCACAAGCACGTTCGGTAGGGACAACGATATTCCAGCCAAAAATAATGGACTTGTTTCGTTGAATATTTCCTCTAGCGAAACAATGTTTGAAACAAGTTGTTGTTTAAAGAAAGGATATGAAAATTAGTGAGCCAACTAAACGTGGAATAAGAAATACATTACATACATAAATCCCCGAAATTGATAAATTTTACTATTCGGTTCTTCGCAATGAACAAATGAAGAAAAATCCACAGCCCCATTAGACCCTAAACCCTAAAATATAACAAGATCTTTAACTATACATAAATAATAAATATTATAATGGTAACTGAAACTTGTATGTCCTAGATTTTGCTGGTTAAAAATTCACAATTCCCGTTTATACGATTATTCTTTTGGAACCGACGGGTATAAAAATCTTTGTACGAGTGTGAGGTGGTGTGTACCATAAACTGTAGTTGGAAACTCTCATGAGTCATGAATATACCTGATTAGAATTTCTAACAATTTCTCTTTGTTTCAAATTTGTTTCACCATCAAGGTTAGCTGTCTCTATGTGGCATATATCATTAGGATCGCTCGACTTCAATAATAATACATCAGCAGGAATAATTTCATCATTTGATAACTTTACAACATTGCCAGGAACAATGGATTTCCATTTTGTTTCAACATATTGGTGGGTTGTACTGAAAGAAAGAACAACACTGAAACGGCTTGTTCCTGTAAAATTCTCACTAGGCTTCCATAGAATATGAGAGAACTGTATCTCATTGAAAGAAAGTTATAGTAAACCTCCTGATGGACACCGAGGAAAGAAATTAAATGAGAGAATTACAAAACAAACAACAACGCAACAATGGAAACATTGATTAGAAAGCGTTGAAAGAATATGATGTATAGGAAAAGGGGTATAAAGTAGGAACAAGCTTGAAGTCTGAAGAGGGTAAGCAGGAAGTTTTAGAAAGACATTTTTCTTAATTTAAAAGTAAAGAACTCGTGCCAGTATATTGTTTAAGGTAAGTAGAAAGAAACTCAGTGGTTTCTGATATTTTCACACAACTTCAGATTATTCGAAACACTTAAGAAATACTAGTGTATTTCAGTATTTCTTTATAATGAAATCAGGCAATTTCCTCAGTAATAGAAACAACGGTCCTATAGCTATAGGCAGTTTGAAACGTCCGTTGAACTCATATCGTGTTAATTTTGTTTGCAAACTAACCGCAACTATGCACTAGTGCAAACATCCATTGCAGCAATTATAAACGAACACCAAAAACGCGTAATTACTCGATCATGATTGCAATCGCGGGTTATACTGTTTGTAATAAGGCGGCGTAAAATTAATAATGAACGACCCAAATCTCACACGCGACACGACAACAAGGAGAGATGTTTCTGAACGTTTGACAAGAAAAACTGTCCTTAATTTTGAAACCTGGATGTTTGCAGAATAAAGTACACTTAACTGCACAACAAAATCTCTATTAACCATGAAAAAATAGATCCTTGACTAGAAACAAATTCTTAAGAAACAAATTCTTAGAATTTGAAACAAATAAGAAAGAATCTGCTGATTTTCCACTTAGTCTTCCATGCACCCATGCTAGCCTTTTTCATTAAATGTTTGTAAAAATGAAAACATTTGGGTTGTCTTTCCAAATGTGGTTGGCCCAGATTACACATCAAAATTAAAAATTAAGGAACTTCAAGTTTTGTCTGACAAATTCCTCATTTAATTATATAAAAATATAATATAATAAAAAATTGTTATAATAGTAATACAGTTGATCCATGGTTACTTTATAGCTAATAGTGCTATATATAGGTCAAGACAACCAGCAGAGATATAAAAAATAATTACCAAATTTGATACTGCAAGAAAGTCAAACACATTAAGTTGAGTGCAGTTAAAATCCAGTGCAAAACAAAGAAATTTTCATTTCACTGCTGTGAACGAATAAATTCAATGTTTTAAATATGAGAGGATGTTTCTGAGATAGAAATGAAACACTCCAGTATAACCAGGCCTGCATATGATCCACTAAATCAATTCTGGAATAAAAACAATGTAAGGGAATATTATGAAATTCAATGTAGCCTGCAATAGACTCATTATAATTATAATTAAGCTCAAAGGGTGAAGTCATAAAAGAAGAGAAAGGATTGAAAATTAGTGCATATATATGTGTACGTATTTCCAAACATGTAACCAAATAAACCCTGAAAAATATACTTCATTTTGCATTATCTGATTTGTATCCCAGAGTAGACCATGAGCATGTATACTCTACATGTACAGTAGTTCAACTGTTTCTAGAACCTCTCATACTATGAGGAAGACCACAAGTGCCTTGGCCAGGGCTGTAGCTAGACCGCTTCATTGGGGGGAGGGGGGTGTATATTCATATATTCATGTTTATATACCGTAGGAACAATAGCATACAAAAGAAATCAGTCGGGCATAAAACAAATATATGAACATACACCCCCCCCCCCAATTAAGCTTCTAGCTACAGTCCTGGCCATGGCAGTAGGATTCAAAAAGGTTAAATACAAGAGCTAAGCACTTTGCAGTTAGAATGCAGACAATGCAGTGTCGAATGGTGGTGCCTAATACAAGCAGAAGATGGGCAGGAATGCATACTGCATGTCATCAGAATATATTTTCTTAGGATTATTTTATTAAGATACAATTGAGAGATAAAGGGCAAATATACTCACTTTTACCAGCTAGACTGGTATAAACAGCCTCTAAAAAAGTGCCAGATTACATTACAATGTTATAATGATTATACCAATTACATAAAATTGTATAGCACAATAGTATAATAATGTAACAAAGTATGATGCTTTATTCAGGTGCATTGAAATGTTAAGCAATACTAGCAATTACCTATTGCTAGTTCATGCATTCAGCACAATGGAAATTTGAACAACTCACCTATCAAAGACAAGGCAATGTCTGTTGTTGACCTCATTATCTGACCTTCTTCGCCTGTGATCCTCAAATAAATCCTTTACCAATGTCACAGTGAGAACAAACAACAATGGGATCATAGTTATTTCTTTCGCAAATGCTTTTATTGCCGGAACCCAGTTTAAAATTGCTATTGCTAGAAAGTAGATGTTGGCAAAACGATGAAACTGTTCAAATAAATTCTTTGGTAGAAAATTCCATATTGTGTATTTAGTCGTTTTAACAACGTTTGTCAAATTACGTTTAAGACTGCTCTCGTGTTTAATCTCAAGTTGTTTGGTTAATACTCGAGTTGGAATGACAAGTCTACGACTTGTTGTATCAGATTGAATGGAACCATATCTAGGAATGCTAGAAGGTGGCGTTCCTTCTTCCATACTGTCCGAGTTATCAAAAACCTTCCACGCAAACGGCATAAATCCTTCGTTTTTTGCAACGTCACATTTATTTACTCTAATGTACATTCCTGTCCCATTGCCTCATAAAGGTTTTTGTATGTAAACCATTTGCATTTTAATATATCTTCATAAAGCGGAAAAGATATCTTTTCTGTTTGTTATTCACTTCTAAAATTTCTAATGAAGGGTTATGAAGAGGATCACATTGATTATCGAGGACGATATTGAACAATTGTGAGCATTTAGGTTTTCCGTTGTAGGATCAGGGTAGGATGACAATGGATACTGATCATCCACCGATGACCGACCTCCATATTGGATGAAATTTTTTTGCAGTTTATAGTAAATTGCACATAAAAGTTCTGCTACAATGGGTGGAAAAGAGTTTGGAAACATTGCTAGAGCTAAAAACATCATCACTTATTCTCTGTCCCCATTTGAGCAGCGTGCTTTTGCTGGATTCGTCACCAAAAGTGGCCCAAATGTTGTACGTCGTTTCATGACTTCGTTTGGCTATATCTTACCAGGTCTTATTTCTGGCTTTTTGGTTATTAACTGGGCAAAGAACGAAAACCATCGGCTGAGCAGAAAAGATCCCAAGGAGTTCGAAAACGACGAGTGAAACCAGTGAATATGGACTTGCCAATTTATGATTTGAGAGAGAACTAAAAATATGATAAATTCAAACTACTAGTTACTATAATTATAAACAGTTATTCTGGAGATTTTTGGATGAACTTGACATTACTTTGGATGAACTTAAAAACTTTAATTGATATGAAAATACTGTATTTATGTTTGTATTTGACTTGAAAATTTGAAATCTTCGCTGCTGGTTATCATAATATTGACTGTTCTAAATTTATTTATGTACCATTTCATTATTTTCATATATGCTGTCAAGTTTTGTTAAAATAAAGACAATGTTAGTAATATATTATCTATGTATCATCATTGCTCTTACCACTAAAATGGTTGACCCAGGATAGCCCACCTTTCCATTTTTTTTTTTCAGCTTAACATGGAGTTGGCAATCCTTTTTAAAAATCAGTTCATCAATTTATTACTTTGGGAAAAGCATTTAAAATTTTAAACTTTTACCACGAGTATATGCTCTGATTATATTAATGTGTTGATATATTTTGACAATGGATGAGTAATATCAATATGAAGATGTCAAGGAGTTATTGCAAAATGTTTTACTTGTTGCAAGATACTTTAACTATTGGAATCAGTACACTTTCGGCTGAATCTGCAAATAGATATGAACTAGCATACAAGAGAACCTCTCGGAACTGTCAAAACTGCTGCCCATTGTATGACATCTGATTTTTGCCCTAGAATATTCGGGTGTTTTTCAAATCCCTTAAATTAAAAGTGCACCCGACCCATTGCCTGCCTTACCTGCTGTATGGTGAGAGCTACCACTTCGAAATAATGTTTGAAAAGCGTTTTATTGTAGATTATACATATATTTTATTTCAGATTAATTTAAAAGTTCATATTCAGTGCAACTTATCAAATTAATTTGGGAAATTACGGAACAGTAAGGAACGAGTATATTTGGCGTGCGTGAATACGGTGGCCGAGAGCTGCCATATCGAAATAATGTTTGAAAAGCGTTTTATTGTGGCTTAGAATTATTTTATTTCAGATTAATTTTAAATTTCAAAGTCCTTTTTAGTGCAACTTAAACGCTTTCAAATTAATTTGGGGCACAGGGATTTTGGGGCATACTTCTTCCTTACTGTTCCATAATGTCTCCAAATTAATTTGAAGACGTTTAAGTTGCACTAAAAATGAATTTACAATTTAAAATCAATCTGAAATAAAACATTTCTAATCCACAATAATAAAACGCTTTTCAAACATTATTTCGAAGTGGCAGCTCTCGGCCACCATGCTGCTGATAAAAGACATGAGGGAGACTTTCGGTGACTCATGATTATTTATTACGAATATGACTGCTATTTCTTCGGGGGCACTTATCTAAGCCTTTGAGCGCACGACGGCGAAACGGCGAGTACTAGTATAATTTAATTTTATGGTAAATTTTCGGGTTATATCTATGATTTAAACCCTCTAACCTGAAGGCTCCAAGAAAGACGAATTTGCATATATTGCACGAGTATTGCCGCAGAGGATGCTGGGTAAATTAACTACTCACGTTTCGCTATTTTTCAAGTTTGTTTTTTTGAAACTTTCATTTCTTTCATTTTTCGTTCTTCCGCAATTACCCTTTATTTAAATCTCTCAACAGAATCTAATGTTTATAGTCGTCCTTTTTGGAGGTGGGTGAATTGAATTGGTGGTTGGTGAATTGAATTGGTGGTGGGTGAAAATCATGATTTTTGACTGATTTTAATTTTGATTCATATTTTTATTCGAGATTCCCAACAGGAACTCTTCAACCCAAATTGTAAAAATATATTGCTGATAGAAAACATAAAAAAACGCTGCAACTGCAAAGAAAAAGGTAAATAACGAATAAAAAACTAGATCTTCTCTGTACAGCTGGTAAAATATTCCATGTGAAAAAATTGTAAGCTTTTAATTTACCAATTCGTTATTTCCAATACGTAGACACTATAGATTTAGCAGAAGAAAGTGGTGCCGTGAAAAGCATGAATGAAAGGCCATCAGAGCAGTTCGCTAGTGAATATTTAGAGTATCGGCGAACATATATTTTGGTCGAAGTTAAACGTGAGTGACATTTCAAAATATAGCCATCCGTGTCTAGACCACCACACGTCAGACTAATTACCTCGGGTGGATATTTAATGATGAATTCTTTTTATAAAGGACATCTTGACATAACGACTGGTCACGTTTTCAAGAGTTTTACACCTCTACTGAACGGACTAGACGAAACTAACCCAGACTTCATAGGTAAAGCTTATTTCCCATAATATTGATATTTATACACAAGAATTTCAGTAGTTCATACCGGCCACGATTCAAATGGCTACCGTCTTTTGTATCCTATCATATGAACCCCCTCATTGGCTCACGTCGAACCACTAGTATAGATGAGTAGGTTGTGTTATGTTTTGTTGGATAGTATTTATTTTTTCTAGCGAAAATAGCATCACTGAATCGTGTCGCTGCAAACCGCAGTGCAAAATCTGCTAAACAAAATGTTCAGCAGACACGTCAGGGAAAAGGTGCTTTGAAGACGTCGAAGAACCTAACAACTTCAGTTCCATCAACACGATCCAAGTCAATTATGAATAAGAAGAGACCTTAAACTATTTAAACTTTTTTATGTATACTTATAATTGGAAAGAAACGCTGTTTATGTTAACGTTATGCATTAAGAATTTTTATCAGTACAAGTGACAATCAAGTCGTTTTTATCAGTACAAGTGACAGTCAATTTTTGCTTGTAAAATGTCTCAACTACCACAATATAACAATATCAATTTTTGATAAGATATGAAACATTGGAGTTCAGTAAAGTAAAGGAGGGGTGTCGTTCCCATATGAAATCTTTTACACCCCAGTACAACAAAATTAAAAACACCGTGCAACAGATTAATGTTTTAAAACAATGAGAAATGTCGAGCTTCCTTTTCAAACACGCTGCAGAGACTTGTATTTCGGAAGGTTACCAGTAATATATTTGTCATGTTGAACAACAGTACACAAGTACTTCTGCTTCTTAACATGAAACTGTACATTCCAAGACATGTGCATGTTTCATTGGATGAACTGGTTTCTGGATTATATTCGTTGGGCATAACTTGTGTTATTCCCCATCCTTTATAACACTTTGTAGTCGCTCCATTAAAGTCATTGGTCCATTTTCTGACTTTGATGATAAAGAACCCAGAGAACAAATCGCAGAAGATAGTCCATCGCTTTGGTTTTCAACCTGTGATAAGGTATCCGTAGAAATATCACTGCATTGAGAACTCTGTGTTTCTTTACACAATTCGGACGGTAAGGATTTTGGTACACTTTCTGAACCTGATGATGAAATTTCAGCAGAGCAAGTCGCAGGAGATATTTCTTCAGTTTTGTTTTCAACATGTGATGGGGAGTCCATCGTAATATCACTGCAATGATTACTCTGTGTTTCTTTGCACGAGGCTGATTCCGATGGCGAAGATATATCTTCGTTTGGATCCACATAAGTCACAGGAAGTTCACAAAGCTCGCCCTTGTATTTCGCAAGTTTTGCAGCTAAAGATTTTCTTTTACGTTTTTTCTTCGTCTTTTTAGCTGGAGCCTATACAAAGAATGATGGATGTTAAAAACAGCAAGTTACTGTACACAATACCAGGTGATCTGAACATAATCTGAAGTGCTGGGAAAGGGCTGTGAAGTAATTTCTCGGTTGAAAATTGAAAAACTTATATCTCTTGTCCTTGAAATCTCACTACTTTGGTAGAAAATTTATGACATTGCTATAGTTTTTATAACTTAACATATGCTCAAAATTTCGACTATAGGTTAATATAGAATAATTTCTATTTCGACAACCCCCCACCTAGAAAAATATAAAGAAATCAAGCAAATGCCCTTCGCCTTGAAATTAGTTTGGTTGTTTTCCTTGGATAGTATACCACACAATGCAATTGATATAAACATGATGTAAATTATATTCCGCACATATCCAACAAACTATAATAGGCATGATAGGAAAAACATGTCGCGTGGTCGTGAAGTAGAAAAACAGTGAGTTACCTCATGTGAAGCGATGTGTCTCTTTAAGTTTATCTGCAAAACAGTAAACAATGTTAAAATATTTGTTTAATGCTAAAGGTTAAAATAAAAGGTTGATTTACATTGTAACGAAATGATTTCCCACATCCTTCTACTTCACAGTGAAATCTTAAACCAGCATGTTCAACACGAACATGTTGATTGAGATTGGACCCCTACAAAATAAACATAATTAACAAATACTGTTGAACTATCATTCGAAAAGCAACAAGCTACAACCAATGAAAGTAGATAGAGAACTAGTTTCAGTAGGTTTGGGCAATTACTTACTGTACTATATGTCTTGGAACAGCCTTCATAAGGACAATCATATGTTTTTTTCGGTTCAGGATGAGCCTCTTTGCAATGTTTTTTAAACTGCATAATTATATAAAAAGTTAAATTAACCTTTATTCTAGGCAAACTGACTTCCAACACTCACTCGATGGATATCAATGCAAAAGTGCACCAGGACAGTTTTTCTGCTAAGATATGCCAAAATATTGTAGATCATTACTCTTGAACTACACCCCCCATCAAAATTAACCTTAACCATATAACCAAACCCAGGATATTTGGGTGAGTAATCCAACTCGTTCAAACAACTGAACTACCAGGGATACAGTACACAGTTGCAAGTGCTAAATCCTGACACAACAAACAAGCCAATTTCAGTGGAATAAAACCTCTGTTTATTACCTCTGTTTTGTTCCTGCACACAAGGTCACATGCTGTACAGTGTACTTCTAAAAACAATAAAAAATGACAGTTGAATATTAATTAGTGATTTAGATGGGAATGGTTCAGAAGATCACACCTGAAAATATGCTGCTTTTGTAGAAGTGCAAAACTAACTCACAAACTTTTTTGTGTGCAATACTCAGATTTTTTATGTTTCCATAACTTCATATGGTAAAACCTCCTGTCATACAATATTTCAACTCACTTTTATGTGTTTCACGATGTTTCCTTAATACAGATCGTGACTTGAAAACCATGTCACAGCCCAAAATTGCATTCATACTCTAGAAAACACAAGATCATTGTGACTTTTGCATGTTATAAAAGAAATGTAAAATTAGTTTTGTTTGCATTCAAAGCAAGGGGATGCTCACCTCTTTCATGACTGTACAAATGACGAGCCAAATTTCTTTTTGTTGTGAACACTGATGTACACCCTTCATGAGTACACCTTCAGTAACAGAACAACAGTTAATATCATACAATACAGCATAATAATGCAGAAGAATTTATTTTAAACAAACTTTCATACTTAAGGTATATATCATTATGAATTTCTCTCATATGTTTTTTCAACTTGAATTTCTTATTGAATGCCATCTCACACCCTTCAAATGTGCACTACCATGTAAAAAATATATAAGCAATGTTAAAAAAGTCATTGATATTTTGAAATAATGCAACTCTATCTGTTACACATATAAAATTAATAATAATCTCATGTTTAATTCACACCACAATACCTTGTGTAAAATATGTGTGCTCTGAATATGTCGTTTCATTGTCCTTTCAAATTTGAATTGCTTGGGACATCCCTCTACTGTACAACTGGAAACATAAAAGCATAAGACATTAATTTTTAAGGGATGTTTTAATCAGTTCCTAAGCAAGTTTGAACTTATAGCCTCAAGTGAAAAATATATTCAGGTTTACTTCATGAGTCATAAAGTTACACACAGTAGGTTGATAATGAAATGAGAATAAAAAGTTGCTGGAGTTACTTTGTGTAAAAGTTGTCATGAGAGCTTCAATTTAGAATTTGAGAATTTATAAACTTGCTGAAGTCCAATTTAAACTTATTGCTTGCTTACCTGAGCAGTAAAGTGTTCTTTGAATGGGAATTCATGTGCCTTTGTGCATGTGACTTTGAGTCGAATTTTTTATCACATAGATAACAATCGTAAGGTTTCTATAATATGAAAATCTTATTAGTCATTATTAGTTATCTTATTAGTCATTTCATTGACCAATCAATTCATTGACCGGTCTGACAATTGAATTATTTCAATGTATTAATTTACATTAAAAAATAACAATTATGTTGCATGAAAATGGGGTGTGCGCAAACTTCTATTACAATTCTAACTTAATAGAAGCTAATAGCTAATCTTCGTCGCCGACTCGCCGTCAGGTGAACGTCACTTAAACGACTTTCTACAATACTTTATCGTAGCTTCTTCGCAAATATAAACCCTCACCCACCTCTCCTGTGTGCCTTCGTACATGCTGCTGAAGTAAAGCGTTTTTCTTGAATTCTTTGCCACACGTAGCACACTTATTTGCCACACGAACCATTACGAAACAACAAAATACACAGAAACAAGTTAGAAATGAACCATAATATTTTCAGTTTTTCACTCAATATTAGAGAACTGCGCCGATGAATAATTTTTTATTTCACGTGCGAATGTCGTATCAGTGATGTCGTACTTTAGGATGAGCCCGCATTGCCATGTGCGATACGTCATGTAAGCGCACGAGAAGAAAGTCGTACATTTCTCTTCTCAGTCAGTTCTCACCGCTGCTGATAATTTTTTTTACTTTTTTTTGACATTTAATGTATTGTTTCTACCTTCGATATTCGCGTGTATTTACGTTCGATATTCAATTCTAGTAAAATATTGATAATGTCATCCTACGTGGACTGTGAATGTTGCACTAATAACCACTCAAATAATTACTATCCTACATCTGAAAATCACTTTCAAAACATGTGGTATAGTTGGTGGTTAAACAGTCAGAATGGTACACATGGTGGAACAAATCAATCAGAAAATAATGGTGAAACATGGTGCATCACTTGTATTGAGGAACAAAGATTAAGAGAAGAACGTTTGAATAGATTGACCAAGAAACAGACAGATGCAACTAATGCCAATGTCACTAATTCTATATTACCATCTATTAATTCCCAAATGATCAATGCTAGATGTGACAGAGTAGGATATGTTGATGATCGCAGGTCACAGGATACTTGTGGTATCTTACAATATGAAAGTGAAAATGAAGAAGAGTTTGAAATGGAATTAAACAATGAATTTAAAAAGTTTCTTGAGCAATCAGCTAGACATAGAGAACAAAGAAGTAAGTATAAGGTTCTAAGAGGTTATAAGAGGTTATAAGATTTCACTTATATACATAGGCCAATAGTTTATTATTTATTTAGATAAGCAAAAAGAAGCAGACCTTGCAAAAGCTCAAAAAGATGATTATATTGAAGGTAATGTTGGTTAGAAATTCCTATTTGAAATTTTAATACCCAGTGTCTTTCTTAGCATGGAGCAGTAAATGATTGCTCAACAAATACTTTGTATATGATACCTATTATATAAATTTTTTAAAATATTTTTTAGTAAATGAAATTGCACTTGAAGCAACAACTGTGGCACCAACACAGCAACAAGGTGCTTTGAGAAGTGAAGAAATGAAAATTTTGTATGGTATCTCAGCATATGATATTGAGAGTTTAGAAACTTCACTACAGTTACACTTCAATATGAATGTAGATATGAGACATCCAGTGTTTTGGCCAAGTATCCCTCTAAAGTTTTGATTATAGCATGCATGACATTTTTAACTTTGATTCTTTCTAAACTATACTGTATAATACATATGTTTTAATGTGGAAATTCCATAGAAAAGTTAACTAATAAAAAAAAAGAAAATTAATCTCTTGTTGAATCACTTGTCATACAAGTGCATACATTTTTGGAATAAAAACATGAGGTTAAGTATGTTTTTCCACATTCATACCTAAAATGCCTACGCAACACTTCCTAAAATTAGTACATGGATTTTCAGCTATTTTCTTGTAATTCTGACCTTATAACAGATAATTCTGACCTTATAACATTATAGTGGACTGGCCTATGATTGATTTGAAGACGAACATACGCACGTAGTAGTCAGAAATAAAATGCTCAGCATTACAGAAGACTGGCCAAATCAATTTTATACATGTACTATTTACATTTATGTACAATCATATATTACTAAAGAATGATGAATAAATAGAGGGGAAATTTCAGAAATAAAAGTTAGTTCAAGCTTCCGATTCATCGTTTTTGAGATATTGAGCAGGATCTTTGATGAACTTTGTATCATTGAAGTTGATCTTTTCTGAACACATAGGACAAATACCTTCACCTCCATCTAAAAAACTTTAACGATAAAACATTTTTAGAAGTGCAAGATTTCTCGGCGAAGTTGTTCACCAAAGTTTTTAGTCACAAACCTTTTCAGCTCGGAATACAAAGCAGGGAAATTACAACTTGGACAAGCAGACCAGTCGTCCTTCAGCATGTGTCGTCCCTATAGTGGATCCAGATTACTGGATAAGCGATGTGCATTGAACTACCTCTCTCCCCTAATAGGGTGTGGTCGGGGCTTAGCTTGCATCGACAACTACAGATCTACTTTTAAATCTGTTTTCCGGATTCGTATCTACGTATATTCAAATTTTCGTTTTTCTCTACTCGTTATATTTTCCGGTAGCGGCGAATAGTTTTCTTTGGTTTTTATTGACATTGAAAGTATTGAACTGATAAATCTCTAAAAAAACCACTCACCGTAATGATGCAATATGGGATGTTATTCTTACAGTCAGGACAATCCAGTTTAGTTTGGGGAAGAAGATATTCACAATAAGGACATGCATCACTCGGTTCCTCTTCTTCTGTTTTGTCAGGTTTCCTAAGCAAAAGTGACAGCTTCTTTGAATTAGGGTTGTTAACGTCAGGCTCACTGCGCGAATAAACGTTTAACGACCATAGGTCGCAAATTATGCAAATGTTTAGGAAATTTTTATTATTCTATAATCAAATTAACAACATACATGAGTCTGTCAGTATGACTATAGCAGTGTGTACCTGACAATTTGTTCAATTTTCTTTTTGTATTTCAAGTCAACATCCTTTCTATATTCAGGCCTCATCAACATGGCGGCATAACTGAATGATGAGTTACGAAGTGACGCACGATGACACTCAATCACAGTTGAAGTCAAGATTGGTACAATATCTATAATGAAGAATTACTTTGTAGTCAGAAAAAAACGTTCCGCAACGAGCGGTCTAATCTAACTGAATTCAGAAGACTTTTTAAAAATCCTAGGATCGATAAAATCCTAAGACTCTTGCCGTCAAAGTTGGCAGACTATCTATGTGATACGTCATATTGCAAGTGCAATGTACACGTTATACCGCAAGTGTAATCTACAACGTTATATTGTAAGTGCAATGTACACGTTATATCGCAAATGTAATGTACACGTGATATTGCAAGTGCAATGTAGTGAATGTACAACGTTGAATTGTAAGTGTAATGTACACGTTATATCGCAAATGTAATGTACACGTTATACTGCAAGTGCAATGTACAACGTTGAATTGTAAGTGTAATGTACACGTTATATCGCAAATGTAATGTACACGTGATATTGCAAGTATAATGTACACGTGATATTGCAAGTATAATGTACACGTTATATTGCAAATGTAATGTGCACGTTATATTGCAAGTGTAATGCACCTGATATTGCAAGTATAATGTACACGTGATATTGCAAGTATAATGTGCACGTTATATTGCAAGTGTAATGTACACGTAATATTGCAAGTGTAATGCACCTGATATTGCAAGTATAATGTACACGTGATATTGCAAGTACAATGTAAACGTTATATCGCAAATGTAATGTGCACGTTATATTGCAAGTGTAATGTACACGTAATATTGCAAGTGTAATGCACCTGATATTGCAAGTATAATGTACACGTGATATTGCAAGTATATTGTACACGTTATATCGCAAATGTAATGTACACGTTGTAGAACAACAACACGATTATTTGCAAAATAACACAATAAATTTTCCCTCCTCAAAGATAGAGCTGGATAGAGATTACGAAGTCAATATTTACTTACGGGATGGGAATTTGCTGATGTTGTTGGAAACACGTATCAACATACGGGCACCTTTTAAATGGTCTCCACGTTTAACGTGAACCTGAATGTAAATAAATTATGTAACATATTAGAGGTAACATATGTAACAATGAAATTATACATATTGATACATATATATTCAGACCTCTTTCGTAGATTGGACAAATAAAAAAAGAGAAAGAGAATCTAAGGGATTTCTTTATTTGGACCTACCTTGACCAAAATGTAGCTGTGAAGAATCATTAAATTCTGTTTCATTTCTGTTGGTATTTTGATCTTGTGTTGAAGAAGTTCTAAACATACAGAATCATCATAGAACATATATTGTATTTAACACTATACACTCACGGGTAATGACGGTCTAATCCCTCGGTTGATGACTGTCTTTTTAACATAATTTATTAGGAAAATATTCATTAGCAATACACTTTACTAATTACTATATCGGATAGTGGAACACCAGCTTGGTTGATTTAGTATTATACATGATGCAAAGTGGCCATTCTATTTTCGTCTTTACACTTGAAGATTTTCTTAAACACTCTATATATAATATGTCATTCATTGAATATTTTGTAGGACAAACCTTGATACATTCCAAATAAAACATCGTGAGCATTCCTGTAATTCCCTGCTGATTGATCCTCCCGGGCAATAATGATGGCAGTTTTTGCAGCTTCACGATATTGCTCTAATGCCATGTATATGCGAAACACGTATTTAGCATCCTATAATAAAAAATTGCAAGAATTATTGCTATTTCACGCCATTCTTTTAACATAAAAACAGTTTATGAATACTCGAGATATTCCTCGAAGTATATCTTACCTTGGGCATACCATCAACTTCACCCATAAGATAATCAATCAATTGATGAGTTAGAGCGTCATCCTTGGCCAAACCAACCTGAAATATCGTAATCAAGGTAATATTTCATAAACCCACGGAAACCAAACAGCAACTATATGGTTGAAAAACAAAGTAAAATTTACCGTTTCAATCGCTAGTTCGATTGCTTGACCGTCTTCGCTGGCTGGGCATTTTAACAGATGTTTCAACGCCTGTTTAGATAATAGAATTATTATACTACATGGCTTAGTTTCATAAAATTCGGGGCTCGCGGGGCCTGAGATAGGTTCTCTAAATTTAAATTGGTTTGATATTGTTTTCCATTTTCATTCCAACAAAAATAAATAAGCAATGCTCCGATTGCTCCCATGCAATGCCAACCTCGTACCAAGGGTTTTCCCTCTTGAGGAGGGGAAACCATTGGTACGAGATTGATACAATGCCTGTATGTATGTGATTACATGTGATGCAACACGCATACAAACCTTGCTGTATTGACCAGCCTTAGAAAAGAACTTTCCAGCCAGGAAATGTTGTTTCTTTTGTTCAAAATGTAACGCCATACTGGAATAATCATCTGGGGTACAGTCATCACCTACACACAAAAAACACGTGATTAATTTCGGTTGATAGAAAAATTACCTAATCGAATCTCTTTGCATGTCAACCAACCATGCAAAGGCCGTTTTTCTATCCTTTCATTCAATTTTTAGGTTCTAATGTATAGTAATTAATCCAGTAATAAATACCAATAATTTCGGCATACTGTTCCATTTGATTGTGGGCCTGTGAAGAGGTAATATTTTACTAAATACTATGTTATACAATAAAAATGGCGTAAAGTAACAAATTGCTATTAATACCTGAGCCATTTGAAAAGCCTCGTCATTGCATTTTGACAAAACAAGAAACTGAATAGCAGAGGAAAAATCACCGAGATTTTGAAAAAATCTAAATAAGAACAGAGGTATACATGGTCACTCCACTATGTATAGGGATTGCTTTCTAATTTTGCTATTCCCTGAGGTACATGCATGGAGATTTAAAAAAATTAGCACAGAAAGGTCTTACTTGGCGACCATCTTTGCTCCTTCAACCGACTGGGTTTCTTTCACGACTCTCACGGCCTCCTCTGGATTTTGCAAATAATCCAAGTAAACCCTGCATGCATGAAATGAAGAGCAGAGAGTATGTAAGTGAGCTATAGCACCAATATAGATGTAACAGAGTGTATATCATTATCTTTCGTAAACTGCTTCGTATCTATCACTTGTCGTGATATAGTGACGGGTATATGAACATTAATTGGGATCTAGATCTTGAAGCCTCTGAATGATAGCAGGTTAACATACAGGCTGCCATATTCTCAACCCAAACAATTTTGCATTGAAGAGTGAGGTGATAAAAAGATGCCTATATATGTAAATGTGTAAAGGCTCGTTTCAACTTACGATTTTTACTGCAATTTTATCAACCTCGTTCCCAGGGTCTTTTTTTGCAATTTCAAGTGCGATTTTCTTCTTTTGATAGACGTGAACGAGTAATTAGTTACGAATGCTCTGATATATAAGAGCTTTTATTTGAACATCAGTAACTAGTCACTCGTTCACATCTATCAAAAGAAGAAAATCGCACATAAAATCCGACAGCAAAAATAGCAAGTGTTATCTTAAAGGCCAATCTTAATCGCTTTCAGTTAGAAAGCATCGACCATGGGCGCATACCTTATAACGTTATCATAATCCTTGCCAGCTTCATAAGCCCTGGCTGCTTCTTTGTATCTTCCATCGGCTTCTTTTGCTTTAGCATATTGAATATGAAGTTTTGGAGATGAAATATGAGATAGTAATGAACCAACTTTGTTCCTGATAAATTGAACAAATTAAGATGCTAACATTATCAAGCTCTACCTGGACGGCTTGGAATACAAGTATTTTGACAAAGAACATGCACTAGTATATGTGTACATATGTCATCAGTGCATGGTAAATTCTAGGTACTAACAGCAACTTGCATAAATTAATGATCAATTTCTATCATACCAATTTTTCGTTTTAATATAGACGGTTGCTGCCTTGTCCCAGTACTCTGCTTTTTCATACAAAACTGCGGATTCTCCATATTGCTGTGTTTAAAAACATCATAATTTATTTGACATCGCATATTCCTCAAAAAAAGCACTGAGGCATTTTTCAGCACGCAGGCCTATTGAGATTGAGCCTTCCAGGTGGAAAGTGTATACTCATGACGTGATTATATTTTAAAAAGTAGATGTATATTTGAAAAGCGATCATACCTTAATGTTTTCTAAAATACTTGCGCATTCTTTCTTTAATTGTCGACTTGGGCTATTTGTCGCCAGACCCACACCACTAGAGTGAGAGAAAAGATAATACGTAAGAGACCGAGAGACCAATCATATGATCTTTATAGTTCAACGTAAGGTACACGTCTTGCACAGTAGTGGAAAGGATGAAAAATTTGTGCGCAATGTAGATCCGAGCAAGAACGGCGGGAAAGGCACTGATTCTTTGCGCTCGAGATTGAATAATCATGTAGAATGACTTATTACATTTCATTGTAGGATAAAGGTAGTGGTCGTCAAATGTGAATTGTTATTAATTGCTATTAAAATTGTCAAACTTGCCATTGGTATACCATAGAAATAACCTATCCTTTATATATAGTATTTCAAGCTTCTATGTAGTTTACTCTTCAGATATATTACCGTCGAATATCTCCCATTCTTATAGACATTCTTGCAACACCTCCCATGCATGCGTCATCATGGTTCTTTTCCTAAACGAAGGCAAGAGTGGCCCATTCATTATCATAAGTTTTTTAATCAATATAGGAATCAGTATACATTAATCACACGAATATTCATAATTTGACTGTGACGTCATCAGAGCAAGTGGTTGATATATTAAACTGCATGTTGGCGCAAGAATACTCCAAAACGAGCATACTAAAACAAGAGTATTACTACAACTACTTACTGCGTGTAACGCATGCATAAAAGCAATAAGATTTTCGAAATAAACATACCTCTGGAAGTTTCGTTACCCCTTTCTCATAATGTAATAAAGCGTTGGCATAATCACCACTGAAATGACAAATACGATAATATTATACTTTATAAATTTTAATACCACAGACATGAACAGAGTGGCCCTATAAACCTTTATGCCAATTATACCAGTGAAAAAGCAAAGCATCCTACAGATAGACCTTGCAGTCTCACCTGGTCTAAAAGGTCTGGGGCTGTGACGTAGTTTGCAGACAAAGCTTGTTCATGATTGGTTAACTGGCTGCGTTGCACAGTCTGCTGCCAATCATAAACATTCTTTGTCCGCAAATTACGTCAGTTCACAGACTCTATACATCCCAAACCAATCCCCAGATTTCTTGCTGAAGAGCGACCTGCCAAGCGGGCCTGGAGATGCACTCCACACAAAATAGTTTTTGTACCATTTCCAGGAATTTAAAACTTAAATTAAAATGCTTTCATACATATTTCATTTTACAATCTATACGTAAAATGGTACAACATACGTGAACTCCAACTGTTGTGCATATTCACGAGAGATAAATGGTATTTGATCAGGAGCAAGACTCTTGGCCAGTTCTAATGCTTGGTCCCAATTCAACAAGTCTCGACGCATCTGTAACAGCAAGCACATGGCCTCAGTATAACGTCTTTACGGACATCACAAAACTATCACTATTAAAACTATCACATTTCGTTGGAAGGCGCAAAACTCGCGCTCAGATATTATATAGAGATCTGTGGCTAAGATGAGCAGGCGAGCGAGCAATATATATTAGTGCACATTTTGTGCTATTGTTTGTTACCAACAACGCCGTTTCGTACATACAAATAGACACAGAACTACTGCCTACTTACCTCCAATGCTGCTGAAGGATTCGTTGAGGCCATAAATAATTCCTAATTAAAAAACCACATTACAACTATGAGGCACAATGTACTACGCATGCGCCTCGCCAGCGTAGTAAACTGAAAATGTTGTAGACTCGTGCAGGTACCTGGGCTAGATTGTAATTCTCCATAAACATGGCAATGTAACCAGACAAGAGATTTTTATCTTCTACATCCTACATTCGGAAATATTCATACATGAGAAGCTCCGAAACAGACTGTAAATTGCAAAGTCAAACAGACATCAATCAATCAAACTACGCAGTAGTTTGCGCACGAGCAAAAAAAATACCTTGACTTCGTCTAGTGACAAAACCATCCCAACATCCTCCATCTTTCGAAAAACTTTAATTGCTGTAAATGAAACAATTTCATAAAATATATGTGTTACCCACTCGCAGGAAGTAGTCGAAAAATCTCTCTTGAGGCAACTGAAAGGCCACCGTGTGCAAATGTTAATTGTCTTTTTTCTAAATATTATTTGTAACAGAGGATTAAAGTTTCAAAGATGAAAAGTTTTTTAAATGTTTCCAAATGAAAAATTCAAAAAGGTGACTGATTCGTTGGAAGAATTTATCTCTAGGTCAATGACGTATACGTAATAACTATACATTACACACCTAGTTCGATCTCTAAATGTTCTAAAGCACTCTTAGCAAGATCCATCCAAGTATCCTTCTTATCCACCACTCTACATATTGCCCACGCCTCGTTAAACCTGGGAATCATATAGAAAATAGTTTATACAAGTTACCGAACCATCCATTCACTCACTATAACGCTCTTTATATAAGCGCGTGATATGTTTTGCAATTTTACTGTACCTTTTTAGAGTTAAACACTGTTTGAATGAATCCAAAAGCTGCAAAATTTATAGAGAAAAACACAGTAAATAACTCTTCACGAAAGTGCAAAATTGACCGCCTTTAATTTCTCTCATCAATAGACGTTTGTTTCCATTTTGGGGAAGGCTATAAATTACAAGTATTAAAGTAATCCAGTGATCACATGCTAATCCTCTATATCTTCACCTCGGAAACAGCAACATCTTGTGGTTTCTGAAGGAACGAGTGGCTGGATAAGCGTAGTTCTGCTGTCTTTAAACAAATAAGAATATGTTAATATACAAAATACAATCTCGGCAAAATACAATCAATGGCAACCTCTTGATATTCAACGTTGAATTTTCAAATTCATTGCATACCTTCCCACTTTGAGTCTGACAAGTGAGTTCTCCGTTGTACAGAATAAGAGGAAAGTGACCGAAGGGAAGTTTTGTAGCACCTGCTATTATGCATCGAGAACCTGGAGCGAAAATGATAGAAATTAGAAAAGCAACCTATTGCCACGTTTTTTTCAAATTTCGAACTTTATCAGAGGTTTTTCTAAAAACGATGCTTGAAAACGTAATGACGCACAAAACTCTTTGAAAGTACTCATGCAGTAATAACACGACCAATTAATGTGAGTGATTTTGATGCAGTTTACCTTGAACTGTCTCGCGGTAAAATATATATGTATAGATATTTTCTTCATCATATGCACAGAACACGTCCTTTACAAAGAAAAAAAATTCTCAATTTAACTTAGATACTCTAATATTCACATGCTTTCAATCTACTTTCTCACCTTATCAAACGAATAACTTTCCCAAACAACTCCGATTATGTTGGGTGAAAAGTCAGGAACTTCAAAAGTAGTATCATTAGCCTAAAACAAGTTGATGATAGATCAGTATTATACTATTATTATCCCACTTGTGCTATTATTAAACTAAAAAGTTGTAATGAAGGAAGGTTAAAAGGCCCTATATCTTTCATCGCTGCAGGCTATAGCAGAGACACTACTGCATGTCAAATCGTTTGACAGTATGTTTTGTTCTAACAAAAAGAACTTGCTGATATAGAAACAAAAAAATAATCGCCACTTCTGCTTACCGGACAGTAAATATAACCGTCGCTTTTATCATCCAAGAAAAGGAGTTTGGTACCACTTTGATCCACAAACAATTTACGAATACCTGCAAACAAACAAGGAAAATAATACTGGATATTTCAAACTTCGTGTTTAAGACGAACTTGATGTATATGTGCAACATGTATATGAACTTGTGAGTATGAAAAACACTAACCAACAACGTGTCGAAACTCATTAACAAATTTCCAGTCTTCGATGAAGAAGTAGAACAAGGAACCAGACTAGAAGGTAAAAAAAGAACCCATGACCACGCAATCAACGTACGAATAGTACATATCAATGGTCTGTATCGAAATATACAGCGAAAGGACTACAGTTTCCAATACATAGTCAAATGTTCTAGGTTAGAACAATGATATAAAATGTGAGATGTTAAGCGTAGAGTGATAATCGCTTACATCTGTTGCATAAATTAGGAAATCTGGAGTTAAGCCAAAACAAGTGATATTTCCATCGGTTTTCTTTTCAGGAAATAATCGGGTTTCTCTTGCATCATTTCCATCCATGCCATCACTTTCGATCTAACGAAGATCAAATCATCATAATCAGAACACAAACCACAGATTAGCGCATGCTGATGTTGATGCCTTCCAGAGAGATTAAGGGGCCTCTCGGGGACCTTTTTGCTAAGTACACAGTTCACTTCTATACTTAATCGTCAATTTTTGTCCGTGCGTGCTTGATAAAGCTAATACACCCGTAAATATCTTGTGCGTGCTTCATGAAGCTAATACACTCGTTTCCAAACCACAAAATTGGGTCTAGTGGGCTCACGAATACAGACAGTTCTATTAGTGATTAAGAAGGTGCTTAATGCTTTATTATCCTGGATAGATAATCCTTGGTAGACTTGTAAGATCTGTTTTAAATACTTCACTTACCAAATGAAGTTGAATACGATTGTCAAACATTACTGCAGCATAATCTGCATTTAAACACATCTTCTTGACAGTGCCAAGATATTCCTTATCTTTCTGAGGCTCAACTAAAGTGAGTTATCACAATTATTTTATCAGAATTTAATTTAGACAATAAAAATTAAAGTGTGAAATGTCCAAATGATGGTATGTGGTTATGAATACGATGTTGTTGAAATTATGTAGAAAAAATTAACAATTCATAGAAATATTATATACTTCGCGTAGATGTGTCTTACGAGTACTAACACTCCGTCTTTGCTCGAGTTTACAGGCACGCACCTGTTTGGTTAAAGACGTAAAACCACGCACGATTATTCATCCCTACACCCATATGATAAGGACCGAGAGCGAGAAATGTTGGTTCAATAGACAAGTCAACCATGACTGGTCTTTCCTAGAAAGTTGAAGTTAACTCATTGTCAACAGTACAGTAATGCAACAACATGCAATCAACTTGTTATTACCAACCTGGTTTACGCTGTCGACGATTGTGACCTAAACGCAAAAACACGATGATAAATTTATCGAAAAATATTATTGAATGGAAATTGTACTAAATGGAAAATAATGTTCACATTAAAACGTTGCAATGTATGTAACAAATTCGTTATAAAAAATTTAATCTATTTCAAATATTTACTATACAGTACATACTAGTGGGGAGAGAAGATTGTGGTCGACTAAAATATGGCTCTGTAAATCCATGCTAGTGCAGTTTTACCTGCATGTGAATTACAAAACTATTTATACTGATGGGCAGTGTGCACAGCAGATATACTGTTATTGCGCAATACCTCTCGCAATGATGTTAAATACGCAAGTCGAGTTTGATGAGAGTCTCCAAGAACTGGCAGCTTGGTCAAATAAACATGAATTGCACCTAAAAATTGAAAAATGACAATACAAGATGTGTTTAGAGAAATAATATTAAGTATCGAAGGAAGTTGAGCAAGTAGGAAAGAAGAGATGACTAATACGTAACTCTTTACCTTTCATTGTACTAACTGCAAGAAGTTGTCCATCAGCTGTCCATTCAATCTTATCAAGTGATCCTAAAGATGTGAAGATTTTTGAAATTGTGCTATACGTATGCTTGTGTTAAGATATCTGGAACATTCAACTTAACCCGTGTTATTTCAAGATTAATATAGATCACTTACCTCCAGCATCTTCAATGGTAATTATCGAGTATATTTCTTTCATTTCCGTTAGATCATGGATTTTGACACTGTAATAAGAAATATAACAAGATGTTACCTAATTGGAAATACAACATGTGATACAGCATAAAATAGCCAGATATTACTCATTTTCTTAGCTATGACAATAACGCGGTCTCCACCCTATGCATCCCAGGTCCATGCATCATGCTAGCCGGATAATGACACATTTACAGAATAATTTTTCCATTATTAGGATATTCGTTTGTAGGAAATATAGCTACTTAGTAAAGCAGCATGTTTTCTTGGAGGAATATTTGAAAGCTATGTAGTGAACATGGTATTTTTGTTTCCTTTAAAGTTAAATATGTCCATAGGTAGGTATTACCTGCTATCCCCACACGATGCTGCCTTATTCAGTTCAAGTGAGATTGCTATATCTGTGAGAAGATCTTTGTGGTCACGAGTCTGAAATAATTCCTGAGAAAAAAATAATTCAAAAACTTCATGCAATAGTTCTTCATTTAGAGACGGCATTGCACATGCGCGTATCCAAGTTATGGGTGTTTTTGCTGATACAAATTGTCGACTGTGTCTGATGCATTGGTGCATGCTTGTGGGGTCTTTATAGGACGTTTCATGTAAGAGACATGCGCCGCTTGGTGAATTAATGAAACTTAAATTAACAATAACTTTTCTTCTAAAAATTTGCACCATAAATTTCATTATTACAGTACCTGTCCAATTTCCTTCATATGAGTTGAAATAACAACAAAATAACCACTGTTGAAACCTATCATTATATAACCATCGCCGAACCTAAGTCAGGCAGTAGATCAGGCATCAGGAAAAACAGTCCATTATTATTGAGATGAATTTCAAAATACATGGATGTAATAAGGTCGACAACTTACCATTTGTTAGTTGCAATATTTCCACTTGCCTGGAGGTTAAAAATTATCGTATGGTATGCTTGAATGTTCGAACCTCGGTAAAGAAACGAAATGAAAGCAAAGGAGAATATGAAATATAGACCTGAAAGCGAGCTAATGGGATTGTCTGGATCATGAATATTGAAAAGAAACAATGTTTTCTTGCCAACAATGGCGCTGACCTATATCCAAGATAGAGAAAGATTACGCCTACTGTATTTTTCTCCACCGGCAGCACTTTCTTTATCACACACGACGATTCTTAAACTGAGAATTTTTATACCGTTTTCACCATTCGAATTCTTTCGTCTGTTTTCATTTCTGAGAACTGTATTGAAGAGGGATCTGACCTCAAAGATGTCTAAAATTAGAAATATGTGCGAAGTATTACGATTAAAAGAAGTATATGTACATTGACGTATTCTTTGAACTGCATGTTTTCGTTGCTCTCACCTGTCGAACAGTATCACCATCAGTATTAGAGATTGTTAAAGACTTGTCTTCTGAACCCAAGCCAGCAAATTCTACATATTGTTTTAGTAGATATTTGGATTAACCCGTGGATTAACTTTATCGCATAAAACTACAGGGTCAGAAATCATGCTCTTGGGGAGCCAGGGCAAATTCGGATTAAATTTCTGTCAATTTTACTGTATTTGCTTGCCCTCTGAACAATGACTCGAAAATTCGTAAATTAAAATGAAAAATGAATCCTTGAACCTGGTTTAAATTTGACCCTGGTTTAATATAACGGTATCCATGCATCGTACCTCAGACGAGGCTGAACAGTATCATGCACACGGTACCTCAGTATTCCAAGCTCCCGCGACGATTTTTTTTGTATGTTTACCAAGAATGGGAACTTTCCTAAATAATAAATGAACGGCGATGAAATTCTTAAGACGAAACTTTGCATGGAAATATCTTGAACGTAGAAATGAGTCAATAGTGACTCAATACAAATTGTAATATCTTTCAAATGTATCATGGTATAGTAACAGTATATTGACAGTAAGGCAGTCTATGTCCGCCTATGTGCACATGAGCGTCGTTTTCGAGCGTTTTCAAAAAAAAATTTCCGTTTTATTGTTTAGACGCTCTGTCCAAACGATCGAAGAAAGTATGCCTACGTTTTGGGATGAAACGAATGTGAAACGCTCGAAAACGTTACCATGTGCACATAGCCAAGTTTACTTACTTAATTATGATGTCTAGCTAGGTTGAAAAGTCACTTTGTCCGCCGAATGTATTGAAAACAATGGATATTAGGCTGAAATGTCTAATTATCTATTCTTCCTGGGAAGTGCGATGTTTGACCTAGGTCTATATAGGTGACTTCTGCTGGGAAATGTTTGCATATTTATTTTAATAATGTATGTAACACTTGTTATTTCAAGTACCTTGATGTTTGTGGTTATGATTAAGAGATTGCCTTTGAGAGACCCTATAATGGAGATCACATAGCTGCTGGTTGAAAAAATGAATACATGACCTGAATCCAAACATACGCTAGAATTTACATACCAATACCAAGCTGACCTCCAACCATCGACCAGGCGAGGAACGTTAGAGTATCCCTAATTGCATAAAAAATACTTTACACTTAAACCAAGGAGTTGACAAGTCATTTTGGAAAGTAGTAGACACATGTCCAGAGAGCGTGTTGTTTTGTAAATGATGAAAAAATCTAAGTGACGTTGTAATAACATTGAAACATTTTTAAACAATAATTTGTATTTATAACAGTGATAAGCATTAACCTGAAATGATCAGGTCAAACCTAAAATTAGGAAAGTCAAAATAATTGTCACGTAATCTACCTTAGGCCACTTTCCAGTTGGTTAACTTTTCTTGAGTTTGCATCCCATAAATAAATTACACTTAATAAACACAATCATAAATTAAATTTACACTGAAACAAAGGACACATGTGTGGTACATGCAGGAACGGGCAGAAGGTGAGTAATATGTCAAAAGGTTTCCTAATGAGCTTCCTTGTCTATACAAGCAACATTTCAAGTTAAATAGCTATTCTCCGAGCTGATTGAGGCTAAAAGGGATCTGGAACAATCTTTCATAGGCTTTCTGTACCATGTTTTCCCCAACCAGGAACAGACTGAGCATTTTAACCCATCTAGAACCATATAATGAAAGTTATGAAATAGTATGCATCTGACATGATATATTTTTACCAGATTTATTATCATGTATTATCCCCAATGTATCTCCTTCTTTATCCCATGCTAAACCAGTACATAACCTAGAGGAAAGGTACATAAATCAGATAAGAATCAGCTGCAGAAATTAGTAGTAAACAGTTTGTATATACATATCAAACCCTACCCAGGCAAGTTTATTTCATCAACTAACTCTCCATGGCGATCTATGATGACAGATCGATTTGCACTAAAAAAGTTAAATTAATAAATACAAAATTTAGTCACCTGCACAAGTTGAACAAAGGATCTATGAAGGAATGCTGCTGTATACTTTAAGGATATTAGGTCAAATAAAAATTAAGGAGAAAGGTATCAAAGTGCTGCTCATGTTTATCTATTGACCATGGTTACTGTTTTTGAGAATTTTCAAACTTTACAATTTTGATGACCCATTAGTACGTGATAAAAACCATAACAGATACAGTACATATGGTGTTATAACTTTCTTATAGTACTAATAATAAAGTAGATTTTTTATCAAGGAGAAAGTTGCCTACCCAGCCGTAGCAAGATAATTTCCCTGTTTATTTTGCCATTCATATTTTATAAAACCACCACCATGGACTCTTTCTGGCACACTAAACTCTCTTAAAAAGAAGAATTTGATGAGAGACATATATATAGTGAAATAAGAAATATCCCAGGCCCAGATAATCATGTTACTAGCAGCAACAAGGCAAGAAATCCAGCCCGTAACTTATTCAGTAGTTCACACCTATTAAAGAAAATTTGGAATGTCTTAATTATAGCAAACATTGCAAGTGTAAAGGTGCATTATAGTAAAATCACAATGAATACATCAAATGCATCTAAACACCAAATATTCTGGTTGTTAGAGGATAAATATTGCCAGCATAGTATATTAATTATGGACAGGCAGTAAGCATAAATATTGTAGTAACAGACGTTATAAAAGACTAGCATTGTGCTTCTTGATGTTGTCATCACTTTCAGTCTAACAACTAAACAGTCACATAAAATTATTCATCCTGTGACCTGTGGTTATAAACCTCTGCATATTTTTATGAATAATCACATATTTCACATAATTTTACAACTTTGTCTATAGTACGTAACAGGCTAACATCTCCTGGATTCAATGTTCTAAACATCTGTGTTTTAATTAATAATATACCTCCATGTCGTGAATGCAGCTCGGGAGAATTCTAACAAAGCATTTCAAAAATGCTAATCTGTTATTAAAAGATCCGTTGATGTCTTGGTTGTCAAGATACGCTTTATGTGTTAAAACAAACTGTATAATTACTTTTTCGTACAGAATTTTTAGGATTATAGCAAGGTTAAGACGATAAAATACACACTTTACTGCAGCCAATTACGTATGACAAAAAAAACACGAGACTCATGTAACATAGATACGGTAGAGTGCGGTACCTGCAACTTTTATACAGTTAAATTATTAATGTCCATGCCTTCAGAGCTCGAACGATCAAGTGTTGTCCGTCCTTTACACAAAATAGTTTAATGCCATCTTCTTACCTTCATACTTATAAAGTATTACCGCCAATAAATGGGAAATGTAGAAATTATTCTTGCTGTATGCATCAATCAGACTGAATTAGTGTTCTAAAGTAACCGCCATTTTGAATGTTAGTGTTTGCAGGGGGATGAAACGTTTGTACGTACGTCTCTATGGCGACATAACTAGAATTTTAGAACACTCTTAGATTCTCTTAGATGGAAAACTGTGTAAGCACTGTAATGGAAAGTGCGAACGAGCAGTCGTAGAAGTGCGGCCTAGAGAGGGATAATCGAAACCACACCTTTCTCTCCCACATCTTCTTTCTGTACCCCAGTTGAGGAAGACAGCACTCAGCATTGCCCCTTACAGTACCGCCCCTAAGCGAAGAAGGTCGTCAGGGGAACAGCCCTAGAGATCGTGTTTCATTCATTCCATTACTTCTAAAGGCAGTGGATGAGGCGGCTAATTTCAATGTAATTATCCCAGGGCAAAAGGGCCCAACATAGTACCGATGGCACCGTGAATGTGCGGGTGTGCCCTCTCCCACATAAGTATAGAGTATAGGGGACTCTATTTGGTTGCCATCTCAGCCTATGTTCTGAATGGATTTCCGCTCTATAGATTTTGCCGGAGAGGTATATTTTTAAAAATTTTAGTATTTTATCTAAACATTTACAGGCTTTATAATATCCCTGTTTAGAATGTGCGTTTACCAATTTCAAGAAACTACTATCGTTTCTTCTTGCATTCTTGGATTATCATGAATACGACATGTTCTGACTGCATGTTAAAAATTATCGTAATATTCTTTTCACAATTAATGATTCTTTTCATTATAAAAATATACAATTACCGTTTCTCTATTTTATACCGATAACTTTTCTCGTTACATTTTTTTTTTATTTCAGACGTACGAATGAATGCAACTGGAAATCAGGTAGGAAGCGATGATCGATTATGACATTATCTCCATTTCGTTGGAAATTGTAACTGACGAGCTTTCAGCCCATATCGTTAAACTGTCATCAAGGTTCAGATTTTATTTTCTCTACTTTAAAACCTTTAAAGCATTTAAAGCAAACATAAACCAATCAAATGCCTTAACTTTGTCAGATTGACCAATCACAGCGCAGTAAGTCAGCGAAAGTTAGAGCTAAGTAACAGTAGTGAAAGTGAAATCAGAGCCTTGCTGTTATATAAATTTCACTGACTGTAAATTAATTCGCATATATGTACAATTTTCTTTCACATTAAAACCTTGTTAAAGTAATTGGGAAGTTTTCAGTAATTAAATAATCATCATTAAATACCACGACGACATTCACTTCAAATTCTGAAATGCAAGTTAGATATGAGGTTATAAACTTAATTACTTAAACACTACGGTCATTCAAGATAACATTACGAATACGAAATTACGAAAGTATATAAACATGCAGATATGGAATTAGACGATAAAACATTACAATGAGCATAGTTCGCGGGCATGCAGGAACGTGCATGTAGTTGACAGCCCGCTGTACGTATCTACCAAATACTCACCAACTTTGAAGTTTGGTGTAGCCAAAGAAGGGCAAGTAAATAATCTTGGAAACACCATATAAATTGGAAGAGGAAGTTTCGTACACACATTTCCTTCCCCGACCTGGAAATTAACAAAAAATGTCATAATTATGAATCTTCAATCGTCTACGAAAATACATACATGTCATCGTCTTTACCTGAATGTTCTGAATTTCCGTAGCTACATATATAGAGATTAAAAAATGATAAATTTAGTTTATAATAATAAATTTAGATTATAAATGTTAAACGAGAAATGAACTTTCATTTCGCATTCATTTCGATGTGTGAACTTTTACCCCGACTTCAAAGCCTAAATTTTGGCCATTTTTAAAACCTCTTGAAAAATCTTCTGCGACGTATAATCAAAATCCTTATAGCATACTTAGAAATGAAATATGCATAGAGCTAGTGGAACTCATGGAACTTACAAAACTGCATAAATTTATTAAATATAGGACGAAATACCGTCTTTTGAATATCCTTCAGCACAACCTGTTGCAAAGACGAAAATAAACTGGATAAAATAGGAGCAAATAATCGATTTCAAAAATTACATCATAAATGACAGAAAAGCGTTTTTCAACGCATTCGTGTCGTGACTACAATATAATGCTCACTACTTACCGCATGTTTCAACTCTAACTAACTGCAACTCGATTGATTTAATTGGTAATTCTGAGTTTACAACGGTCACCTGTAAATACAGAAGCATTTCGATCAAAAAAAGTATCATGCACAAACACAGCGGAAAGGTAAAAGGTCAAGGGGAACTTCGGGTAAAAGGACTTATACTATAGCTCTGTCGCTAAGGAAAAAATAATAGGCGTGATATTGCAGAGTAGAGGTGGAAATCACAGGTTACTTCGTAAATCTGAGAAAACGCAAGTGAATTGAAACTGCAGCGCATCTCAATTTTTACACGGTATAACAACGCCAACAGTATGTTACTTTCAAAACAATTTGGGTATGGGAGTACCACCCAGGTAAAATTTCCCTATGTTCGAGAAAGGTTGAATTTAAAGTACAAAAAGAATGTAACTGAGTTACTAAGGAAAAATTTCAGCGACCCTTGGTGCATCTTTAAATCACCTATTGGCAGGTATGAATCATAGATACTAAATGGAATAGCTACTTTATCTGCAGATTCGAGGATGTGCAATGAACAGTAATGAGTAACTCCACTTACCTCGCCTGTGAAAGGTTTTGTAATACAGCAAGAAGTTGAATCCAACTTTCCTTTTATCAAAAATGAGGGAACTTTTGTTTTCTAAGTTAGAAAAACAATTATTTATTAGAAATGCTTGTCTTTTAACTAAAAATGCTTGCCGCTGGTGTACAACGCTGATTTAATGTACAAAAAGGTCAAGCCTAATCTGAAGCATGCTGTAAGCTTATTTTCAACCTCAAACTCCAGAAATTGTTGTTTGACTCCCCATTGTCACCACTACAGTTTTACATGAAAATTGACATTTGCTTCATAATTGTTGTAACAGACATACCACCTTAACATTTTCAAGTGAATCAGGTGTAATTTTGAACTCTAGTTGTTTTGCTGCTGCTTGCTTTGGAGAATTACTCTGAAGAGAAAACAAGATATATGCATAAAGTCAGAGCATTAGAAAAATAATTAGTAAAATGAATTAAATAATAAAATATATCAAATTGAAAAGCTTGAATTGTATTACATGTCAGGTCATGGTGTTTCATTGACTTTCCTCGAAGTGAGGTAGTGATTGCAAATCATTGTGACTAGAGGATAATATGTACCTTTGTATACTCCACAATAAATTCACAGGTAGCCATTAGATCTTTACTCAACATTGGACGTTTCATTTCACAGCGAAGAGAGTACTAATAAAAAATTATATAATATACAGGGTGTATCAGAAAAAACTGGAAGATTTTAAAATATTAAAAAAACTATCATTTTATCAAAATATCTCAAAAATATACTTACGTCTAAGTATTTTAGCATCTTCTGGCTTATCTAACAGTAAAAGCTATCAGAAAAATTAACCTAAAAAAGCGGGAGAACGGTTTGTAAAAGCCTCATTTTTAACCGCTTGCGCAAAGAAAATGAGAGGTTCAAAATCCAAGTTCATTTAAAGAGATGAAAGTTTGGACTCTTTTGTGCAATGTATTAAAATTTCAGGAAATTTGATAAACATTAAGTCCGCCGTGAAACGTTTCAAAATTGGACTTTTTTCCGTTTACTCCGCTCTCGCGTAATCTTTTTTCATGCAAGAATGATTACATGCATGAGTGATGGTTCGAATGACGTACTTAAGCATAACTAACAATGAATACTCTTGTTTCATTGTTTTATTTAACAAAGAGTTCTGGTAATTACACCTGGAGAATGCAAAAGTAGGGCAGAAGTTTGCGTGCAAAGAAATGGAGGACATGTTGAGAACTAACAACAAATTTTTTAAACTCTGCTCTTGTTTGCAATTGTGTACTGTTTGACGTTTTTGTGTATTTTATTTTTAACAATAGCATTATTAGATACAGCATCAATGTAAGGAGGTATAACAATAGGATTGTAAGTACGTCATTCGAACCACCACTCATGCATGTAATCATTCTTGCATGAAAAAAGGTTACGCGAGAGCGGAGTAAACGGAAAAAAGTCCAATTTTGAAACGTTTCACGGCGGACTTAATGTTTATCAAATTTCCTAAAATTTTAATACATTTCACAAAAGAGTCCAAACTTTCATCTCCTTAAATGAACTTGGATTTTGAACCTCTCATTTTCTTTGCGCAAGCGGTTAAAAATGAGGCTTTTACAAACCGTTTTCCCGCTTTTTTACGGTTAATTTTTCTGATAGCTTTTACTGTTAGATAAGCCAGGAGATGCTAAAATACTTAAACGTAAATATATTTTTGAGATATTTTGATAAAATGATAGTTTTCTGGACATTTTAAAATCTTTTAGTTTTTTCTGATACACCCTGTATACTAACAGGACAAAATATATCATATTTATCTATTTGAAATGTTGAAGTATGCAACAAACAATCAGATTGGTTGTGCATCTATTATCTGGTAGAATCCACTTTGCTGTGAACATATCATTTTAGTCAGATGGAGGTTTTTGTTGGCATGGAAATTTGTGTGAAAACAAAACACACCTGAATGTTAACAAAGACTCCATGGTAAGTTTCATATAACTGTTTGTTCATCTTGCCTGTTAGTGGAATCTCAAAGGGCAATTCTGTCTTTCCAGCAGGCGTGGAGAGTCAGAAAAATATACAGGTCATTTAAATCTTTTGAAAGAAACACATTATGAGGCACAGTGGTTGATGTGCCTCATGACATATGCATGATATATATATATATATATATATATATATATATATATATATATATATATATATATAAATATAAATAGAAGAGTTCTATTAGCGTACCCAGAGTGCTCAATACCGTTAAGTAGAGCGAAATAAAACAAGTAAAAGACACGGTTTTCTGTGGTTTATAGCATACAGTTCTGTTTCGTACAGGACTAGCCTGCACTCCTCAGTGCTATGAGGAGTGCAGGCTAGTCCTGTACGAAACAGAACTGTATGCTATAAACCACAGAAAACCGTGTCTTTTACTTGTTTTATATATATATATATTAATATATATATATATATATATATATATATATATATATTCATACAGACAATCTGAATGCTAATTAACAAACAAATAACACAAACAAAATACACAACAAAATATATAACTAAGGGAATGGTATAATTTTCCTGCTTTCTGTATCTCCACTGTTTGATTAACCAAGGTGATTGGCTTGATTGAGTTGTAAAATGCCTCAAAAACCCCAACACTCTTCGCACTCAGCTGTAGGTTCACAATCCCATCCATTACCAAACTGATCCCATTGTGAGAAAGGTCTGTCTTGCTTTGAACAATAATTACACCTTGAACTTTTTCCTGGAAGAAAAGGATTTCAACAATGAGGTTGTTTGAAAATTTCAGAATTTTTAATATTTTATAGAATAAAATTACATGTACACACAATGGGATTCTACATTCTTATGTCCCTGCTGAAAATATATAAAGTAAAATATCAACATTTTAAAACCTCTTGTATCAATTTCCAAGCACTGTAGAAACCAGGGAACTGTCTACAGATCTACCCCCTCTTCCCCTCCTATGGTCAATTCAGGTCAAACTTGTCAAAACCAGCAAATACCAAAATTTACTACTAAGAACAATGCCACATGATTCAATATATATATTCACATATTGAAATTACCTCAGCATGGTAGATCTTATTAGCTCGCTTCACTTTAATGTCCAATGTGGCCATGTTTGCTGTTTTCAAGATCTTTTGCGTAATTCGATTGGGTCCTCCCCCCTGGAATTTTCACCCCCCCGGAATTCAGACTCGGAACTCGGTGTCCTCGCGAGAATCACGAAGGATTGGGGGGGGGATTCTGCATAATTTAATATCTGGTGGAATTTCATGTCTTGTGGTTAGGTTTTATTCCATTACATGACAAAATGCGAAGGTATGTCTATTTGTTAATGCGTTTTCTGATGATCATGGCCTTCTGGATTTATTTTATGCGTTGCTCATAGCACTTTTATTATTATTTTTTTCAAAACAGTGGCAGAA